CGAATTTCTTAATAACGAGTAATTTTCTGTCCAGGCGTCTTAGTGTTTAATAATACTTAAAATTTATCTGACATCTAAGTCGCAATGAAAACGCATAATTAAAATTAAAAGTATGTAAGTAATGTAATTTTTCATAAATCTTTGTAGCTATTTTTGGCTGGCTGGCAGATTAATTTTAAATGTCCATATGTATGTCCAAGTCTAGTGTATACTTAGATTTAACAGTAAAACCTACGATGTGCCATTACACGGACTTTTATAGTAACATACATAAATCTGTAAAAATGTAAACGATTAGTACATACCAAGAATTAATATCGAAATCTCTTAAGAATCGCTATACTTCAATCTGTCAGAACTGTCAAACGGTACCTCTTAGATTAGATGGACTATAACAATAAAATATGTTAGTATGTGTTAGTTATGTTTTCTGGGTCTGTTAGTCTAGTTGTTAGTGACCCGGACTACTAAGCCATAAGTTTTCAGTCTCATTCATACCCAGGATAAATGATTGTGTGATGAATATGTTCATTTGTTTGCGTCTCTCAAAAAGAATAAGTTGACCCTTTTAGCAACGTTTTGCATTGATGCTCGGCGCCTATTGGTGGTAGCTAAATGTTATATAACCTATAGCCTTTCTCAGTAAATGTACTATGCAACACTAAATTATATTTTTATTCGAACCAGTGGATCCTGAGCTGAACACAAACAAACAAACTCTAGCTTTGTATTTAAATATTAGTAAAGATTTGTTGATATTAAAAAAATAAAAACATTGAATTTGTAAAGCAGGACACTTAATTGTCCTCCATATCAAGTCAATGTATCTATTTAACTTCTTTGCTTAACTTTGAAATGCTACATTTAATGATTCAGGCGAAGTAATTTACCACTACCCAAATGCTCAATTGTCTGTTATCACCCGGCCATAATGAAATTGAATGATTGAATGACACCAATGGTATTATAGCCTGTTTTTAATCTCGGAGGCCAAACTGACACATGCAAATGTCAAATTTAGAAACAATGATGTTTGTTGATTCGTAACTTTTTATCTTAGATAGATGATTATTTTAGAACAAATTTGATTACCATAAAAAAGGTTTAAGTGAGCCAACTTTAAAAGATAGGCAATATATACTGTCGTTTATTTATTTTAAGAACTTTTAAAGGACAACCATTTTGTGATACATGATTTTTGCGAAACTGTAAGCTCTAACACGAATTAATTTTCAACCGTTTTTAGAACATTTTATCTGTTGATATTCCGCTCCTATTGGTCGCAGGGTAATGATACTGATTTTGTAGAGCCTATAGCCTTCTTCGATAAATGGTCTATCTAATCTAATATGAGATTAGCGCGTTTAACCAAACAAATAAAAAAAACTACAGCCAATATTAGTACCTATTCTGGTTACTAAAGTACAGGCTCTGACTTTAGACGGCCTGTGAATGTGTGAAGTGTCAATATATTATTGGGTTATTCGACGATAATATCTTCGCGGAATAATCTATTCTATCTTTTTCAAACAAATTAGTAACGTAGTTGACATATTATAACTATGCTTCTGTTAGAAATGTGTTCACATTGATACTGGACTAGATGGGGTCCGAAACTACTTGATGCTATCGTTATAACGCTACAGCCGCTATTTGGGTAACAAACGAAATTAGTCGAATTGTGTCTTATCCTGTTCATAACCGGTTGTTATGCACTAGTTATCACCCCTAAAACTATGCTTTGATGTGTTTTTGCTCTGCTCACCGATAGAAGAGGATGTACAAAACTAAAATAGTAGTGACTGTAGTGATTATTCGAGAATAGTCTCCTGTAGGTCTAGAATCTAGAGGAATGTTCGTAGGGCAAATCCGCCGCCCGCATGGCCACCTTCAACTCAGGATTCTGAGGTGGAAAAGAGCGTACCTTTTCTTCAAGTTTTAGACGACGTATCGGTACAAAATACCGTAAAGAGATACTATCTTATCTACCTATTTATTTATTTGAGCAGATTTTACTTTAGTAAAATATTTCAATTAAATAATAACCTTTTCGTCAGTTTTTATTTTGCAAATAATTATTGTAACAAAAATTTGGGTAATTAATACCCAGTAAATAAAAGGTACCTACTATTCTTCCGAGACCAATTTGTATGCAATTATACAAGCTAAGCTCTATCTGATCAAAACTAACTAGAAAATTCGGTGCCCCATCCCATTGTGGACCATCGAAAGTTCGTTAAAGTAATGTCACTCTATCTCGTCAGCCCCTCAAGAGACAAATGAGACAACATTACTTTTATTAACGAGTTGGAAAGAGAAAGGTAGGCGTAGATAATACCCTATAATCACAGTTTTGTTTTCCAATCGCTGCTAACGATTATTGGCGTGTTATTCGGCTGCCATTTTGAAATTGCTTTACTGTCTACAAGTCGTTCACAACTACAATAAAAAGTGAGGGTTTGGTGATTAGTTTCGAAGTAATTGTTCTAAGTTCAGTTCTCAAAGCGATCAATCGGTCTATAAAAGGACATATCTAACGTTAGGTAAATTTAAAACTGATTGAAAACATAATTCAAATTCGGATTTCTGGTTTTTTGATACTTTAGAAAAGGTTTTATTTGCAGCAACTTTTCACATTGCATTGTTGATAATGCCTTTTTAACAATACAATGACACAAAAGGAACACATTACGGACTATGAATAAAGCGGCGGCAGGATAACTTTAGTTCATGTATAAGCGCGTTTGAATCCCGCCTAGTACTAACCGGCATGAACTTAACTTACAATTAAGTTTTGTTGGATTGACTTACAAGAATATTGGCAAACAACTTTATGCCAACTAAATGTAACAAAGTATTGTTCCCGAGCGATAAATGAACCTTAGATTGTTTCAATCAATTCAGGTACCCCTCAGAAGCGCGCTTTTTTGGGGATGAAAAGTACCCTATGTCTTTTTCTGTACCTTTGACATCATTTTGTTAAATTATATGGTTTAGTGATTAAGACGAACAAAAAAACAAAGAAGCATATATACTCAAGCTTCATAATTATATTGGGCAGGAAGTAAGGTTGTGTGACGTTAAAATTAATCATTAGATAAACGATCCTCCTTTGTAACAAATATACGTAGCTACCGGCAATATTCTAGTGGTTTACTAGGTATTATCTATTTATTTATTCACAAATTGAAACTTGGTTTCCCAAACAAAGAGAATTATGTAAACCAAGTCCTCACATTAATTCAACGAGGCGAGATAAACTAAACGCACAGACTATCATTTTCACCACAAAGTAACGCGAGAGCTTGGTTATATTTTTAAATTGCAGATTGGCTACTAATATGCATATCTCTGATAAATCCTCTCATAATGTATCTGATTTCTACCCAATATAAAAGTTATATACACAGTACTTGTAAACTTGTTATACCTATTACAATATACAAGTTCCACAAAGTTATGATTTAAAATTAATTAAAATATTCCTTTGTCCCTGAAATATTCCGCTATGAATAGTATTAGCCATATTCTAGAATTCTAATTTAAAGCATTTACCTCCCTTAATGTGCATGGAAATATTTAACATTTCTCTCCATAAATCTCTGTGATTTAAAAGAAGTGTTTTTATTCCAGTCCGCTTTCCTAAAATCCACGCCCCGCTTTTCATAATTAACCTCTTTCACAAAACAACAGTCATCTCTTAAAAAATAAAAATAAGCACCTCTTTATTTCGAATGCGCTCTGTTCTAATCCAATTTTAAAATGTTACCCAGACCATACATATTATAAAACGAGACTTTGTCCGGAGCTTAACGTTTAAATTAGTATATCCCCCTAAAGCGGAACCGCGACTAAGGGTTGCAAAATTTAAATTACAAATAAAAGCACTGAAAAATATCTGCGAGTGGGTAGTGGCTCAATAACGATGTCTTTTAATTAAAGCGGAAGGGGTAATAGAACGACTTAATTCAGAAACTTGGTCGAAATTATCGTGAAAGACACCCCAGAGTTTTGTGAATTTTGTACGAGTTTACGCAGCGCTAAGCAAATTGTAACGTGAATAACGACACAAATATGTAATATTATAACAAAAAAAACTAAAAAAAATAAATACAACTGAAGTTAATATTTCTAGCGCTGAAGAACTAAGCCATTGAAGAAAGAATATGTATACATAGTTAGTAGGACCGGCGACTTCTACCAACAATTTTATAACTCATTTTTACAAATTTATCATATGATAGTATTTCAATATTGAGCATTTATATTGCTTATTCAATTTAATCACATAAAACAGAGAACAATTTTCTATTTAAAAATATTATACTGATCTTTAAATATACAGCTAACCCGTTGAAAGTTTTTCCCGGACCAATGACACCGATTTTGCACGCTCGTAGTACCGTCACGGCCGAAAGCTCGAACCATTCAACTGTGACACTGGTAGCATATTGAAATATGGCGCCCGACTGACTGGTCATCCAACCGTCATGTAGCAACTGCCCGAAGGAATCTTCCCTTCATAGTGTTACCTATTTGCTTTCCACGCTTCAACGGAAATTTGTCAATAGCCTTAAATTTAATATCCACATACCTCAGGTTCAGTAGGGCGATGCAAGATACAAATTCAATAAATATAGCCTGCATACTTACTTATATAATTTAATGTTCCTTATTTACTTTTAGTAATTATCATACAATTCCCGCTTACATATTACTATTTAACCATTTATCCACCACCTTTCCCCAAAGTCAACTGTTACAGTTTTGACATAATCTACATATCTCACAACGAACTTACAAGAATAAAGTTCAGAAATATGAAGATTCGATGACACTAATTGTTACCAAATATATTAACGTAAGTAAAAGAAATATATCTAACAATATTCTATTCTAATTTAATACTCTATTCGGCTATAAGTTATTTGATCCGGTAGATATATCTAAATTCAATTTTGGATTTCGGTTTGAATATTAGAGAAAGGCTCCAATTACATTTACTGCCTTCTATAGTTATAAACCAATCTATTAATTTTACTAGCTTCTACCGCTCCTTCTCGAGTTGCAGGCGCGTTATAGTACGTGTTGTCATAACTGGCGTATCGATGACTACTTGGTTTATACTCCAGTTGCAAATAATCCCCCTCCTCTCGTCTTAGCTGACCTTTATCCTTACCATCATATCTCGGATCTTCATATATAGTTATAGTTTGTTTTCTTTGTGCTACAACGGGAGCATTTTTTGGTATTTCAGCAACTGGACTTACTTGAGATTCTCCATAACCATATCCGTAGCCGTGGTTGGGCCCATAACCATACCCACCATCATGGCGTAAACCCTTATCATCATAGTAACCGGGCCCACCATAGTCTCTTTCCCAACCCTGATCCCTTTGCCAGTTAGGTTCTCTTTCCCAGCCATTGCCTCTCTGCCAATCAGCTTCTCTTTCCCAAGCGGGATCCCTCTGCCAATTAGGTTCTCTTCCCCAACCAGGTTCTGCTTGCCAACCATGATCTCTTTGCCAACCAGGACGTTCCCACCCTCTTCTGTCTTCCCATTTCTGCCAATCCCAACCCGGTTCAGGACGAGGAACTGGTGGCACATGATATTCATGACGGCTTCGGATATTACCTCTGTCATAGTTATTATGAGCATTGCGATACTTATCATGATTTAAATTATCATCTAAATAATACTTTTTACCGTGGTTTAGACGGTCCACATGTTTCACACCAGTGTCGCCATATTTATTGTAACCACCACCACGATAGTTATCTACAAGATGGTCCGTGCCTTTATTGTGTGACCCGTGATAGGTTCGCCCACCCTTATTGTCATGCGAATTCAACCTGCTATTGTACTGAGCTTGATCACCCTCGTCATTAAAATCATCAAAAAAAGTACTCTTATTTGAGGATTCGTCTTTATGATACGAATTTTGAAATCCTTGCTTATGATGGCCTTTTTTATGACCCCTCTTGTAACCTTTTGCTTCACTGTCTTCAGCTTTATCTTGCTTGCTGTTATATCCCTTATACGCATCGTTTTCCGTTGCAGAATTTGAGTCATGCTCTTTTTTTAAATATTTTACCTCGTCATTAGCTTTAGAGTATTGGTTTTTATGACTGTCATTTATTTGGCTTTGTTCTTGAATCACCTTTTCACCTTTATGTTTATCATGTTTGATTGACTCAGCTCCTTCATCGTGTGAAATATCTTTCAAATTTTCTTCCAATGCTTCTTTTATTACCGATCCACTGAGTTCTGATAATAATAAAAGTACACAAGTCAATATACTAAAACAGTATTTGTGCCGGGGAATCATTTCATCGCAGAATGCGCGATAGATGTTGATACTAAACTGGCAAAACTGATAATAAACGGGCGTTGAATGTTGTAAAAAGTTTTATATCGATGAGAATCGTGTTAGACTTCATGGCAAATTAGGGTACAATGACAGGAACCACAGAAGCAACGGTGGGAACAATAAGCCGCACAACTGGCTTGTGCGTCCATGACATCACATTATTGAACTAGCAGCATGCGGACATGCTGTAGGACAAGCCGATCGAGGTCAATGGAAACTGAACGGGAACATTGATTAGAAGGTCATTGATTCACACTACTCGTATGTACCATTCTTTCAATTCGTGTTTGTTTATTTCACAGTTGGTAGGGTCAGCAATGAAATAACGGAACACAAGAAAATAGAAAAAAAACTCATTGATGATACTGTTATACATGTGCATTAATTTCGTAGTACCTACTATTATAAACAAATAAGTAGATACATAGGTAGACAGTGTTCGTGTACTGACTTTTTATAATAAAATTGTAACACAGAGATCCAGCACATGGTTACGTTTTTTTAGAATTATCCTCAGTGTTTTTCTGCGTGTACCTACGTGTATTAGGTATATACAGATTAGAGTTTAGTGTAAAGTAAATTTCTCTAAACAGAAAACGTCGTTCGTCCGACACCAGAGAGCACGATGAGTAAAAGTTTTGTAATTTAAAAATGTAGGTAATCAGAATATCAATATTTTTTTAATTATATCCAGTTTTCTATGACGTTATTAAATATATCTTTAAAATCCGATGTTGATAAACTTTGATTTTTTTAACTGAATACAGAGGATTACGATTATAACACACTAACTGTTATTATCTGTTCTTCTTTAATCTTCTTAATTACCTACCCCCTCTTGATCTTCTGCTAGCCATGCGACTTGGCAGTGAAATTAATTTGAAGCCCTCAAGAGAGTGTGAGGGGTTTAGGAGGGAGGGAATGTTTAGTTTTAAAATAGGTTTTCAATTTATTGTGATATGGTATATTTAAATAATAATAACTAGCTGTACCCTGCCACCTTCGGTGTGGCACATTGCGGTTGCCAAAAATAGATTAAAACCATCTCTGAAGCGATTCAAGCTCCAATCATTTATTGATTATATGATGAATAAATGATTGGAGCTCATCACTAAGGTCGCAACCTTGCTGAATAAGTTCGAGACCAGGCCTACCCTGTTATTACTATTTATCTATGTTTATTAAACAAATAATTTTTTTATTACATGATAGAAAAGCAAAATTCAATCAATATTTTTTTCTTATTTCGTACTTTTTAAAGTGTACCTACAACCGTATTCTATCATTTTCTCTAGTTTTAGTTTTTTAACTTTTTATTGATTTTTTATGTATATTATAGTTAAGTGTATAATAGATAGATATACCTATTATTGCACACCATGATTAGGACACATACAATGTGGAATACAAACAAAAACCTCTTCACCGTGAGCCTCGGTGAGGTGATGAAGAAAAAAAAGTATAAAAGTGGCGCTTGTTCGCATTATGGGGATAAAATGAGTTTACTTTAACGATCAAAGTCGTCATTTTACTAAAGGAATTTTATTTTTTTGTGTATTATACAGGTAAGTCATATATTCATATTTCGGCAGCAAAAGTTTTATTTTTCTAACAAGATTTAAGTCCTTTTCCTTTTAGGCTGAAAAAGGACAACGACAGTCCTTTTTAGGGTTCCGTACCTCAAAAGGTAAAAAAGGAACCCTTATAAGATCACTTTCTTGTCCGTCTGTCCGTGGGTCACCACCAATTTTCTCACTAACGGGTAGACTTAGCAAGTTGAAATTTATACCAGATACTGAGGTTTATGGTCCCTATTAGGTGTATAAAAATCAAGGTCCTGAGTCAACACGATAAAAAGATATGGGCAAACTTCGAATTTCACGAAAACTTGTAAGTACCAAAATTTACCTTATTTTTCAACATTTTTTATTTTTCAGATTTTTCTCTTTACTTGTGCTGTAAGACCTCGCTTTTAACCAAAATTGACAATTCTAGGTCAACCGGAAGTACCCTATAGGTTTTGGGTCGAAAACCTGTATGGTAGTTCCCGTTGACCTAGAATCCCGAAATTTGGCAAAAAGAAACGGCTTACAGCAAACAGCAACAGCTTAAAGGAATAATTCCAAAAACAAGAAAAAGTTGAAAATGAAGATAAATTTTGGTACTTACAAATTTTCGCGAAAATCTACGTAAAATCTGGGTAGGTACGGTACCCTCTGCGCACGTGTGAGACTTGTTCCTAACCGGCTTTTTCAAACTAAAAGCCATTCATATCAAATATGCATTCTTGTTTCCTTTGCCAGTAAGCTATTAGATACGCTATGGTCAGCACAAGTGGTGAGCCTATGCCCTCTTGCAATATCCCTAATGTAAATTTAAAGACAGCAGGTAAAACCAGGTTAGATCTAATAAAGATCTGATTCCAACGACGAACAAGCAGAGATTTTAGTAAAATAAATCATTCATTGTTATTAAGTTTATTTGCGTTGATAGTTCAACAAAATATACAAAAAGAAAACCTGAACTTAAACTTGCATTAATTAAACTGGAACATAAATATTGAGTCATTTATACACATCTGACAAATACAAACATAGAAAAAGTTAGAACATAGGAAAATTTTCATTTTAGACAACTACAATAAATTACTTTAGAAATTGAATTTAATAAAACTAGCTAAAACTTAAAAAACCGTTTACAAATAGTAATTTTAACTTAATAATGCAAAACTATAGGAATCCATTTTTAAAGTACGTAATTTTGCAATTCACGAATGAACGACTATCTAGCGAAATTCAGCAGAACAGCCAATAATATTATGAAATATTATATAATCATAACATACTGGGTGGAGGGTTTTAACAGCCGAGTGGCTGTTAAAAATAATTTGTTGAACTTTGATATTAGCTCCAATAACTAGTATTAAAATGTCTAAGCGTGGGGTGACTTATAAAACAGACGGATTTTGCAGAGCTTAAAAAACTCGGCTGGTTACAAAAGTTAACAATTTTTTGTTGTCCTTTTTCATTAGCAACGATGTTATTCGTAACGCACTTTACGCAATACGCAATTATGGCGTATTACTTCTATTGCCCAAAAACACTTGTAAGATTTTTATAGAAAACTCTATAGTAGAACTTGAAAATAGAAAAAGACTCATCACCACACACACAAAACTCGTGCATCTATCATCATCTCGTACTTGATGTATATTCGTGCATTGCAAAAGTATTATAAATATACATATAAGTATACATAATATATTATGATTGTAACAGCTTCTGTGACGACAAAATATGAAAATAATTGCATTAATATTGTTGTTTTTTTTATAACCATCAAAATACGAATCAGTCACCTATTTAAATAAATATTTATAGGCCTAATATGCCACAAAATGCCACCATGACAAAATATGTAAGTCCAAAACACGAGTCCAAACTAAAAACCAAAAAGCATTTTTTTAAACCAGTATGCTACTTATTTATAATAAATATTAACCACACAATGCAGACTACATATAATACTAGTGGCAGTACTAGACTTTAACGTTCAATTTAAATAAGTATTAAGTATCAGTAGACATAAAAACGTATATCTTACATTTTTGTAACTGTCTCTCTTTTGTAAATCGAAAATCTCCAATCCAAATTCGGAATTTCGTAACTGCGTGTTAAATTTAATCTCTAATATAGACATCAATTTATCGTACAAGATTATCATGCTTTATATTTATTTCAAAAAAAAACTTCAAAAATTAACTGCTGTCTGAAATCTAAATATTGTAACATGTTCTTGTAGAATCCCTTGACGGTAAGCATACCCTTAATATTATGCTAATATTTTATTGAATCAGACGTAAAGTTCCCAAGGTCATTGTATGATGTACCCAAAGAAAAGGTTTCAGGTAAGATTGATTTACAAATGTTATAAGAAGTCTTTATGCAGTGCCATTTTCTTTTACATTCAGCTCCGCGATTCTAGCCAAAAGGTCTTGGACGAGGTTTTCCCTAGGAACTTCGTCCTCTTGCCTCGTCTTAATGTTTCGAACTTTAACCACACCACGCTTGAGCTCCGATTCGCCTAGCACTACAGCCAAGGGGATGCCGTTCTCTTCACAGTGTTGTAGCTGGGTCAGCATTTTAGGATTTTTCTTGTAAGATTGCTCTGTCTGAAAAGACAGTTTAAAAAAAAGTTTAGTTTTCCATTAAACCGACTTAAGTTCTTTGATATAATCTAGAAACCACTGAAAATTTTATATTACACTTGTCTTCTATCTACAACAGTACTCGTATCATGTTGATTTAAAAAATTTGGATTGACTCTAGAAATATGTTTATAAGTGAAATACCTATTAATTAAGACCTAGAAAATAATGAAGTGAATACTGGTAATATGTGAAATACGGTTTTACGGCAGAGATAGTAGTTTGGTACAGTAGTTTTAATCTTAATTAAAATTACCTTGATGCCAGCATTCCATAAGTCAGTGCAGATCTTCATCCTCTCTTCAAGGAAATTCTTCTGCGCAGATGCCACATAGACGTCAATTTCGTTTGTACGCACGCTGATGTCGCCTGCAGCCAATTTAGCTTCAAGCACTGAGAATACACGCTCCACACCAATACTCACACCCACGCAAGGTACCTGATTTAACATAGAATATTTTTTGTGGATTAATAGCTTTGAAATAAGTAACCATATTTATTTTAGTATATTTAAACTTAATGGATTAAACTCATGTGAGGTTTTTTGTTTGCTGCACATGATAGAATAGTCCTAGATAAAAAGCCACTATAAAACCAAAGTATTAATAGCAGTCTATTACGGAAATACACAATTCTTAACAGTGTGAATACAATGTTGACTTAGGATAATCTAAAAGAAAAATCAACAAAGTATTTGGTGTTATTTGTAGCAAGTTTTTTTTAAATAATTTTGCAAATAAGTAACAATAAATTTAAAAACCGGGTTTATACGGCAATTGAATTTGTTCAACAGTGGAATGCAATAGGCTGATTGCTTAATTGATTGATCGACATACTTAACGAATATAGTTTCTTCACACCACACGACACAGCAATCGATCATTTTCAAATTTCTTATACATACATAGACACCACCACATTAACTGTTTCAGTGAGCTATTTAATGATACAAGTTTTACAATTCAGAAATTATGATTGCAGTTACATGCAATATTAAAGTGACTGCATAAACTGACAAAGAACTGCTTATTTTTATAAGCAAAAAGAACTATATGTATAATCAATGTTTTTTGTTCGAAATAGTAATATTTTGTAATAATTTCATGTACATACCATAACGTTTATAGTTCGACAAATATATCACTCATACATGTTAGTGGCAAACTATAAGGCAATACAGATTATTATTATTAATGTTGGTAATTTACCTGTTTATTTTTTGAGTCAAACATGCCAACAAGATTATCGTATCTACCACCACCAGCGATTGATCCGACAGTCTGTTCTTCATTGCCGATTTTTATTGGTTCTGAAAGGAAACACATCATCTGTACCTATTCTTTAACCACCTATCGACATATAATTAAAACGAAGATATTCACTAGCGCTTAAAGTATATCGTACGCATACTATATTTACAAATAATTGAGTATTTAATTACACTAACCACAACTTACTTTTTTGTGGTCTTACACTCAAATGTTAGAAGTCTGTCAATCAGTTCTGGTCTAGGGTGTATCCAGATAGATTAGAGTTAGACCAGTAGTGTAATATTAACACATGTTTAAGATTTCAAACAGATATGGTCGCTAACTTATTAATACATTTAGGATATTTACTTCAGTGGTCTGAATTAAAGAACGTGATGCTGTAATAAACAACACCAATTCGCATTCGTAAGTCAAGAGAAGTATACTAATAACAACATTTATTATACTTGTATATTTAATATTATTGGCATATGTACATGGAATTTAATATTAAACTCACGAGTAAGAACAGCTTCATAAATAACTCCTGTGTAATAATCCAAACCCCTTGCAAGGCTGAGATCAAATAGTATTTTATTTTTGATACCAAAGAGCTCACAATACTCTAATAGTAATTTGATGCCCTGTAAACCTTCAACAGCTGCTTTAGTTTTAGATAATTTCTCGTCTTTGAGTAGTTGGTCGACTAACTCAACACCACCGTTGAGGCGAACATATTCGCCTATTCTGTCGGCTGCTTCGGGAGTAATGCCTTTTTCATTTATCATTTCGGTTCTCACTTCTTCCCAGGGTGACTGCAAATTATAATCATATAAATAATAAAATGCCTTTCGTTTTTTCTAAACTTAGTACCTACATCTTCCGTGACGACGTTGACGAACTATGACCATTTACATTATGACAAAAGCATATTCTTATAGTAATAATTGTAACAAGAATCTTATTCCATGTTACATACTAATTAATTATTTTTAGACAGTTAAAATGTCTACACAATATGTGCAAATAAAAAGTCTTTAAAAACTTTTAAGTATATATAGTGTTGGAGTTTAAGTATTTTGACATGCTATGATTATAGTCTATACAATATCGATCTCTAGCAGGTATATATTATATTATAAATAATAAAAATTTAAAAGTATAAATATAAAAAGTTAGACTTTGTTGCTACTCAAACTATATTGTAAAAATATATATTTACTGTAACTACTCGTTTTTTATTATTAGTATCCTGCAGTTTGAAATATTATAAATAAATATTTAGTTAGACAACAATTTTTTCAAGACCTTGGCCATCTAATTTACTACAGCAAGGAAACAGAAAGTGAAACATATTTGTTGTTGGAATTTAGAGTAACCCACAATTCAGTACCGATTAAAGGCAATTAAACTACCTTATCTAGTTTGTCAACAGTAGAACATGTAGGGCGGAACTTGTCGTCTGGTACTCCACAAGCTTCAAACATGCCATCTAACAATCGCCGGTGATTGATCTTTAACACATACTGTCCAATTTCAAGAGAATCCATAATTTCTGTTACAACTTTCAGGCATTCTGCGTCTGGTACCATAGGGTCATATTGACCTGCTATATCAAAATCCTGTAATGTTTTAATTACATTGTTTAGAAAAGGCAAGCACATAGTTACGTACATTGCACAATATATAATTAGGCATATCAGTATTTTACGGTAATATGTACTAAAAGTTGGTTCTTTAAGGAATGTATGTAGTTGTTAATATAACTCACACATGTACAAAATAAACTCAATACAATAACCATAATATCATTTCTGGAACTCTTAAATACAATAACCACAACTGACATCTAGGTATGTAATTGTGGGTTGGCTTTACAAAAGATATTTAAAGCAAAATTAATGCATATGAAGTTGTTAAAATATATGTTAAGAAACTTACACATTGATAAAACTCTCTGTAGCGGCCCCTAGTCATTGCAGGGTTATCCCGCCTATATACTTTGGCAATGTGATAACGCTTTAAAGTGTTTATCTTGTTCATAGCTAAATAACGCGCCAATGGCACAGTTAAGTCATATCTCAGTGATAGTATCTCACCTCCTTGGTCTTTCAAATCATAGATTAATTTTGAATCTTCACCATATTTACCAGTTAACACATCCTGAAATTAAAGTGTTTGATGACATTAAAAAATAGAATTTTCAAAACTAAATGAAAATAAATATTCCTCTTAAATTAAACTGTCATTTTAGAATTATTAAATAATAAAAACAAATACTGACAGTGTAAAGAGTTTCAAAATGCGTCAAACCAACAAATATCAACAGTTGTAGATAATTGGACTTCCCTGATGAAGCTGTGGCTGTTCCCTGTGGCTTTGATTTCATAAAAAATCTGACGGTTCTACATACTTAAAATTACTGGTTGTAGGTTGTAATTACTAATTTAAATTAAATCTAATTAATTTATACTTCCAACCTTTAGCTCAAAGACAGGTGTATCAATACACTCTGCACCATGTCTCTTGAAAACCGCAATGATTTTTTCAAGCACTCCATTCCTTAAAGTCATCTGTTGGGGATTGTAATCCCTAGTACCCTTAGCGGTCTTGAGAGAAAACTTCTGGGGAGTAGCATCTTCAGTTTTGATCTGTGCCTTTAATGCAAGTAATTTGGCTACTTCTTCTTGAATCTAAAAAAAAACAAGGTAATAATTAATAAGTACCGGTAAAACTTATTTGACATAAATATGTCTTACTGCAAGGTAAGCAACACATGTTTTGTAGGATCTACGAACATTGCTTGTCATGCTTATGATAAATCAATATTTATATAGTTAATGCTTATGATAAATAAATTTTAAAAAAATATAACAATATTGGCCGAATGGTGGTTTGTGTAACGGACTGCTATTCCAAAGGTTGCGGGTTCAATTCCTGCTCAAGTCAAACATTTGTGTGCATGAACATTTAATGTTTGATTTGGTCAGGGTATTTCTATGTATAATAAGTATGTATTTACAAAAAAAAAGTATATATGTATTTATATCAGTTGTCTAGTACCCATAGTACAAGCTCTGCTTAGTTAGGGACTAGATGGCGTTGTGTGAAAGTGGTACAATATTATTATTATAATAGTTGGTAAAGTTTTTTTTTATGATAGAGGGGGCAGACGAGCAGAGGGGTCTCCGGATTTTAATTTTTATTTTAAGGTATAAATATGAATAATACTTATTTTTAGAGATTAATGTAAATGACTGTACAAATTGTAATAAATAATAGTATCACTTTTAATTTAAACATAATGTTTAACACCAGACTTTCTGACAATATGCTTTGCAATATAATTTACCATTTACCAATTACAATTAATTTATGTTCATGATTGGATAAATATCCAATCATGAACATAAATTAATTGTAAATATATTAATTACAAATTATAAAAATAGGCATAAAATTTAATGTGAAATGTATGTAGATGTGTCTGAAATAAGTCTGATTAATATTATATAAAAAAAAAATATCTCACATCAAAATTCTTCACTTCTTTAAATTTGTTTGGAACAGAAATATTGTACAATAGAAATAAACCTTATAAAAGCTCTATTCTAACAAAATAAAAAAAGAAGGAAATAACCTATGTAATTTAAAGCAAGACAACTACCTATAAATTATAAGCAGTAATAGGCCAATACCTTACACTGAGATGATGTGGCAATACATTTTGTGAAATTGGTGCTCGGAACTGAGTTGTGTAATCGCATCACAGTTGCATGATTCCTAATAAACCATAACACTTTGTACGACATGCTTGGCTACTTATATCTTCACACTTTCAAACAATATGATTTCTCGTCACCACCCACAGCATTACTAATTATATCCGGAAACAAAAAAATTAATTGTGTCATAAGAAATTATTTTCAGTTTGAACTTGAGTATAAAATAAAATCTTAAACAATAATATAAAAAGTAATAACTTCAAAGGTAGGGATGACGAGACAACCATTTGATAAAAATCAACCAAATGTTGTTAGTAAATTAATAGAAGAGGAGTGTACGTTGAACCAATTGAAAGTAAATTATGACTACATACATACAGGCCAATACAACAGTTAAAAAACCATCACACACCTGCTGATTAATTTTACTTTCATCTCTCATGTTTTTCCACTCTTTAGGAAAATCCAATTTAGGAAATAAAGATATTTCAGATTCTGTGAAACTCTGCATATGGTACCACCACCTCTTGAGGTGCTTGTATTTTCTTAAATTTATTTTTTTTAGAGTCCTCATCAAAGCTATGTCACAATAACATGGAGTGAACTTACAAACGTAACTGTATTGACTGAAATGTTTATCTAATGCTGCTAAATCATATTTAACATTACTCCTCTTCCCCTACAATATAAATTATTTTAAGTTTACAATGTGATGCAATACTATAACAGTTTTACAATATGGAACTTCCGTGCCATAAAAGGTATAAACATAAAACTAACCTTTTCACCTGATTCTTTAGCAGCTTTTAATTTTCTAACAAGATCACCTTGCTCTTTGATTTTCAAAAGCAGTGTTTCTTGGTTATCTGCCATTATAAACTTGAACTTAAAATGTATGTGTATCCGTATCCGCTCAAGGCTTCTAAGTAAAAGTGTTTCAGTACAGTTCACTTGGTTTTGTCCCTTTCATTTTAGATTGCAGCAAATAGCGTAGCAGCAAGTACGGTAACTTTTTGCACTACCTGCATAATAAGAGGTTAAGTAATAAGTTAGCACAATGTTAAAAAAATCTGTAAACACATGCATAAATTGTTTGTCATCTCTGTCTTACTTTTGCACATGACAAGTAAGACAACTGTACCTCTCTTTCATTTTATTACTTGATCTGTGAAATAATCAAACAGTAAACTCTGGAACACTTTTTTTGACAACAAATGTCACTATTGGGGCTGCCAGGAGTATCTAGCGATGTTTTTTTTACTACACCGAGTAATCTGACTAAATAATGAAATTAAATATCTGAGGTGATCCTTTGACATTTAATTTTCTCGTATTGAAAGTCTCTGAGTTTAAGTTTTCTTTTACTCTGAGGTACAGTGCTGTCAACAGGTCAATTGTCAATGTCATTACCATATTATGTTTGCTTGTCAATGTCAAACTGTCTGATCTGAAGTCATCAAGTCCCAAATCTATTTTAATTATTCTATGCTTTATTTTTTTAAATATCTTAAATGAAATTCTACTAGAATGGATAGATTTGAATACATAGAGGCGCGTTTATTCGAAGGTGAAGATTACCTCAAACGTGACAAAAATGTTAAGATATATGATGGTGATGATAAGGTTGTTTATATTTCTAAAAATCAGAAAACATAAATTGGTAACTATTCCAGAAAACGTCTAGAAAACTATACGTGTTTCAGACCCAGTATACAGATGGTGAAGTAGTGCTGACTACGCATAGGATTTTATGGGGAAAACCAGGCGATATACCTAAAGGGCTTGTATGTTTATCACTTTATTTATATTATGTATTCTGCATAGAAGAAGAAAGTGGTGGAGTATTTGGCCTTGGGGGACCTAAAAGAATTATATTGCATTTGGGACCTACACTTCCAGGTATATTTTTTTTTTTCAGTATATGTTAAGCCTATTGTATTTGTCTTGATGAGATGTCAAACTGTTGTAGCCTTTGTGCGTGTTAGCTGTGTTTAGCTAATTGTCTTTTAAGTTATTTTGTCTCTGTTTTAGGTAAGAGACCAGGTCCAGCTGTTGTGAGCCCCTACCATTTTATCAAGTTTTCATTTAAGGATGGCATTGATCAAACTTTCTACAAGGCACTTAATGACGCTGTTACTGCCAAAGCATGGGAAAGACTAACTCCTGTTTTATCACCTGTCAATTCGGCCAGTGCACACTCATTGTCCAAGCCATCAGTACAACCTGTCAATTCAAAAATTCGTTCCGGAATAGTAGGCATTGAGAGAAGCATAGAAGAGCAGCACAGGCAAACTGGTGAAAGCATTACAGTAGCTTTCAAAGATTTAAGAAAGTTGATGGAGAAGGCCAAAGATATGGTGGCAATTTCTAAGAATATTTCTACTAAAATTAGGGTGTGTATGATATACAACAAATGTCACTTGCCAAACTGTACACTGAAATAATATGAATATCCTTTACAGGAAAAGCAAGGTGATATTTCAGAAGATGACACTGTAAGGTTTAAAGCCTACCTGATGAGCTTAGGTATAGATGATCCAGTTACTAGAGATGCATTTAGATCCGATTCTGACTATTATTTAGGTCTTGCGCAGCAAGTATCGGATATGATGGTTGCTGTTCTCATGGTGAGTAGATTCACTAACTTGTAGCCTAGTGGTGAATGATATTTAGAAGATGTGTATCATCATGTGCATTATCACTTCCTATGTATCTAGCTCGTCTATCAAGCAGAATAAACATGCAACTTACATGCAAAATTTTAATAATATGGGCCCCTTTTTTTATTGAAAGTCATTATAATTTATATCAGACACCATTCCTCTCATCATTCTGAATCTCTGGCATTTGAGAATAATGCCAATTAGAATATATCTATACAAATAAATAAAATTGGAGTGTCTGTTTGTAATATTAAAATAACCGCTTTTTACTAAATGCATATGTATGTTTACACTGTACATATGCCAAAATAACATTTTTTACAATTTTTGACTGTCTGTCTGTCTGTTTGTTCCGGGTAATCTCTGGAACGCCTGGATCGATTTCGACAGAACTTTCACTGGCAGATAGCTGATGACATAAGGAGTAACTTGGCTACTTTTTTTAGACTAGCTTCGCCCCGCGGCGTTGCCTGCGGTTATAACAACAAACGCGGGTAACACCGCGGGTCTCAGCTAGTTATTACTATATGTATTGTTACAGTAGGTATTTAAAATAAACATTTACAATGTAGAGCAACTGTTTACAATGTATCAAATATTAAAACATTTTTTTTTATTCTGATTGCAACAATAGTGTTGCAATCAGAATAAAAAATAAAGTAAATTGTACATAGGTACAATTTATATACAAGAGATTGCTGTACTACCATTTTAATGATTGCATTTGTTTTAGGAATGTGGTGGAATAATGTCTTTAGCTGATGTTTGGTGTAGAGTGAATAGAGCCAGAGGTTTAGAGCTTATATCTCCTGAAGATCTCATGAATGCTTGCAAGTTTGTATTCTATTTATAATTAATGTGTATCTATAGCACAATGTAAGTACATAGTAGTAGCATAAAGATAGATAGTTTTAGATTGTATGTTATATTTAAATCACTTGATGTTTATATGCTCATTGTATGAAATGAAAGGATTGCAAGAATGTAGTACAGTACTGGTGAAAATAATTCTTAGATTATCACAGTACATTCACTTATAACAATGGTGTACAACAGGCATTTTTAATTGTATTTAAATATATTTTCTGCCTAGTTTGAGATCAGACGGCCGTGAGTGAGACGTGTGAAGTACATTATTATTATTATTCTCTTTATTTACTTTATATACATATTATTTACATTTTTAAACATACACTTTATAAAAAATTATAAAAAAATACATTTAAAAATATAAAAAATAGCAGACCACCGACATCGGGTACAGGGACCAAGACACCGGTGGTTAGGACTCCAAAGATAGGAACCTCCTCACTATACGAGCCGTGTTAAGGAGGACTGCCTTCTGCATCAGACCCTTGATCCAGCCGTCCAACGTGAGCCTCTTAAGGTGTTGGTCGAGGCTCTTGGCTATCAATCCGTGAGCAGATACGACTATCGGAACAATGATCACTGAATCAACATTCCACATATCGACAATCTCGTGAGATAAATCCAAATATTTAATTTGTTTTTCTTTTTCAACTTTCACGAGATTCTCGTCATGAGGAACGGCGATATCAACAATCATTGCGCGGCGCTCTAATCGATCTATCAGCACAATATCAGGCTTATTGGCAACAATCGTCCTGTCTGTGATAATAGATCGATCCCAATACAACGTGGCCCGACCATTCTCGAGAACTGGGTCGGGCACATACCTGTAGTATGGCACCTCTAGATTCACAAGATGGTATTTAAGGGCAAGCTGTTGGTGTACGATCATGGCTACTTGGTTGTGCCTGTGCAAATATTCTCCGTTAGCAAGACGAGAACAACCAGAAATAATATGCCTGATTGATTCGCCAGGACGGTGGCATGCCCGACAGATGTCAACCGTACCATCTTTCAGGATATATTTCCGATAGTTATTCGTCATGATAACTTCGTCCATAATCGCACAAACAAAACCTTCAGTTTCTCCGAAGAGATCACCATACCGTAGCCAAGTCGTAGATGCTTTTAAATCTATATCAGATCCGTTTAGGGCCCGATAAAACCGACCATGGAGTTCTTTGCCCTTCCATACTTCCCTGCGATCATTAACACTAAGTACTACAGGTCTGCGCCAATTCTCTTTAGCCAGAGCGAGCGGGGTGAAGCCGGTATCCACTGCAACTACATTGCGATGCACTCCCACGTCAGTATGTAGAAAATATTCTCTGAGATTGCATATCTCGCGATTATGTAGGGTCTTGATATTTAATAGTCCGCGACCCCCAAGCTTTCGCGGGATATACAATCTCATAACTGATGAACGTGGGTGGTGCATTCGGGATGCAGTCAGCAGTGTACGGACTTTCCTGTCAAGGGCATCTTTATTATTATTATTATTATTTTTACTTGTAGATTACTGCAGACTATTGGAGCTCCAATGTCTCTTAGAAAATTTCCAAGTGGAGCTTGTGTCCTCCAACTCAGCAGTCACAGAGATGAAGAAGTTGCTAAGAGCACTAGTGAACTGGTAAATTACTTATGGTTTAAATATAATAATATGTATATTTTTGTTTTGTGTCTCACTCTATTTAGTAATACTAACAACCACAATGTAGCTGATCCAAACAATCATCTCGTTTCCGGATTAAAATTGTGGAAGTTTCATTTCTTTACAAATGTTAAACAGTTACTCAACAGTAATTTGTTCATGTGCTAAGGAATAGGTGTGAAAAGAATACTAAAACGACTTTTTAATTTCAGCTTGAAGAAAATGGTCATCTCACACCTGAGAAACTATCACAAATCGCAAATGTGTCCGTCCTATTAGCACGCGAGCGCTTGTACACTACTGAGCGCCTAGGCATGGCATGCAGAGACGAATCTATTGAAGGCCTCGCATTCTACCCGAACCTATTTCTAAGAGAAGCCTCTTAAGAGTATTGTTAAAACCCTGTTAATAATGTTAAAAGTTTATTATACTAATTTTTAAATAATAAGTTTAAGAAGTCATTTCGACAATAAATTTAATATGTGCTTGTATTTGTGATGGGAGGGTCTGTTGTAAATAAGGAAAACAACACAACATTGAACAAGTTAAAGTGATTAGTGAGTTAAAATAAATAAAATCCAATTTAAAAATATATGAACGAATATTTTCGGGATTAAGCTCGTGAATGCGTGACGAGAGCGTTACGAAAAGTGTGATCGGGCGAGGCGAACGGAAGGTGAGAGGGAGAAAGAAAGTTAGTGAAGATAGAAACAGAGAGAGTTACGTTTCGTATATTACTGTAGGGGCAAGACAGGTGCGAGCACACATTTTCTCTCTCTTTCTCTCATAGCCAAGAAGTTTTACTTCAGTTGTGTGGTGTAAAGCACACTCGATTTTTTATTTTATATATTTGTGTACTTAATCAAAAGTAGTAATTTGCTCGAACTATATTTTTTTTGAGTAGGAGCTCAGACATTTTTCTAAACGAAACTAACAAACAGTTCCAACAAACACACAGACATTATACAATACCAATCATTACTAGTCTATTTGTTTGTTAGTCTATTTGTGCCCCCCCGGCGACTGTCAAAGTGAGCGGACGTGTGTCGATTATACTCCACAGTTTTTATTCAAAAAGTTCATCAAATTTAAAATAACCAACTATCTAATAGTATAGTGTTGTGTACCGTGAGAACTCGAAAAAAATGGTGTATGAATCACATCTATGCATAAAGAACTGAGTGAGTTACAAGCAAAATCATTTTAAAAATTTCCGTTAACGCACAAAACGTTTGTAATTAACATCCAACAGGTGTCAACGATTCAAGGTCACTTCTTCCTCAGTCATTGACCCGTAAGAATAGATGAACCAACAGGCTACCAAATTCACTTTTACCTAACAAGTAGCGTTGGTCTGGAGGCTCAAAGTTAGCCTGTTGAAAGGTCGGGCGTTCAAACCCCGCGCCTGGAAGTAAGTTTTTGTGGTTTTCGATACAATTATTTCAAAGTTTATGAGACGGTGACACAAAGATAGACGTAATCCGAAGACATAAATTCCATTCAAGTTGTAATTAATATATCACAGAGTGCAGCACTGTTTCTGTGAGTACTGGTTGGATGTAAGTTGTACTATTACGAGTAAATATGCCGAAAACAAAAAGAACTCCCCCAGCTACACCCAACGAGCAATCAACGATAAAGGTAACAGAGAATTCTAAACAAGGCTCAGACTTAGTAAAACCGATAAACGACTCCGTACTGCAACGGTGCGAAACAACAGTCGATCCCCACAAACTCACCTCGACCATAACAGAGCGCAAGAAAAGGAAACTTACTGAACATGATAATAATATGCCATCATTGCTGCAAGAAATGTTTGACCAATTTTCTAAGGAACAGGAGAGGCGGTTTGAAGAACTAAAATCCACCATTAGTGATATATCTGCTCAAAATACAGAATTAAAAAATAGTCTAGTAATGATGTCTGACAAATATGATGAGTTCTTAAGTAAATTAAATTCCTTGCAATTGGAGTGGCAAAGTGATAAGAAAACTATTCGACAACTGGAAGATAGAATTGAGTATCTTGAGAGAAAGACGAGAATTTCAGGCATCGAAATACAAAATATCCCTAAGGCAGATAAAGAATCGAAAGAAAATCTATGCGGGATTGTCGAGAGCTTAGCGAAAACTATCGGTATCGACATGGACACCTCAAAAATCAGGGATGTTTACAGGATCAACACCAAAAATAATACTAGTCCCATATTAGTAGATTTTTCCTCTGTATTATTGAAAGAACAATATTTGAAGGGTATTAAAAGATTCAACCAAGATAGAACTAAATCCGAGAAACTAAATACTACACATGTCAACCCCATCTACCATCTCAAGCCAATATATGTATCAGAAACTCTCACTCCGAAGTCACGTAAATTATTTTATCTTGCAAGAGTATTCCAAAAAAGTCATGGCTATATGTTCTGCTGGACCACGAACGGTATTGTCTATCTCAAAAAAAATGTAAATTGTAATCAAATACGAATATCGACTGAATTAGACATCGAAAACCTACAGAAATCTGGATGACTATCTGTAATAATTTTCATAGTTTGCATTTTTATTTTTTATATTCTTATTAACTACCACATTAATTTAATTTTAATAACTTTAAAAATTCGATTTTTATATTTAATTATTACATTTAATATAGCCCACCTGTATTTAATAAGCGCTGGTTATAAAACGTACCACACAACATTTAACACGAAACAATCATCTCAAACACATCTCTCCTGTATTGTATTTACACAATTTATTTTTAATCATTTTATGTACATGATACTCTTAACACTCAGTCACATTTCCACACCTCACAATACACACGCTCATAGCCCGTACAAATTCTGTAATATGATATGTTTTCACATCAGCTGTGGCTCTGTTGGAGAAATGCGGCTAATAAGAAACTATCTTCTACCTAGGTTGTCCATACCACAGAGACTTACATTAGAAGCATCCATAACATACTCTAACATTCGATCATAATACTCAAACTTCAATATACACCGAATTAGATAATGTAACAGTGGCTGCCTCTGGCACTTGTGACATAGACACCTGCTTCCAACATATGTATACGTGCGGTAGCTCGCTAAACATTTTCATACAAAATATAAGAAGTATCCATCGTAATATTGCCGGACTCCATACCCTTCTTGAGCGGTCTGGAATTGAGTGGGACATAATTATTCTAACCGAATGCTGGATTACACGGAACCAGCTGTTACCACCTATTGATGGTTATCATACCGCGTATACTAAAAATGTTAAGACCCAAAATGAGGGAGTCGTTGTGTATTACAAATCGACCTACAAGTACACCATATTTGAGCCCTCTTTAATGGATGGCAACTGTTTGGTGATTAAAGTCGATACCCAAACTGCAATAGTCTGCATTTATCGTCCACCAGCACTAAGAAATATCTCTAATTTCATTGTATCCCTAAACGATATACTAGAGTCGTTGTCAGATTGCAGAAATATATTTCTTACAGGTGATTTGAATATTGACATCTCCACTGCTACGTCTGATACACGATCCGAAATATATCTCAATCTCTTAGCTTCCCATGGTATGTTGCCGGCTTACCACATTGCGACACACTCACAAACTTGTCTTGACCATGCAATTATTAAGTCACAGCTTCAGGTAGTAAGCCTAGTGGCGCATACAACCTTAACTGACCACTATAGCATCATTTTAAGTATTTCTGGAGCCCACCCACCACGGTCTTGTGTAAAAACAACAAAACAAATAAATTATTCATCCCTCGACGAGAAACTCCAAAGCCAAAACTTTGAAAGTATCTACTCAATGCAGTGTGCCAATGACGCAGTATCATATCTCTTCAACACCCTGTCTCATCAATTAAAAAGTTGTACTATAATAAACACAGTTTCAAGGCGAAAGCGTATCATTAAACCTTGGATTACACCAGGATTGTTACGTTGTATGCGAAACCGCGACAAACTGCATTTGAAGTATAGAAGAGATCCTAGTTATAACAATAAACTAATATACACTAGATACAGAAACTTTTGTAACAACATCCTTAAAAATATCAAGCAGCAACACGATAAAAGTGAACTCGCTAAATGTGGAGGCAATACAAAAATGTTATGGAAGCAAATTAAATCAATCACATGCACTAAAAAACAAAGCACTCCATCTACAAACCTGATTGATCCAACAAATCCTTTGGCTTCAATTAATCGTCTTAATGAGTATTTTATACGGGTAGGATTGTCACTCGACAATACAAACACACGAACTTGCCCAATTACTTCTCAGCCCTACTTCGGACACCCAAAGCATTCTTCGTTTGTATTACTTCCAACGGATACTAGAGAGGTTGCAAACATCGTGTCTTCACTTAGAGCTAATTGCTCATTGGGAATAGATGATATTGCTAGTGGCATACTGAAAAGATATTTAAATATACTAGCAGAGCCTATTACTTATATTTGCAATGTCTGTCTGTCTACGGGAGTATTTCCTTCGACTCTCAAAAAATCACTTGTGCATCCAATCCACAAAAGCGGCAGTAGAGATAGTGTCACCAATTATCGACCAATATCAATTTTGCCTGCTCTATCAAAAGTCTTGGAAAAAATTATTAATAAACAATTAACCAAATATTTAGAAACAAAAAAAATACTTTCGGAAAATCAATACGGCTTCCGTAACGCTAGATCTTGTGGTGATGCAGTTCATCGGCTCACTGATACTATAGTCGCGAAGCTTGACAACAAGAAGAAAGTACTAACTATATTCCTTGATATCGCAAAGGCTTTTGACACTGTCTCCACGCCTCTGCTGCTAAGGAAACTGGAACACCTTGGAGTCCGTGGAACTCAGCTCGATCTTTTTAAAAGCTATTTAACTGGTAGATCGCAACGTGTTAAAGTTGGGGATTGCATAAGTGATGAACATGAAATTACAAACTCCTCAATTCCTCAAGGGAGCATTTTAGGCCCTACCCTTTTTTTAATCTTTATAAACGACCTTTGCGAACTTAAACTCACTAATGGAAACATTATTACTTTTGCGGACGATACAGCTCTCCTGTTTTATGGTGACACTTGGGAGGAAGTCTTCCAATTCGCCCAGGTTGGTTTTTCACGGGTGACTACTTGGCTCAGAGACAACCTACTTAAACTTAATACAGACAAAACCAAATACATTGCATTTGCTCTATCAAACCATTCCATTAACATTAACCCAGATCTTCACATCTCAGCCCATACATGTAACAATAACCTCTCAAAAATATGTGAATGCCCTAAATTGCAAAATGTTGACTCGATTAAGTATCTTGGTATAGTTATTGATAAAAATTTAAATTATAATATGCACATCGACCTATTAGCAAAACGTGTTAGGAAACTCATATATATCTTTAAGAACCTACGAGGCGTTGCCGACGAGAAGGTGCTTCGGACTGCGTACCTCGCACTATGTCAATCCTTACTGACATATTGTGTTACTGTATGGGGAGGAGCCTCAAAAACCCATATGATGAAATTAGAACGTGCACAAAGAGCAGTCCTCAAAGTTGCACATTGCCTTCCTTTTTTTCATTCAACAAACGAACTCTACGCAAAATGCAAGGTTCTAACGGTCCGTCAACTCTTCGTCCTCAACACTATACTGCGCAAACACTCAGAGATAATCTATCAACCTACTTTACAGTCTCACAAACGAATTAAAACTAAAGTTTGCCCTAAAATATTATGTAAAAGTAGCCTCTCCCAACGCAGCTACAGTTTCCTAGGTAATTATTTATATAACAAACTCAATTCTGTCCTTAATTTATATCCTTTAACCAGGGTTAAATGTAAGCAAGTACTTACTTCACATCTTTTAGAATACAACTACGAATCTACTGAAAAATTACTAACTATCGCAAAATAAAACCTAAGCTCTTAAAGCAATATACGCACACACACATACACAAACATACACACACACATACACGAACATACACATATACACAAATATACACACACCCATACACACACGGGCGCACACACGCACACACGAAAGCGCATACTCATAAAAATAAAAATAATGACTAAATGTTTTACCTGGCAAGATGTTTTATGTGTATTTTTATTTTTGTCTTTTTTTTTTTATTATATTTTTTTTATTTTTCTTTTGCCAATAACTAGACATAAGCATGATACAAACTTTGTACTATGGGGGGGCCTGGCAATCTGTGTGACAGGGTTCCCTAGTGCAGATGCCAGTCTCCCACAATGGTCTTGAGCAATTACTGTAATAAGCTAGTATTAAGTAATCTTTGTGGAAGAGAAAATAAACTTTATCTTATCTTATCTTATCTTATCTTATTTGTGAGCAATGACACTTGTTGTTAATTACAGTACCACACCTGTAGCTCGTATAGCTAATCTAGGCTAGGTAACATTTACCTACACGTCCTTAGCCGCTTCAGATCTCAAAAACTACTGAACCGATTATAGTTAAACCGCCGTAAGCTTGGCCCTCGTGATGGTTTGGGGGACGCGGGGCGGGGGTGCATTCAACCAATTAGCTAGTGCGTCGCTGTCCGCCGGCAGTGACTGACGTGAAAGCATGGTTGTACGTGTTATTTTTCTTAAGACTGCTACACATGGTATTATTTAGCAATATGGATAATCTGCCGACTCTGCGTCACAAAAAGATTTAAAAACTTGAAGTTCGGTTTACAGAGGTTCTACTGTTAAAGTTCTAATAACGAATATTTATTATTTTACTTAATTTTTAAATTGTATCTGAATATAATTTACATGATGAAGATAAGGTGATTTTATTAATATTATTTTACAGTATTAAATTTTACAATTAATCATAAAAACTTACAATACACTGACATTATAATACATGGAAATAAATTAGATTTTCATTACATCGTGTGTAGATTAAATCTCAAACAAATAAATCTGAAGATATCGAGTTAGTACATCGTGTCATGTATAGCCGAGCGCATCACCCGCCCCGCGTCCCGCAAACCATCAGGAGGGCCAAGCTTACGGCGGTTTAACTATAGGGATGGAATAAAATCACAATCACAGCTGATAAATTTTATTATCTATTAATCCTATTATCACACTTGCGACTGATTAACAAAACCACTGCTGCTTATTTATTAATTTTACGATAGCGCAAGACTCGCGAAAGGTCTAAATTAAAAATCGGTCGTAATCTTTGATAAAAAGAATTTTAATTGATTTTAATGCCATTTATCTTTGTCTATTACGAAATCACAATCACATGTGTAATCGCTTTGACTAAAACTAATCATTTCATCACATGAACATGATTTAGAAGTAGCAATAATTTCGCCTATTCCGTTTATGGGGTGTCCATAAGGTAATATGGCACATAAAGCATACATCTTTTAATACGAATGATATCGATACCTCCTAAGTATACTGAGTCATCTAACAAATTTAGGTATTTTAATATTTTTACATAAACGGACATACTAAACCATGATCTTGATGTTAGTGTTAAAAATAAATAAAAGAGAACAATAATTACCGAGATATTTTCACGTATACTAAATCAATTACAACATCAGTTAAAATCGTACATTGTATACTGATCCAAATGATGTCGTACCAGTGTACGCCGGACGTGTGGGGGGACGCATTGTTACAAGTTTATTGTGGCTCAATATACGATGAATGGTAGCATGTGTACACGCAATTTTACTTAAAATTATGCTTTATAAAAATAGTGAATAAAGTAAATGTGGATGTATTTGTCTTATATTGTTTTTTTTTTTAATTTATATTAGTAACAGAATGTAGTCAAACAGGGCGCGATTTTTTTTTAATTTACTCAACGACAATGTGAATAATACCAATAAAACAATAAAATAACTCCGGAATCGGTGATACAATGCAAAATAGGGATGAAAATGGTAAGTTATCTTTTTTTACGTGTATTAGTGTGATTTTGTAATTTTTGTTTGATAATTGTTGTTCATGTTGCTTAGTACGCCGTATACTGATACAACTTTAGTTACACCAGTATACGGCGAAATAACGTTATAAAGAAGACACTTGACTCATCTGGCTATAATAATATACTAATTAAACTTTTGATATTTTTGTATTAATTGTGTTATGATACATATTTTTTTATCTGTTATATATTTTGTTACTTGTTATTGGCATGTTCAACACAAAAATATGAATTATTGTGTTTTTAATTTAAATTATTGTTTGTTTTAGAGTTTCCTTTGCCACCTGATACAAATTTTACGGAAGAGGAGCTGTCAATACTGATGAAATTGATTTGAATGATAGCATAGATGTATTGTAGAATATCCCTTCTAACGCTTCCATAATATTATTCCCTAATTATAATATTCCTTGCTCGTTTATCGAAATTCAAAAAGAAGTTCGATTGCCATCAGTCATAGAAAATGCTCTAGGTGATTAATACGTAATTAATAAAGAACGTCATACGTTGAAGGCGGATTTCAATTGTTAAAAAAAGATAAAGGAAAGCTAAGGGAACTTTTTATAAAATGGTAGGATCGGGAGAGGAAATATAATGTTAATAGAGGGTTGGAAGATGTCAGAAGAAACGGAAGAGTACATGGTATAAGAGTTATAAAAACTTCTTGCCCCGTAAATTGTTGGCAAAAATGTAATGGGAAATTAACAGAAGATATTCGGCAAAGAATTTGGAGTATCCCGGGAAAAAATGATCAGGCCTGATCAGACCTGTTCATGCATGATCAGACCTGAAATTTGACCTGATCAGACCTGTTCATGCCTGATCAGACCTGACGTTAGACATGATCAGACATGATCAGGCCTGATCAGACATGATCAGGTCTGGGCCGTAAAATACGTTCAGATCTGATCAGGCCTGTTCATGCATGATCATGTCTGATCAGGCCTGAATATATTTTACGGCCCAGGTCTGATCATGCCTGATCATGCATGAATAGACATGAGCAGGTCTGATCAGGCCTGATCAGACCTGTTCATGCATGATCAGACCTGGACGTATTTAACACTGCAGGTCTGCTCAGGCATGATCATGCATGAACAGGCCTGACGTGTTAAATACGTTCAGGTCTGATCATGCATGAATAGACATGATCAGGTCTGATTAATAGTTAAATACTTAATTATTATTCCTATATCTTTATATATCGATCGAGCTGGACCAACTGGATCCAACTCGAGTTGAATCAGACCAGACATGTTGATTCGATATATATATATACCTTTTGTTCCATTTCCTAACCAATGCATTTTTTTACTTTCGATTTATTTATATTTTATTAATTATTCTTTCAACTACAACGATAATTTAATACCTTCTAAATTCATGATATAGTCTTGAAATTTACAAAATTACTATTTTATTTTAATAAACATATATATTACATAATTAAAAATTAATAATAAATAACTGGTCATTGTAAATTTCTGTTATAGAAAAGACCTTTGTGTTCTTCCTTCAAGGTTAATATTTTGATTTTCTCTGCTCAAATAATTTTTAAATTTTATAATTTAATTAAAACTTGTGTTTGAAACAATTAAATTTATTAGTGTGTTATTTGCAATGTTTACATAATATACATTTGTGGGTATACTGATCATATGTATATATCACACGCCACAAGTCATCAAGTAAATATATATGGGCACAGCTATGTGTGAGTGTCCTCATGTATAGCACACAACTTTATATGTCACGTGACACACCGGTGTAATTCACTTTCAACATGGATGCCGTCGCATAATAAGAGTATAAACTGTGTGCGTCTTCTACTAGCGTCTGTTTATGTGCAATTGTATGTGATTTATTAATTAATTAAACTTTAAATATTTCACTCTACAAATTTATCTGTGTTGTTTGTGGAGGCATCAAACATGTTTTTAATTCAATGCTATCTATGATGACAATTGCGCCTATATCATCGATAATGATGACAACAAAAAACCTCACGAGCTGGTTAAAGATGATATTACTAAATTCAATATGAAGAAACGACAATATGAAGGAAAAGTGATCGACTTTTCAAGTAAGATATTTAATTATTTTTGTTTATCGACATAAAGGTTATATTATTATTTTTAACATTTATAAAAACTTAAATTTGCTAACATTTGAAAACAATATTTTTTTTAAGTAAATACATTACTCCTGGTGAAATATTCTTTAAATAAATTTCATATTTTTTTAATTACTTGTGTGAAGTTTTCCAAAATATTTGTTAAATATTAGATTCATTTCTGTCATATATGAATAATTCTCATTTGTAATAGTCCATTAAATTTGATGAATAACCATTTATTTTTTTACATACAATAATTAATATTTAATATCTATAGGTAATTCCGATTTTTTACAAAAACGAAGGCAAGATTTCAATAAAACAATCAAACAAAAAAAGAAAGTAACAGCTGGTGTTAATCGTTCGAAACGAAATCGATGCCAAAGAGAAGCTGGAGTCCAGAAAATTCACCACCTCCGAAAAAACTAAAGATTTCAAAGAATGTAAGTTGACTTTATGATTAAAATAAAATTAAACCTAAATATTTTATTATTATATTTTATTTGATTATGATTCAGCGAACGTACGTATAATTTATGTGTAAATATTGATGAAATTTCATTAATGAATACTGAGTTCATGTTCATTTATGTACCGTCATTCAGAAATATGATTTAAAATGATAACCTCCATGTTAAATGTATATCTATAAAGTACTCAAATTAGATGCTTTTAAATTAATTCAAATTGTTTTAAATCGATTCAAATTAGATTTCTTAATCAGGGTATTTAAGTGATAGTAAAAAAATAATGCTATTTTTAATAAATACTACCATTTATTTTTAAATAAATAAATTTTTAGATGAAAAACATAGGAAATAATGTTTACTGCCGAAAAATAATTTATGATTCAGCGCTAGAAGCTTCTCATAAATCAACGCATTTGGCAAGAAGGTTGTTAGAAGGAGTTTTTAACCACGACGCCATGATGGGATGCACATTGACAGGGCAGGCTCCAAGGACTAAAGATAAAAAATCAGCTGTTGTAAATCCATTAGATCAACAGGCGAAAGGCGCGATCGTTGGTGAGTTTTTTTTCTTAATTACTAATCCTAATAGGTAACATTGTGTCAAATTGACTCTAACGTTTTTTTTAAATCTCTGGTTTAAGAACTTCATTTGAAAGCCTCATTTAAAGCCGTAATCTATCAATAATTTGACTGCTCAATTTTACTTGCATGCCAGAGAATAATTTTACAATAATTAGCATTTAATTGTTTAATTTGGAGCGTAATTCTTTGGGTTTGGAATCAAATTGACCCCATGTGACCGTAAATATGGATTATTATCGAGGTGTGATGTGACTCATTATGAACGAACTTTGCAGAGTTTGCGATGCATACAGCCGTTGAGAGGAAGTGGCCGATTCAAAGTCGACAAATCATTTTAAAGGAAATGAGCCAAAGATCACTGAATATAAACGCGACAACATGAAGAAGGAAAAAACTGAAATGAATCCAAAAAGCTAAAAAATTCAATACAGTTTCACATTATACTTTTAATAATTTTAAGTTAATATTAACGTTAAGAAAGTCAACCAAAGAGTTACTTCCATATATCTAATAAAAAAATAAAAGGTGATAATTACCAATTAATCATATCCATAAATCATTGATATAATACTTACATAGATGAGTAATTACCGCCTAAAATCGTTGCTACTGCACATCTGTCCACAGGCATATGCGTAGCAAACGTCAATTCAGTATTCAATGTGGCGTCAACCGAGTTGAACATAGCGACACATGACAGTAACAATCGCCAAAATGGCTAAATGCGTAGTGAAAGGATGCGATTCTAGGTCACAAAACATTAATAAATCATGCGGAATTACTTTTCACGTGTAAGTTTATGGTTTTTGTATTGATAATATCGTAAATAAGGCTAAAATTGAAATAAAACACTGATAATTGTAATTTAGAATCAGTGTTACCATTAAAAAATCATTTTGGTTTTCCCACATTAGTGGGAGAATTTATAATTTATGAAATAATATGCTTTATACTGTTTTTTAAACATTTTGCCAATAATAATAAAATATAGGAAGAACGGTAGTTGTTAGGGCTGGACCGATCACTTTTTTTAGGGACCCGTTGAACGTTCACTGCGAGCTTGGCAGAAGTGCCAAGCTCGCAGTGCTGGAGACTTTTGTACAAAAGAATTAATTCATTGTTTTTCTTAATTTATTATCAATTTTAAATAATAATTGTACAAAATAATAATAATAAAAAATGTTTATCATAAAAAGAAAAAATAAAAAAGTAAATAAACATAAATAATTTTTTTTATAAAATATAAATAAAAAAAAAAAAAAAAAAATTTTTTTTTATTTGTTTTTAAATTATAATAGAATTTGCAATACACCCTGGGGATTATTTATTATCAGTACAAGTTGATCATTCACTTTTATTATTAAATGCTATTATTTTTACATACGTAAAAATAAGATTGTATCATGAAAGTAAAATATCAACACAAACTTATAAAAAAGAGTCTTAAAGACAATTGTATACAAAACTGATGCTTCACAGCGCAGTTTGATTTTACACTGAATATAAACCCTTTTAACCAAATATTTCCAGTTATTTTATTATTTATACCTATTCTATTCAATTCGAAATATATTATTTAGAATATTTAAATTAATTTATTTTATTACAAAATTGTTTTAAAAAAAAATTGTTTCTTAGTTGTTATGGGTAAAATTTCATACGGTAGTCAACACTGGCCCACCATCGTAAAGTTATATCTTTGTCTTTGTCTAATCCGAGCGATGGTATTGTTCTTGTCTCGCGTGTAAATGAGACATAAATATGTTTACTTTCAAATGTTTAGTGGTATCAAAGCTACGTCCTCAAAGTTCAAAAGTGGTTACACTTTTTTCGACGTGTGATAATGAGGTTTGCTTCTCTAGTGTTGTTTTAACTCAATGCCATAAATACTATAATATTTTGTTTCGGATTTTATAAATATTTTTCAGAAAATATTTAATATTCTACGGTTTGTTAAAACTTATAATATAATTATCGGATAATAAAATTTCATTACTTGAACCATATATTATGATTTTATTTCAAACCTGGAAAGGATAATTAGATTAATTAGTTCTGCATGATCTAATCATACAGATTTCAGGCACTTTGATCAACAGAGATTTTTTCAGGAATGAGTCTCAGGCTTAAAATTAACAAAGCTACTCGACGGTGAATCAGATCTGATCAGGCATGAGTCATCAGCCCTGATCAGGCATGAACAGGCATGAGTCGTCAGGCCTGATCAGACCTGAAAAATGACCGGGCCTGATCAGACCTGATCCGGCCGGATCAGGCATGAGTCGTCAGGCCTGATCAGACCTGATCCGGCCGGATCAGGTCTGATCAGGCCCGGTCATTTTTCAGGTCTGATCAGGCCTGACGACTCATGCCTGTTCATGCCTGATCAGGGCTGATCATTTTTTCCCGGGTATATATTGAAGTTGAATAATCCCATAATTTTTATGTATAGATATTATAATATAAATCAAATGAGTAATTAAAAAGTCTCGGTGAATTATGTTAGTCCAGTATACGTTGAGGTTTCAAATGCTAACATAGTTAAGTACTTTCCTAGTATAATGAGTCAAGTGATGTAATTTCAACATTTTATTATTAAGTGAGATAGAAAATACCGAAAACAACCAAAAGTAGGATGACGTTATCAAAATGACAATCATATTTCATAATATATTGGGGTAAGCCATAGATTTTGATGTACAACGTACATGAATATAACTGGTAGTTAAACCATTTTACTGTTGAGTCCCGCCGGCGTATACCCAGTCAAGTACATAAAATATCATTTAAAAACAAAAATCTGCAAAATCATTTTATACCAAAGGAAGAGCTTCCATTCCTTATTAAAAAAACATTTAGTTTATTACGAACAGGTTTAATTTCATTAAAATATATAACGATTTGCCTTCAAATCGCTCTCCTGTAAAATTACTACAATGTCAGTTGACTCATTATACTTAGGAGGTGTCGATATATTGAAGTTGAATAATCCCATAATTTTTATGTATAGATATTATAATATAAATCAAATGAGTAATTAAAAAGTCTCGGTGAATTATGTTAGTCCAGTATACGTTGAGGTTTCAAATGCTAACATAGTTAAGTACTTTCCTAGTATAATGAGTCAAGTGATGTAATTTCAACATTTTATTATTAAGTGAGATAGAAAATACCGAAAACAACCAAAAGTAGGATGACGTTATCAAAATGACAATCATATTTCATAATATATTGGGGTAAGCCATAGATTTTGATGTACAACGTACATGAATATAACTGGTAGTTAAACCATTTTACTGTTGAGTCCCGCCGGCGTATACCCAGTCAAGTACATAAAATATCATTTAAAAACAAAAATCTGCAAAATCATTTTATACCAAAGGAAGAGCTTCCATTCCTTATTAAAAAAACATTTAGTTTATTACGAACAGGTTTAATTTCATTAAAATATATAACGATTTGCCTTCAAATCGCTCTCCTGTAAAATTACTACAATGTCAGTTGACTCATTATACTTAGGAGGTGTCGATATTTTTCTTTGAAAGGCTTCTTCCCGTTTACCCGTTTTAAAAAATTGTAGTGCGAAACTGAAATAGGTAGTTTATTAAAATTCATCACGATGAAGACGCATTAAAGCCGTGATGATTATATATTTCAACATTGAGGGTATTACCATGGCACTATTGTTTAAATATTACTAATCCATAATATGGATTAAATAGAAAAAAAAAAGACATGAAATCTAGCCTATCCACTTCATAATACTTTGATTTTTGTATCTGATAATGATAATTACCTTCTAAATGTGACAACGAATGTATAGCTTATATAGCACCATTAGTTGTCAAATAAATAAATTTCATATACAATCTATAACGCGCATACTCTGAACGAGTATAAGCCAATGTGTACCTTGGCTGGAGTCTGGCCATATGTGTCATTACTGTTGGTTGATCACAATACTGTAAAGGCCCAGTACACAATGGCCAGTAATGGGTCATGCTCCGCAAATACGCAAATGTAGGCCATCATCACGTAGTTCCCACAATGGTGCATAGCTCATTGTGGAGTAACTCTGTCTGTCTTTGATGCTTTCACGGCTAAACTGCTAAACCGATTTTGATGATTCTTGTGAAGAGACTATTCGCACGCAACAAAAAAGCGCTCTATCTTGTTTTTCGGTGACAAACGAAACAGTGGGCGACTGTGTAAGCACCACAGGCCACGCTACATCACGATGCCGCTCCACAGTGGCCAGTCGTCCGTCACTGTATACCATTGCCCCCTGTACACTGCAAATGGCTTGCTGTGGGCCAGCATGGGCCATGTTGACTCGGGCTTTAAGCTACTTCGGCGAGCGAAACAAGTATCTATAGCATTGGCTCTATATAACTTTGAAAAACCCAACCACAGAGGCCTCCATACCTACATGCCTATGCATCTTGCATTGCACATCAGATCTTCCAAAATCCTTGTAAGGGTGACCTAGTAGCAGTTAAGTAATAGATTGATCAGTACTAGTAGTCATTAAATAAATACAAAACATATTGCTACTATGACAATCTCATCTCTTACCTTAAAATCTGGAGAAACTAAAAGAGAAAATGATTAAAGATCAGGATCAATTATATAAACTTTTCCAAGCACATACAGGTTTTATTAAAAGCTTGGCTTTCAACATCACAAAAGCTGGCTTATTTCAAGTGATTATTATATAAATTTATATTTTCTTTTCACAGTACATCTTACTTTCATGACAGAAAACCTTCTCACAAAATATTCTTCAATCTTACACCAAAATAGTTTAATTATCTTAAGATATGATGGAAAGCATTTACCTTATGTGAAAAACCTTAATATTTAGATAGTGAAAGTCAATACAAAGCCTTACCATAACCTCATTCCATAAATACAAAAATAAGTTAATTTATGAAAATCTAAGAAGATATTTAGACACTTGCGTTGAGTAATCACAGATATATCAAACACTAAGCTGACATTTATTGTTATAAATATTTTAACCAGTTTATGCAAAAAAAAAACAATCAATGACAAAGAATAAGTACTTTTCCTTATTACTACTACCATATCTATTCATAAATTGTCTACAGTAATAAATTGCACATCTTATTTTTGAACAGGACCCAAGTGACAAATATTTGTAATAAAAGTATGTAAATACGTAAGAGACTTCAATAAGCCTCTGGTTTACCCCTTCAAGGCTTATAAGCTGAGTGTATATAAATGCAACTCCATTCTATTAGTTTTGTTAACTGATTATAGTTTCGATAAAACATTTTTTCTCAAGATGGCTACCACTTACACGCGTAATTATTATTTACTTTGCAGACCCTTATACCAGACAAAAGCCAAAACAGCAGGAAACCGATAGGTGCTAGAAAAGAAAAAAATCCTAATCTACATATACAAATACTAGTTCTCTAATTGATGTTGGAATGTCTTTCCGATAATATATTTTCAATACTCAATTGCACTCTTGAAATCCTTTGGTAACTGATTATGCTTGCCACAGAGTTCCCAAGCTTTAAAGTCATCACATGAACGAAGATTTTCTACAAAGCATTCCACTCCTCTCACAAATGGCAACATTATTTCATCATTGATCATTTCTGATAATCGATGAAGGAAAGCTGCATTTTTAGCAAGGCTGTCCTTAATTTTTGTTGCTAATGGACGTTCAGTACATTGGACTATGTCAAGCTGCAAAAATAGAAAAAATATCAATTAGTGCTTAACAGATGTACAAGTAAGAAATACTGTTTACTCTAAAATCTTGTTATAACTTCAATACATTTGCAAATTAGTTGATTTTTATTTTAAAAGATTTAATTTCTGACAGGTTTAACTATGGAGCAAATACAAAGAGGAGACGTCATCAGCCACTTATCACAGTGGGTGTTGGCTTAAAATTAGTATACACAGCGTCCGTACTGTGTGTGTCGCGATATCACAAAACAGTATATTTTCATGGTATTAAGAAATCACATTTTATATTTTATCGTGTAAATGTCATTCGGATTGACGTTTTCCTGTCATAGATTGCGTCACATTTCATTTGCAAGTAATTTTATACTTATTAAAATCATAAAAAAATAGTTCTAGAAACGTCTCCTAGGGCCGGTTTTTCAATCCCCAGTTATACTGTGAGACAACTAATTTTGGAATAAATTTATCTTGCTGTTTATCAAGCGAATAAAGTTTTTCGGTTTTTCAAGCGGGTGTAAAATGACAGATAGTTACTTGATGGTCTTTCATAGCTAAGTTCACCATAATTATGCGCAAGCTAGATGCAGTTATACACTTAGTAACACGTTAGATAAGGATCGCAAGCTATGACACAACATTTGTGTCATTCTTTTCTTGTAATTGGTTTTCGTCAGATAATAAGACAACCTTATTGACGGTGGTAGTGACGGCGAACAATGGTGTAGTGGTTTGTGTAACGGACTGCTACTCGGACGGGCGCGGTTACTATTCCAGCTCTTAGTTTGGGACTAGATGGCGTTGTGTTAATGTGGTATAGCATATTATTATGATTTCGTATAAAATAGAATCAATTAAAAACGAGCATCAAAATTTTGAGAAATCACACAAAGTATTGTCACATCTTTCTCTAAAAACCCTTACTTTTCTCTCAGGAAAATTTAAATACTCACTAAGAGCAACGTATATAAACTTTACTACAACAATTTTTACAGAATTAGATACATACATTCATTACAATTACACAAAAGTCAAAATCACTAGTTTGATTCTTTATAATGGAGATAGGCGACTTTTAACCGCGATAACCCACATACACGCGGGCGGAGCCGTAGGCCAAAGCTAGTACCTCATAAAAGTTTCTATTTTTTTTTCATTTATTGTTTTTTGTCTCAGATTGGCATTCGAAAGTGCAATCAGATGCCTAAATTAAAATTTAATATTTTAATTTTTATTTGATTTGTAACTAAAATTGCATTCATTATAATTATTTGTTTATTATTTAAATTATCTCTTTTTGTGCGCAGTGGAATGACAATAAAACAACAAGATAAGCCTTACACATTAATACAGATAAAATAAGAATAATTAAAAGAACAAATTTTAATCCTCATTAGTAATTTACCACAAACGTTTTTATTCTCACACTAGCAATACCCAGAGCCTATGAGTCAATACAGATCATAATCTATCTGTATACCAAATTTTATCCAAGTCCGTCCAGCCGTTTCAGTGTGAAAAATAAAATATAAACAGTACACAGCATAGGATAAGTAAGAACGAAAGATGTTCTTGTTGACTTATCCCATGCACATAGAGTTTCACTTTTATTATATTAGGGGGGTATAATAGTAGTATGTTTATAATATGAGTAGATTTCTGCAATAGATGTAAGGATTAAGATCGTACAGAAAATTAATATTAAAAAAAGATCACACAGGTATGAAAATTTTGAGTACATCCCTTTCATGTGTGAGATAGCTAAACTAAATAGCAACATTAATATAGAACGATGCAAGAAGTTTTCCTATTACTTGGTAGATAGAAAAAACTGAAGTGGGCGGAGATAAACATTGTTTCACAGGGAAATCTAATTACAACACCTCCTCTTTGCATTTGCTTTGTGGTTTAAACCATTGATTGTACCAATTTCTGTAATATGTCTAGCTACTTTCTAGTCTCTTTTCTCTTTTCTAGTCCTGTGACTCGTCCTGTGATCACTTCCAGGAGTTAATTATATACAGTTGTAATATAAATATGTATACTAGACATTATTAGTGGGCACATATGAAAATCATTACAGAATACTGGAAGATATCTGTGCCTCAGTGTCCCCAGACATATTTCTTTAGAACTCACTGTGTCATGGGAAACGAACATCCCTAAAGGCCATGCTTTAAAAATAAATTGTTTTAAAAAACTAAAAAACATGCTTTTTATAGAAAACCAAACTTTTTAGTTTAATAAATTTTAATAAATTTGAAAAAAAGCGTTGGGTGCCTGTTGTCAATAGTAAAAAGTAAAAACTTTTTTTTTTAAATTAGTGTTTTGTCATTGGTCCTCGATATATCTACAAAGATTGAACGCATTCTGACCGTTTAAAGTCAGTCAAAATCACGCCCAAAGGAGTTGGTTACAAACAAACATACAAGTGAAGCTAATATAAAGCATGTAAAAAAACAAGTACTTTGACAAGTGTTGTATGCGGTGGAAGTGGGTGCAAGGGGTATACCAGTTAAATCCTTCTATAACCTGCTTAGATTTATTTAGATTTGATTGCTAAGAGCTTCAGTAAGCCCTTTTCATGAATGAATTTCGAAACCGGCATTCAAATTCAAATTCAATTTCAAGTTGCATGTGTTGCCCCCATCTATCAAGCGATGGACCAGGAACCCTCACGGTGAATCCATGTCACGCTAAGAAATAGGTCTTAATAAGTACCAAAAATAGAGAATTAACTTACTTTTTCATCAATTGCTGACATTTGCAGACCCAGGTAAAGATTCAGACATTCTGGTAAAGTCTTAACTTTGTTGGGTAAACAGCCATTTTTGTTTCTCATGATTAACAGGTCACCAACCTAGAACACCACAAGAAATATTACCTTCACAGATCTTATTAGATTCTAAGTAGTTTTGAGGCAACAAAACATCTTTGCTGCTTCTTTCCATATGTGCATTTTAATATATATATTCTTTTGCTCAAAAAGATCTCTATTTTTGGTGAAATTAAAATGGATGGAAACAGGTTTCAATATATTTTGACTGAATAATATGTGTTGTAACAAAGTGCAAAAACCAAATGCTGAACCTAGCAGGGATAGCAATGATAAATCTATATATATAATTAAGGATACCTGAGTGTCAAATACAGACTGCAGCTTAACATTGTGTTTGTGATATAGACAATCTGATATCTTCCTCGAGTCATGAACTATCTTCTTGGGTGTTTCAGATTCCAACAGTTTTTTTAAACCAGCATCAAATGCATGATACTGCATCACTTGTGTGTCAAAAATAAATATCTGTTGAGGTGTAGACAACACTAAGAATGGCATTTTACATTTTCTCCCCATGGTTGCCCCATCTGTACTGACTCCAATATAACTATACTGGTACAAATCCTCCAAAGCATCATGGAAACTGTTATCAACTTGGTTAATATAAATATACTTCTTAGAGATCTTTATGATTTCTTCACATTCTTTTTCAGATATTTTTAAATGCTTTTGATCATTAGGTTCTTTCAGTTTAACAACATCTCTTATTTCTGTGTCATAATAGTGCAAAACACCATCACTTGAATTGCCTTTAGGTAATTCTTTGACATTATATAAAGATATTTTAGATTTATCGTTAGTGATTCCATAAAACCGGCCTTCAAATATTTCACTGTTCTTTGTATGAACTTGTAACAGTTCACCTTTCATGTATAAGTTATCCATTTTGTTAGAAGCTGTCAGAAAAGTATTAAGTATGTAATTATTTAATCCTTTTTGACCGGTTTACTAGGTTTCTCCGTTTCACTGTATGCTCTGTAGATATATAGACCTAACGTTACATGTAGGACGATAACCGCAACCACTGCAGAATAAACGCTGCTCGTAACCGGCTCCAATCTCAGAATGGCATCAAATAAAACAACTTTTGTAATAAAGAATGAGAATACGGGTACAACAATAATGATCAGGCAGTATTTTATTACCGTCTGAAATACTTGAAAATCAGGTAGTTCCTGAAACATGGTACAAGATAAGCAATTTTAGTATTTTGTAACATTGAGGCATATATTTTAGGCTGCAATCTATTTGTATTCATTTTTAACTTACATTTGCTCGTCCTTCAATCATCATAAAATAAAAGAAAATAAGATAAGTTATTACTTGAAATAATTAATGCTATGCTAGTCACAAGCTTTAACTTTAGTAGTCACACAAGAACGAAATTTAATAATGGAATGAATGAACCACAGATAACTATGTGAATGAAAGGAAGTTTACTGAAGTAACAAAATGACAAAAAATACACACATAGAGGAATGAAGTAGTCATCGTCTTTTCAAGATACAAATAGTCTGTCATATTTTGAGGGGGGAATTTACACCACGCACACATTTTCGGACTCATTCTGTATAACACCAGCGTAATAAAGCGACGCACGACATTGACATATTACCAAACAACCGTGGCTGTAACAACTATCGATACGCAATATCGTCTGTTAGGGAAATAAGGTTTAAAAAGTGAAACAAGGCTGGATATTAATATAGATAGGACTTTATTTATTACTACAACAATAATCATTGCTATTAATAACAGTTTTATCTATCACTGTTCTTTAAACTGGATTAATTTTGTATAAATATGTCGAATACATTTCTGTCAGTTCGCTTTTTCATTATGAATTTGACCTTTCTATTGTTCGCCAACACTTAAAGGTCAGAGATCTTGAAATGATCTGAGCAAATGACACAGTTTCTTGTAGGTATCCAGGTAAGGTAAAAAGTGTTTATGAAAGTTTTTCGATATAGCCATTTAACTCGAATCTTTAGAAAACCTGCAATAAATAAATTAAAACAATGTGGTCGAAGTTCACACTTAATCATCTTAATATAATGTGTTAATACTCGTAAGTATTGTATTATATTTGATTGGAGGCAATTTTAATTTCAAAGTATTTTAAATTAAAGCTCACAATACACATAATTATATTACCGCAACCAATATCAGAACCTATACCTATATCAGAAAACATAATCTCAAAAATGATAATAGAACAGAATACCAGTTTATTGATTTCAGCACTTCTGCAGAAATGTACAGAAAAACTATAACACCGAAAGCGAAAGGTCTAAGCGTCAGCTAATGCTTGGTATTTACATGGATTACCAAGCGCTGGTTTTCAGGTTAAACTTGACTCCCGTTTACAATATATATATATATATATGTCTTATTTATAAAATTCTCGTGTCACAATGTTAGTTATCTTACTCCTCCGAAACGGCTGTACCGATTTTTATGAAATTTTGTGTGCACATCGGGTAGGTCTAACATAAAAAACATCTATTATTCATATCCCTAAATGACAAGGGTGACCCACCCCTAATTTTTTTTTTCAATATATCCTAAAAATAATGTATATGGCAAAACAATTTTTGCTGGATCAGCTAGTATATATATATATATAAGTTATTGATAAAAACTAAATTTCTTCGTGATCATACATTATCAGAGTTGTTAAAAAAAAGTGTATTGTTTAAAACACAATGAGTATGGGCAGTGGGGGAAGGGCATTCAGTACATGGCTACGAGGATGTAAAAAACCATAAGGCAGTTAAACTTAGATGTAATAAGGGGTGTAAAGTAAGTAAATATATTATAATCTTCGATCAACAATTGCTATTGTTGATCGAAGATTATAATATATAATTTTGTTATAGTATTAATTTAGTATAATACATAACACAATATCTTAGTCAATTGATATCTAAAGTATGATTTTCCGGCCTGAATTCGATAGCATTTAAGTAGACGGTATATGCGAGCATTGCGCAGCCAACTGGGCAAACCAGCACGCGCAAGAGAAATGCCACCCTCGTGGGTGTCGAAACGGTAAATCGAATGATATTTGTCCTGCCGTCAATCGTATAAAAACACGGTCGGGCCACAACATATCATAGGTAGTAACTAGGCCAAAAGGCGGAGGAAGCTTGCGGCATCTCCCGGGATAGGACCTCGTTAGGCGCGGCATTAATACGAGAGGGACCTAAAATCACATGGTCCATGTCCTCCCAGAGTAGAGTGCCTGAGGCCAGACGTCGGGCGGGTTTTTAGTGGAAACACCACATACTCCTAACTCCTACTCCAAAGGGATTTTTCACCCTGTTAACAAAAAATTGTCTAATTAGGCAGGGCCCCAAAATTTCACGATCAGCCCCTGCTTATAGCTATGAATGCCTGAAAAGTCTCGTTTTCCGTCAATCTAACGCACTCACGATCGGGCTTCTTGGGAGGCCCGAAACAAACACACTTCGAGCGTAAATGTGATCAAATTAATTAGTCATCTGTGGTAAAGTCTTTCGGCATCACATTTGAACGAGCCTCGCGAGGCCCCCCCAAGTGCGAGCCCGTGGGCAACGGCCCACTTCGCTCATCCCTAGCTAGGCCACTCGAACTTGATACACAAGCAGTCGCGAATGCGCCGCAGTGATAAACGGATGGTGTGATGGTTTTGTAAGCAGTAAGCGTGCGATTTGTGAATATTTTATTAAAATAGGTACAAGTACTTACATCATTTACTTACTGTACTTAGCTACTTACATATATTATTGAATTAGACAAAATATTGTTATGAAATGATTATAAGAGTAATAAATGGTAGTAAGATTTACATTATAATTTAATTTTGAAGTAAGATTTTGTAGTAGATAGTTAGAAGTTTGGATTGCTGTAGGTTTTGTTACACACGATGAGATAGTAACGTTTGCAATGATTTGACATCGGATGGGCGACCAAAAAAATTGTTATGTCAAGTTGCTGCGTGCTGCAGGTAATGGGTACGTTAATAAGATGAAATGAAAAAATATATTATAATTACTCGCCAGCTGTTTCCTGCATTTTGGTTGAGTAGGCAGGTATTGAAGTTTGTAGGGATGATTTTTGCATTCGATTTATTTTTAATCTACGTAAATTTGACCATGTTTCCTCCTCCTCCTCCCGCCTTAAGTTAAATTGGCTCCCTATTCTCAACCTCACCGACTTCACCTACTTATTTGACATCCTCCTTCCATCTCCTTTGTTTTAATCATGAGAGAACCCTTCGCTCCACGAATAATCTTCTCCGAGCTGATTTTCCCCTCTGGCTGGGTGTAATTTGTTACGCTGATGATACATTGATCACAGCCCGGGGAGTGAACTTCCAAGAGGCGGCACGCCTGGCCACCAGGGAAGTCTCTCTGGTGGTCGAGAGCATTGAGGCGCTGGGCTTACGGGTGGCCCTGGTCAAGTCCGAGGCACTCTTATTTCACGGGCCCCGTCGTGGTCCTCCCTCTGGCGCCTCAATCGTAGTCAACTCGGTCCTCGTACCGGTTCAGGCCCAGATGAGGTACGAGGACCGAGGTTCCTCGACGGGAGGTGGCTCTTCGACGAGCACTTTCGACAGCTTGCTCCAAAGCTGTCGAAAGTGGCACTGCGTCTGCACTTGGGCGACTTTTGCCTAATCTGGGTGGATCCAGCGTCGCAACGAGACGGCTGTACGCGGGGGTTGTCCGGTCAACTGTCACTGTACGGCGCACCGGTGTGGGCAGCGGCTCTGACCAGCCAAAATAGAGCACGCCTTTGGCGTCCTCAGAGGGTATTGGCGATTAGAGCCATACGTGGTTACCACACCGTGTCGACGGAGGCAGCATGCGCGTTGGCCGGAACTCCCCCGTGGGATTTGGAGGCGGAAGTGCTAGCTTAGCGGTAGTCGGCCCCCGGCCGAAGAAGAACGCGAGTGGCGCGAAGCCGTTCGTGGAGCCACGATGGCTTGTTGGTCGTCACGGCTGGAGGCTCCACCTGCTGGTATTGCCGCCGTGGAGGCACTCCAACCGGTCATCGTTGAATGGGCAGGTCGGCAGCACGTTTTCTTCCGTCTGACGCAGGTCCTTTCTGGGCACGGCTGCTTCGGCAAGTACCTGTACTCGGTCGCTAGGTGGGAACTGAGTCCTGCCTGTCACCACTGCGATTGCGGTGAGGACTCGGCTTAGCACACGATGGCTATTTGCCCGGCTTGGGCGTCGCAGCGTCGGGTCCTCACTGCAGTCATCGGGGGAGATCTCTCACTACCGGCCGTCATACGCTCCATGGCCGGTATTGATAGTTGTTTTACCGTGGTCGCATCCTTCTGCGAAGACGTTATCTCGCAGAAGGAGGCGGCGGAGAGGGCCCGGGAGGATAATCTCCACTCGGACCCAATTCGCCGCCGACGAACCGAGCGGCGGAGGCGCGCTTACCACCGCCTCATGACGCCCTGAGTGTGGACGCGGTTGAACGGGACTGGCTTTCCCCTCTACCCGTCATAACAGCCAGCCGCGAGGAGGCGACGTCCGCGTGTGCCGGATGTCTCCTAAATAGAGCTTATACCCGAAGGCGGTGCCCGCGCCGTTGCGGGCAGGCGCTAGGAGGGGTCCGGATGTCTTAATAACAGCAGTTCCCGGATCCCTCCTATTACAGGCGCAGAGTGGCACACCCTGTGGTTTTAGTCGGTCCGATTCCGACACACCACCCCGCCGTAAACTCCGGTGGGGTGACGGCCCGAGAGGGTTTCCACACGTAAAAATAAAAAAAGTGCATTTTTTTTTCCAAATTATTATTGTATTCTTATTTGGTTCGCTATGACCTGATTATATCAGATTAGTGATTTGCTCTGTGTAAGAAAGCTCAGTGCAAACAGTATTAAAAGTACATAAATCAATTCTATATGATGCTAATGTTCACACGAGAAGGCGAAAACATTTAAAAGCCCTAATATATTTAACAAAATGGTTAAAACCTTTCAAACCAAGCATACAAATTGTAATTCTAAGTTTCTGTAAATCTCTGAATTTTATTATTGTTTATTATTATCTTTCTAATTTCTTGTTTTTTTTATTTTTTCTATATAAATTAAAAATATATATATATTTACAGGCATTTCTTGCTTAAAAGACACCTAAGACTACTAACTGTAATACTGTAAAGACAATAAATTATTATTGTTATATATTACTATTACGATCTAAGTCATATATATGACTTAGATCTAAGTTTTTTTAAACACAAAAACAGTAACAAAATACATAAAATAAAGAATATAAGTTATAAAAAAAAACACAATTTCGGCAATTTTTATTAAAATCTTAAAAGTTCAATTTCTTGAAAATGGTTGGGTTTAGGGTATGATATTTCATAGTGAAATCTATCAGAAATTATGGCAACTACAACCCCTTAAAGTATTTATGTATATAGACTAGTTGACCCTCGCAACTTCGTCTGCGTCTGTCAAAAGGAATAATTGTTTCAATTTTTGCAACATTTTTTCTTGATGCACGCCTCCTATTGATCGTAGCGTAATGTTTTATAGCCGATATATAGGCAATCCAACACAAAAAATATTTTCAATTCGAACCAGTAGTTCCTGAGATTAAGTGCGTTCAATCAAACAAACATTCTTCAGCTTTATAATATTAATAAAGATAAAAATAGGATTCATTGTCAAAACTTTTATTCACATAGAAAATATTAATGTAAAACCGGGGAAATTTATTTATTTTGTAAGGAGAAGATGAAGTTGCGTGGGTTAGCTACTTGGCAATAAAAGATTCCACGCTGTTGATTCATTTTTTTTTTTTTAAAAAAAAGACAAAACAGATTCTCAATGGGAGATACAATTCTCCTATATTTAAACTTGTTTTACATATCAAGCTGAAGGCGTTACAAAGCGCCTTTTTTTAAAGTCTATTTATCTAGTATTTCTACGAGTAAGCTACAAATTCAATTTCACTATAAAAAAGGGACTGTTTTGCTTTACGGTCTACGTTATTAACACTTTCGCTGTTTCACGGTACTTGCACATGGAAGAATATTATACAACGAGTCCATTGTAGGAATGTATAATAGTTTTAATCGGTTACAGAGCATATAAATATTTGTAGGACAGGCGTAATATTGTCACATTATGTTATAATTTCGATCATGATTTACTACCAACCAAGAAACAAAAAATAAATAAGGCATTTTTAAATATCTACAGCATGTTAAATATTCAATGTAGTATTTTATTGATATTGTTTGTAAGTATTTATAAATATATTATTTTTTTATATTTGATTCTGCATTAACTTTCAAACAACACAATAATTGATTTACAATACGTAGTAATAATAAGAGTTTGCATTCGTCCAACAGATCGGGTCGAATTGTACTTTACTTGATTTTAATGAAGTTCAAAAAAAAATATTACAATGGAAGAACCACAACTTACTCAATTTTAGCGAGGTTTGAGCCCATGTATACTCTACAAGATATTTTTTTTTTAAGATTAGAGATAATTTTTTATTGTATTTGGCAGATTGGAGTCGCACCGAACGGGGTTTTTGACTTTAGTGAAGTTAAAAATAAAATATTACAATGGAAAACTCAGAAGTTAGCAGCACTTTGTCCTTCAAATGGGTAAGTGTCAATTTTTTATAAGTCGAGTGCTTATTAATCAATCAATTAGCCTATAGTCCACTGTTGGAAGTAGGCCCCTCCCAATTTGCGCCATAGAACAGGGTCCTCCGCCTTCTACATCTAATGCTCATAGAATTATTCCTAAGCACTTTTACCCATAACTTTTCAAAATTAAAGATTGCGCTAACACTGAACTTATTCTGTGTTAGCACAGTCTAATTTCTTAAAAATACGACTGAAAATCCTACTTGTGTTTCATGCTTAGACAGTTTTATTTGTTACTGAAAGAAGGGCAAAAGAAATCGCTAAATTTTCATTAATCATAATGGATACTGATTAAAAACATATGCAACCATCTCTATACGCCAGGCTGATTCGAAATTGACTTACAAAAACCTTCTGACTGATCATCTCAATTATTAGTAGGTACAGTAAAGCTGTGTCATTATATTGGTAATTTAATAAAGTGCTTGAGAATACCTAAAGCACTTTATTAAATTTCCTGAAGATGGTAGTGAATGCATACTTATTTACAGGGCGCAACTGCAAAATTTATTAAACATTGTATGCAGCACATCGCAACCTACCAATGTGACGTTAAGAGATGCTTGTATCAGTTGTTTCTCACGAGTCACTTCGATGCCTGAGGTAATCATCTAAACATTTCTCATTACATCTTGTATTGCTGACTTACTACTATACATAATATAATATATTTTAAATTTCTAAACTATTTTAACTATATCGACAGGGTCCTCAAGAATTAAACGCGCTAAGTGTTTGTGCAGTACAATATTTTACAGGTTCCTACGTAAGCTGTGCAACAGCTCTCATGGTACGTTAACTGATAGAAACTAATACCTATTTCCACGAGTTACTTTCTTAGAAAAGTAAAAAGTTATTAGGAATTTTATTTTATAGGCACTGTCCACATCTGCTTTAAACGTACAACCATCTGGATGCTTCATGGGTTATTGTGATTTTGTGCGATGTCTCAGAAGTACCAATTCGGCCAATCTGGTAAGTTTTAATTCCCAATAATTAAATTAAAAATATTTATTAATGTTGAATACTTGTGTCGATGAACTTTTGTCATTTAGATGATCATTCAGTGATGCCTCTGATATAGAGGATCTGAGGGCTTGAGTACAAAGGGAATTGTCTAGACATGGTTTTTATTCTTGAAAAATTCCATTAGCGATTAATCCAAATATTTTTGGATAAACTAATATAAATATAAGAACTAAAATTATAAGTTATAAAATAAATTTTTATAATACTGTAATTTTGAGAAAACATAGTTTTAACTTTGCTATATTTCAGGCCGAATATAAACAAGTTATGCTAACGATGCCCAACAAAAAGTAAAATGACAATTGTCTTTGACTTGACTGACGCGCCACGCGTGACAGATGGATGACGGTTCTCTTTATGCACTTTTAGCAATTTATTGTTATAATTTTTTATGTTTACTTTGAGTATGCTATGAAGAATTGTGAGATTTCTACAAATATAAAGATCAATTAATAGACCACGTCGTGTTCAGTCGGAAAGCGTAACCAACTATTGATTTATTTTGCAAACAAACAAAAGTATTTTTAGTATTGCCATCGTCCACTAAGAATGTCTACTAACATAAAATAACTTTTATATTTTCCCGTGTAATTTAAACCATAATGGAATTGACTCGGAATAAAAAATCAATGTCCATGCAAAAAGTGGACATCTCCTTACTTAAGCGTTTTTTAGCGATTCTGAAATTAAACTCAGACAAAACATTTCGAACGTTCGTCGCGGAAAGGTTCTGTCTAGTTCTAGGCGATTAGGTCTTATTTTAAATGTTGACTCGGCGAATCGTTTCTATTTGAAAGGTTCTGCCGTTGAACAACTCATAAACGAAACATTCGTTTTTGAAAGGTTCTGTCACTGAACAACTCAAACGAAACATTCTGTCAGCGAATCGTTCGTATGTAAAAGGTTCTGTCGCTAAACAACTCATAAACGAAACATTCTGTCGGCTACTCATTCGACATCAAAATATTTCTTTGAGTTAATTTCAAAATCTTTTTCAGCGCATCGCGCATCGTTACCTTTAAAATTATATTGTTCTTGTCATTGTATTCTTTCAATTACAAAACAAAAACAGCGGTCAAAATTTATTAACTGTTCCTGTATTCTTATTATGATGACGATGATGTATATACTTACTACTCAGGGAGCAAATTAAGCATACGTGTAGCTTGATAATAAGTGGACCCCGTGGTCACGCGCATTTTGCCAGTCACTAAAAAACCTTATACTGCCCTTTTGCATGATATAGTTTATTCTACAATTATTATTTTATTCTACAAATAATAATATAAAATAAAATATTTTATTAAATTGTAGAAAGTTTCAGCTTGGATTTTGCCAATTTGTCCTTTTTGGATAATAATATAATTTAAGTGTTATTGTAATTAAAACGGTGTCAATTTTTTAAACGAAAGTAGATCCAAGGTCTGAAACTAGTTAAACTACTTTTAAAAATTACGCCAATGAGTTATCTATTTAATATGATTTTACTATTGCAGATTATTCAGTGTACTAGAGAAGCAAGAACAGGTGTTAATATAACAGTAGATGCAGACAACGTTAGATTTTATACTAATGTAACATCTTGCATACTGGCGAAATCGAGATGTGGTAATTATAATCCAATTACAGGAGAGCCTCAAATCCCGGGTTATACAACGTCGGGAAGTAGAGTCAGTAACGCGCTGCAGTTTTCAGCAACAGGAGAGCTAAGAATTATATCGTTCTCCGCCAATACTCCAGTGACAAATTCTTTTTGCACTGCGTCCCCTAACTTAACACAGTCATCTTGGCTCACAAATGTTTGTTAGCTAAATTTCACGGTTTTGAGTAATTAAACGATGAAGTTCTTTCTTTAAAATGTTTTGTGTCTAATTTACTAACTTGCTACTAGGAAGTTACGATTGATAAATATACCTATGTTTCAGGACTGGTGCACGGTATGTCTTAAAATGTTGCACATCTCTATCACTTTACAATTCATAGGAGATCAGCGCTAGCTAAAATGCTAATCCTAAACGCAAAAACAGTTTCGATAACTGTTCATTTTTTTTTAAAGACATCTCCCGCATTAGGAACACATCCTGTGTCGCGGGGACTTTACAAACATACATGAAACGGACACAAAGAACACCCAGTGACCAGACAGACAGACAAAGTGTCGTCCCATGTGGGGATCAGACTCACAACACTCAGCGTAGTAGTAAGCGGCGTGGCGACCGCTTTAACCACTACGCCATGCAGTCATTGAAACTGATTTTGCTTGAGCTGATGAAATCCAATATTCATTTAAGATCAGATGGAAATGAACAAACGCAGTCCATTTTTGGCCACATTCACAAGCTGTAATTTCATAAACTAGGCTTTTCAAATCATTTTTAATCCCAAACAAATCTTTAGAGTTACATCTACAGTGGCCATCTTAATCTAAAAATACAGAGCGAGCTTGATGCTCGTGGAAAGCCAAGTCCAGGTCATCATTAAAACCATCTAGGATTAGAATTTTTCAAAGTCAAAATTCATGAGGTAAGTCTTGATTTCAACGACTCAGTACGTTGCTGTTTGGCAACCTGTTGGGTCTAAGAAAAGGATAAGTGGTGTGGTGGTGTAAGGATAACATGTATCGCGGTGTGTGTGGTGACGTGTCGCCATGCGCAATTGATTAACTCTCTCATGCTGATTATCTAAATGATATTGTATTCATTACATTAGGTCTTTACCTATGAAATTGCTTTTCTTCAGTACTGGTCACTTCAAACGGCACGTAACATCAAAAACGTTTACGGAGAGAACTGTACAAACGAACGCACAACCCGTTATTGGTTTTACCGGTTCCGTTCTGGAAATGTTGACTTGAAAAATGAAGCTCGTGGTCGTCCGGAGACTTTAACAATAATGAATTAAAGGCGATTGTGGAAGCTGACGAAACTCAATCTATAGCTGAGCTAGCAGCAGCTTTTAATGTAAGCATCAAAACAATATTGATCCATTTGCGACAAATTGGCAAGGTAAAAAAGCTTGATAGATGAGTGCCCCACGACCTTAACGATCGCCAGCGCAACGTACGCATCAAGACCTGCCTTGCGCTGCTGAACAGGCAAAGAAATGAAGGAATTTTGAAACGAATTGTTACGTGCGACGAAAAATGGATTCTGTTCGACAATCGAAAGCGCTCAGAAAGTTGGTTAGACCCTGGTTCAGCACCAAAGCAATGCCCTAAACCAAAAATGACCCCTAAAAAGGTGATGGTCACTGTTTGGTGGTCTAGTGCGGGTGTGATTCACCACAGCTTTTTAAAAAACGGCATGAGATGTGTATTGTAATGAACTGGAGAGAATGATGGAGAAGCTTGCACATCTGCAACCAGCTTTGGTCAATCGGTCGTCCCCACTGCTCCTTTACGACAACGCGAGACCCCATACTGCGCAACAGACAGTCTCCAAGCTGCAAGAGCTGGGGTTGGAAGCTCTCCCTCATCCGCCATACTCACCAGACCTTGCACCTACCGACTATTACTTTTTCCAAAATTTAGACAACTTTTTAGTGGGTAAAAAATTCAATTCCCGAGAGGCAGTACAAAATGCCTTTGAAGAGTTTGTTGCCGTCCCGTCCAGCTTATTTTTACAAGAAGGGCATCAATAAACTGCCAATGCGTTGGCAAAGATGCGTCGATTGAATGGGTGATTACTTCGAATAACAGAAATAAAAAAGTTTGAAAAAATACTTTCACTTATTGCATACAAAACGGCAATTTCATAGGTAAAAACCTATTATATAAAATCATTTTGATGTTTCACATCTGCTTGACGTCCCGCGACAGCTCAACTTCTTTAATTATTATGTACCTAGTTATTTGACTTGAGGAAAAATGTGTCAATGTGTCAATTCTTAACTGGCAAATGTGACAATACGGTATAAATGTCAACATTGTGAACTGTAAACGGATCGTAGTGACTTTGTGTTTTGGTTCATTTCTATTTTATTATAAGCTTTTTAAATAAAAGTGTACGAGAAAATTGTTGATCTGAAAGTTAACAAAACAGTAAGTACTCATATTTACGTTATGCACAAAAATATGGACCACATTCGTGGTTCACAAGTGATTACTTTGCCCGGTTCCTATAATGAAATGCTTATTACGATTTAGATTTTGGTTCAATTAGAGTTTAGACCCTGAATCACTGATTGAGGTGAATTTTATTGCAGAAAGTTTTATCCAAATGTAAACTACTTCTGATATGAAATAATATATCCTAGAGTTTGTAAGATACAATTTAATTATATCTATCTTCAATAATAAAGATAAATAAACTAAACTTTAGCTTTTATATTTAAAAACTATAAGAACTATATATTATTATATTAAAACTCTGTTTTCATAGTTTGTTGTTGGTTTGCTCTGTAGTTCTGATGAATATATATTTTATTATTCTATTAGAAAGAGATATATTTAATAAAATGATTACTGCCACAATTTCCCTTAAAAAGTAAAATGTTTTACAAATATGTCATGAAATATTTCTCATAGGAATTTTGAATGTATAAAATAATTATAAATGAAAACAATATTAACAATTTCTTGTGTTACTACCAAGTTAGTCCTAAAGTGTCTTTGATTGATTAAAACATACAACTGTCTCTACTTTATCTACTAAGTACAAATGAATAATCTTAAACTTTTTTAGAAATAAGTAGATGTCTCTATTGTCAGGACAAGGTTTGTATAAAAGAAAACAAAAAAACTAAGTTTAAAAGAAAAAGAACTCATAATATGTAAAATGGGTGAGTGAATAAGACTTAACACTGAGAGATCTGCAATATAGTGACAAAATATTGACAGATTAACCTTCAGGAATTGCCATGGGTTTCATATTGGCAGTTGTACATTGCATGCTCGAGAGTCGGCAAACCATTGGTGCTATTTATTTCTTCTCCAGAAGAAAAAGCGAGAATAATTGTACATTAGAAGGCATTACAATAGTTATGGTTGAATTATTAAATTGCAATTTTATTTAATTACATGGTCATATTTTAAACCAAAGATTTTGTCTAATTTTTTGCCATTCAGTAGGTACGTAATGTGTAATACCAGTACTTTTTAATATGACGGGTATATAACTTTCAATACATCAAACGGGTCAGTATACAGAATTAGTGATAATCTAACTAATTTGATTTTACCGGAAGTATTATATTTTCTTAATCACATTATTGTGTCATATTGGAGAATGTTATTTTATAATTTAAACATATATAATTTTGATATAACTAATTGTATTTTTTAGAAAAGAAACACAATAATATAAACATACTAAAGTGTAGTACCCTAAAACCATAGTCATAAGACTTATGTAAATACCTTTTTGCTAGTTAGTTAGTTATAAATGCTTTGCAATGATATTAAGAATCTTAACCAACATCTTAACAGAGCTTGTGGCTGCATATTTCATTTCTTTAGGGGTTGGCAAAAGATTTAAAACTATATTGTAAAGCTGTAAGGGATCACAAAAAATTATGTTAATTTTTTGATTTATTTTCAGAAACAGTTTTACAAAACTTGGATTTCGATGTTTTGGTTTTCTTCTTTATTTTCTTTGATGACTGGATGGAATTTTCAGAGTCAGAATTGTCTGACATAATATTTGTTTTAGTATTTGATTTCTTAGTCTGCACAGCAGTAGTAATAATAGCACCTTTTTTAAAACGGGTCTTGGCTTGTCTGTTTTCTAATGGGCTTATTTTCTGTGTTTGTGTATTTCGAGGAATATCGGTAAAACTTGTATTATTTTGATATTGTGAACTCTCTGATTTTGCATGTTTTAATCTGAAAAGTAGTGACAAATTTTATCAACTCATCTATTTAATTGTGTTTTGTGTAATGTTATTTTAAAATGTTTTCCCCTACTTACTTTTCCTTTTTCTTCCACTTTTTAGTTAATTGGTTAATAGGTTCTAAAATTTCATTTGTAGAATTTGGCACTTTAAGTATAATTCTCTTAGTTTTGGTTTTTTTCTTTTTCTTTTCATCTTTGATTTTTCGGCGTTCTTCTTCTAGTTCTTCTAATTTTTGGGAACATGATCTAAAGCCAATAAAATTGAAAAAAATAATTTAATAATTATTAAGGTTTTTGAAAAAATCTTAAATTATTGAATTTTATGAAATCATTCAAACCTTAACAAAGCCTCACTGTCAGTGAAATAGGAGTTCATAGCAAAACTGGATATGCCCCAGGACAGTGGCCCTTTCTCTTCAGTTTGCACACCCGTCCATATATTTCTTTTCAGGGAGCTCAATTTAACTTGCAATTCTGATGGTTGACTATTTCTGGTTTTTACATCTGACAAGTATCTAAAATTATATAAACATTGATGAGGCTTATTACACTGTCTTTCTTTCACTTTCCTTCAAGATAATTATTGTTTTAGTTAATCTAGAAAAATATTATTTATGAAATATTTAATGTAGAGTTTGTCTAGTTGGAAAACCTTAGTTATATTTCTATCATAACAAAAGTTGTTATCCCTGCATCTGTTGAGATGTAAATTGCAATATTTTACTAATTTTAAACTTTTGCGTACCATAAATAATAGATAAATAACTATGTTAACGGGAAGAACGCGATCAGGCAATTACGTGGCCTGTGACTACGGCCGGGGCACCTAGGTTAAAATGGCAGACAATTCAACTGTATAGAAAACATAATATCTATTACGTGACCACCTTCATCATTACGGGACGTCTACTTCCGAATATAGCCGTACCCGGACCAGTTTGGAGCAGATCCCTGAGAGTAACAAGACCGTCTGTCAATCTTGTTAATAAACATCGTATGTGTTCGCATTAATTCCCGTTGACATAATTATATGCAATATTTTTAATCACTATTAGTTACTTTGCTGGCGGTAGACATCTAAATTGATGCCATGATGCGGGATTCAGTCTCGATTTGTCTGTAGTGTCGTTAAACATCGACACACTTCTTGGTCTTCTAGATCTTAATACCTTTTTATCATGGTCCGAATGATATGGTGAATCACTTGTCTGAAAACATAAATACATCGGCATTTTAACCAAATATACTCATAATAAAGTATAGTCACCGATATAAGTATGTGTGGTGACGAATTAAGAATACACGGTGTCACCACCCATATTCATCCCTGGAGGCCGTAAGAGCCTGCAGGGCAACAACACTGCAAAGAGAAATAAAACTTGAAACAAACCCTATACCAACCCGTTTGGCCAGCGTGGTATAGTAGGCCAAAAGCTCCTTTCTAAGGAGAGGCCTATGTCCAGCAGTGGACTATTAAAGGAAATCCAACCTATTGTATTGATTGTGGAGGGCCAGATTTTAAGTAAAATAATATATAAGACAATAATATATATATTGATTATGTAATACTTTAAATTACCGGTGCTCTAATTATTTTCAGCTCAGGTGGCATTTTCTTTTTCCGTCTTGGCTTTACTTTGGTTGATGAATGTATCAGTTTCTGGACCCGTCTTTTAGGACTATGATTATCATCCGATTCGGCATCCGAAGACATGTCGGTCATTGCATCTGAAGTTAAATCTATTGTAGCTCGCGATACCTACAAGAAGAAGCTTCATATTAATAAAATGATGTATTTTTTTTAATTAAGAAAAATAGCAATAGTAACCTGTAATGTCTCTCGCTTCATTTTCTTTTTTTCTATTCGCTTCATCTTTTCTAACTTAGGCCGTTGCTTTCGGGATTTCTGCAATATGTTTTTGCCATAAGAAGATGGATTAAATCATCTAAATGCTAGTAAAAACAATCGTCTTTCTTTACCTCGTTATTTTTATTAATATCTGGGAATATCGGCGAAGGTGGCGGTGCAGGTCGTTCAGATGTTTCTCTAAGTCCAGCCTCTGAACTACTGCTTGAAGTGTCTCCCTCATCACTGAAAATTGTATTTTATTTTGATCAATTTTAACTGTACTTAATGCTGTAAAAAGACATGTTATTTGAAACATCGCAGCTTATAGGTACCTGGAGTAATCCGAAAGATCGATATTCGTAGGTTCGTCTGCATTGGATCCTTCTTTCAATAATCTTGTGACAATTTTTGTTCTTAACCTTTCTTTACTAGGATCTTCATCAAAGAAATCAAGCAACGTTTCGCAGAATGTTCGCCCAAGGCTTTCGTAGTCCTGAACTGAGAAATGAGTCGACATTCTACTACCTAATTCAGATCCACCAAACGAAGCTTCCATCGTGTAACTGTTCGCTACTCCTAACATCCATACTACTACTCGTCCAGTGCCTTCCTTGCTACGTTGTATTCTAAATTTACAGTTTTCAAAAGAGAACTGTAAAGAGGAGAGCACATTAAATTAGTATAATACCTATGCTAACTGTTATGATAAATGTATATTTCTAATACCTTGTCAGCCGCATTTTTATGCAACATTAAAGGGAATACTTGTTCTTGCAATCGTTTGTCTGAAGTTTTTCGACTTTCGCATCCATATATGAACACGTTATGCTTTCGAGAATGTGCATGAAGATCAACGTACATCGCGACTCCACATTCTTCCTGTAATCTAGTAAGATGATTATGTTAAGGTATCGATAGAATTAGATTGAGGATTAAATGATTTCTTGGAATGTACTAACCTGCGCAACATGACTTTGGTATGCCAGACTGGTGGATACGTTTCTCTTATTACTGTTCTATATTGTCTATTCAGGTCCTTTCCGGTCAATGAGCACCGATTGTTACCAACAATTACCTGCAATAATGCAATAATATTTTTTTATATTATCGTTACGCAACATCCGATTTCACCAGTTTTATATGTGTAAATATAAATCACCTACACCATCTGGATTCAGCATAGGCACCAGCTTAAATATGAACTTTTCTCTTAGCTCTCTAGCTTGATTCGAGTCTCCCGTTAAATAATCCATGAAGCCTTTCATCATCCAAGATGCAGGAGTTTCTCCGGGATGTACTCGAGCAGTTATAACTACAGCTTTCTTTTTCTACAAAATCAACAATTATTTTCGTTTTATTGTGACAAATGGATAGACGTGTATTATTATTATGAATATAAAAAACACCTTTTGTTCCATTTCGTTTATATTTGGCGGGGCAGTAACAGTTAGGTAATACACATTGTTTCCAGCTAATGTTCGGCAAAGAAGCCTGAGCTTTGCATACGTCGATTTGACGGGATGAGACTGTAACTTTGAGAGGTATTCCTGTAGATCTGAGTAAGTATAAGGATAGCAATGTGCGATATACACTGCGTCATCTGTGTGCGGAAATTCTATATTAAACGTTAATGTATAACTTGGAAATTGTTCCTCTTCTTCAGTCCTGAAATTAAAAATTTTTACTTACTTAAATGTTCTTCGTATGAACAAAAAACCGATAAGTATACTGAAAAACACATATAAAAATAAAATTGTGTTAAAATACCAAACTAAATAGAGTAAGAAACATTCAAAAGACTTGGCGAAGTTAACGGCTATCAACGGCATGTGCTATTGTTTTAATTACTACTTTTAGTTAAATGCAGCGTTAAAAATACTACTTTTATACTGCTTAAACTATAAAATAATTTGACTTGAATTGTAATTTTTACTATTATGCTTTTTACTATCATGCTTATTAACATGATATCGCCACAGAATAATGATAACGATAGTGAATTTATTTTCAATATCAATTTGTTTTAGTAAAACTAACTTTAATAAGTAGTAGCTAGTTAAATAAAATGTGATTTAGATAATAGGATAATTAATGATATGAATAAAATACAGTCGAGTGATAGAAAAGACGTGAGTGCATACTCACGTCTTTTATCTCCAAAGGGGTAGACAGAAGCTTAAACACCCACATTTTGACATGACACACAGACCATAATTAAAGTCCCACTTCCATAACGGGGTCAACACAAGTCGATTGCTATTAACCGGGCATATAATATATATTCTTAATAAACATGCTGATTTATTTCTAAATATATACATTTTATTAATAAAACGATGTTCTGAAAAACTCACTAATTGGCAACGTTATATTAAGATATAAACTTGACCATAGTAAAAATTCTTATGTTAAATTATTTATACCTAAAGTATTGTTTGTAGTATCGAATTCATAGTAACAACAGTCCCAAAGGTTATAACCCAAAAATAACCCCGTGATTTACTTGAAAAGTTTATCACTCACGTCGAATCATTTTTATAGTACGCGATGTTTTCACCGCACCGCCTCCAACCGATCGAATGCAACTGTGCGTCCTTGGTTGAATATAATAGAGGTCGCATGCCCTCGTTGTATAAACTCTCCGCTTTTGATAAGTTCACTATGGAAAACCTAAAATATTTTGCGTATGTACAATATTTTTAGAAAACAACTTAACGTTGGCAAACCATGCAACGACTAATACCTGTACATCATTTGCTTTTTTGTATTTGTGACTCTAAAATAAAACCATTGCATGTGTCTATTGGTGTAAAGATCCGTTCGGAGATGCAGCTCGTAATAAGCTGATGTTATTCGTATTGCTTTAGCTAAATTGCCGCTTTCAAAACGAGATTCAAATCTTAGTTCATCTTCATTCCCGGAGCCGGCTCCTGCGCTGGCACATGCTGACAAATATAAGCGAGATCCTCCAACAGCGGAGCGGCTAAACTGGAAAATCAACTGTTTATAAAGTATCATTTTCATGCTGACGGATATGAAAGTCTTTATAAAGCTTACACTTACATAATTTACGGCACTCATAGGATAGTATTGAAATATAACAGTTCCTGCATCCTCACCGACAGGCTGAGGCCGTAACTCTTTACCTGAAGGAATATAGTATGGTTCTGGTGACGCAGGATTCCACGTTAGGTGTTGTATTCTTTCCTCCACGACCTAGAAATGATTTATGTCTATAATTATAATTATCAGTGTAGTTAAGGAGTAAGAATACGAAGTGTCACCACCCCTGTTCATCCCGCGGGCTTCGAACGAGCCGACTAAGGGAGCAAACTACGAAGGACGACAGCATTGCAAAGAGAAGGAAAACTTGAAAAAAACCGTGTACCAACCCGTCTGACCAGCGGGGTATAGTAGGCCAAAACCTCCTCTCTAAGGAAAGGCTTATGGCTTATAAATTAAGAGTTCAACCGATACTTGAGACGTCTGTTAAAATACGGTTAACAGACGTCTCAAGTATCGGTTGAACTCTGATTGCCTGAAACTATTTTTAAGTGCAGATCAAAACTTAAGTATCGGTCTTATTATATGTAGAACGCGTTTTAAATTTTACTCAGTTGAAACTAGTTTCAAGTATTGATTTGAGCTTACAGTCAGTCTTACAGTAAGTTTCGTTTCCTCATGTTTGGCATTATTATTCCGTATTACGCAGCTAAATACTAAAAAAAAAAATCGGTTACAAACAAAATTTCTGTGAATTTGTATAAAGTATGCTATTGACTAATGTAGCAATGTTAACATATTAACGAGCTCGTTGTTCGTCCCAAATTAAATATTAAAATTAATAAACATAAAAAAATGACTAGATATAGGCTATAACGAAACGTTTAAGTTATTTATCAACACTTGTCATGTTGAAATGTCAAACAATGTTTTTATTTTTATATTTCTAAAATTTATATTAATAGAATAATATTATACTTTTGGACATAAACCTGATGATGATCATCATCATCATCATCAACAGCCTTTACTAGTCCACTGCTGGACATAGGCCTCTCCTTAGAAAGGAGGTTGATGATGATGATGGACATAAACCAAAAGGTTATGGTGAGTTTCATTTAAACAAGTATTGTATGTGTAAAATGCTAATTTCAGTAAATTTAATATCAATTAAGGTAAATTGAAGTGAATTGATTATAGTACGACAAGTAATTCTTTCGTAAATAAAGTAAAGTACATCTTACGTAATTATTTAGAAACAAATCATAATAAAACTCATTAACTTCCCTAAAACTGCCCCAGCAATCACCGCTTGAGGTTTCAGCTTGTCCTCACGTAAACAACGATCACAGCTGGCAAAATCTATACCTGAGTAACGATTTCGACATAAACATCGTTCTAAAATAGATAATAATAGTTCTATATCACTCACTTGAGTATAGATCGGTGAATCTCGTTTTAAGTGACGTTCAATTATAAAAACTCTACTTAAAATTAATTTTAATACTAGATTCACGACTGAGACGCTTTTAAAAATTTGAAATATGTCTAGCAGTGGACTTTTAAAGGCTGTTGACGAAGATGATGATGACAAAAAATGAATTGAATAAGCCTATAAAGATTTTTCTATTAACTAGAACGATTTTCAGACACATTGCTACTACAGACTAATTGCTAACAAAATCAGAATGCATCGCTTAAAGTTTCTTTATCTATCGCTTAAGTCTTTTCACGTTTGTAGGAATTGTAATTTGTACAAGTCGAATATCAGATGAAGATCACGAATTTGTAAAAAGATTCAAAGGCATTTTTTTTTATGTTAGAGGGGACAGACGACCAGACCTGATGGAAAGTGACTATCGCCGCCCATGAACTTCTGCAAATCAGGAGTCACAAACTCGTTGCCGGCCTTTTAGGAAGGACTACGCTCTTTTCTTGAAGGTTTGAAGGTGGTATCGGTCCGGCAATACCGCAGACGCTAACCTGTTCCACAGATTGGTTGTGCGGGGCAAAAAGTGTCTCGAATAGCGCACAGTAGTGGAGCACCAACTACCCAGGTAATGAGGATGAAAATTTTGGCGTGTGGAACGATGGCGGAAATTTGCTGCTGGAATTAGTCCGAACAATTCCTCGGAGCACTCTCCATGATATATGCTATAGAAAATGCAGAGTGAAGCCACATTTCTACGTACCGCCAAGGGATTGAGCCGATCGGAGATGTTTGGGCCATCGACGATTCGAGTCGCTGTTCGTTGGATGCGGTCCAGAGGGAGAAGCTGGTACTGAGGTGCCCCTGCATAGAGATGAGAACAGTATTCCATATGCGGCCGGACTTGCGACTCATAGAGCGGAAGGCGGTGGGCCGGAGTGAAATACTGACTCGATCTGTTCAGGACACCGAGCCAATTTGACCTTACCCTCTAAGTGACCCCGAAACTGGACTTGCTCAATATGTCGATGCCTAGGATTCCGATGCTGGCTGAGGCAGATAGGGAGGTGCTCTCAAACTGAGGTGATGCGACAAATGGTATCTTTTTTGCGGTGAACGCATATACCTGTGTCTTTTTTGGGTTAAACTGGATCTCCTGTGCATCTCCCGTGCTATCATCGGCATAGCAATGGATGCTACTAGTTTTCAACATGTCATTGATATGCAGAAGAAACAGTGTGGGTGATAGCACACAGCCTTGTGGGACACCAGCATTTACGAATTTCAAGTCGGAGCATGCACCGTCGACAACGACCTTAATGATTCTGTCCGCAAGGAAGCTGGTGACCCAATTACGCAATTTCTCGGGAAGCTCAAAGGAAGGGAGCTTCGAGAGATTCGTATTTGTTTTTAATAGGCTTAATCTTTTTATTGTGTTTATACCCCCAATTTGCATTACCTTACCAAGGCTTACAGTGATGTGGTATGTCGGAATAAAACCGACTAAAAGCAAATGGTAATAAGGTACATGGTTATTTTGTAGGAAGAAAGTCCCTAAGAACATACTGAACGATTTCAACTTACGATTTTTAAAGTACTTTTTGCGATTGATTATAAATCGGCTATATTCAATTTTGGTACCATTTCAATTTATAAAGAAGTAATAATAATATAAAAAATAATTCATGGATTAAAAATACTACTTATTACTTTTATAAAATTAATTCTTTTGGTTTAGTTATAATAAATAGTCTGGTTATTGGTTCGTATACATTACGTAATAACTATAAATTTTCAATGTAAGTTATTGTAATAAATAAATGATATAAAAAGGGACTAGAACACTTACTTGACATTCTGTAGGCCATCGAGGTGCTTGCTGGGGACAATCAAGCTCTTTCGGAAGTGCAAACAAATCTCTTGGTTCTCTTAACTTAGCTGTAGTTCGAAATGTTCTGATATCTGTGTCAATTTCTAACTGATTTGTTTTGATATTATTTTGTAAAAAACTTGAGATGAATGTCCCTACACGGAAAAATATATTCTATTTAATATAGATTACCTAATACAAAAAACACAAAAAAATTGCCGAAAAGACTTTAGTTGCTCTCCAAATGTGTTCTAGAATAATTTACTGACTAATTTACTAAAAAACTAACTACTGAACTATTATATTTTTAAATCATTGACCTACTTTTATGAATAAACTGGCGATCACAATATATCACAATATAAGCACGCAAGTCGCAGTGCCAAATCAGTTTTGGGGGAACAATTTGGGGGTGCTTATTATCTATTAAATCAAAATGTAAAACGCGATTTAAACTGAGGAATTGACATACACGAAAGCACATTTAACAAACTTCAATAAACAAAGCCAATAAAAACACATAATAATATTTAATGGTTTGTCTATAAAGGCTTTTCATCAGTACAGATTTTGTTACTTATTACAGCTTAATATCACAAAGCTTTAGATCAATAATAAACAAAACAAACTGAAAAATTAAACATGAAAAGTTTTAGTTCAGTTAGTACTAATTGTTTGAAGTATATGTTTTCATTTTACCTTTACTACATATTGGAAACAACGAAGCTTGCAGCGATTTTACGTGGTCTATGTTTGCTATAAACACATTCTCCTGCAATCCAGGATTTATCGAAGGAAGTGTTAGCGTTACCGTTGTACTGCCAATATACTCTTTCTTTTGTTCTTCCCTTTCAATCATCATAATATCCTCTTGAATGGTCTCTATTTGTTTCCACCATAACATGTTAAATAAATTTGTGAACAGCGACGTTCGCCATTCACTAGCACATATTAATCCCTGTCGTGTGTATTTCTACAGTCGGCGATGTAGTAGGTACGGTCACCATGGCTACACAAATGTTTGAATATTAGCCGTCAGTCTCGAATTTTGTTTTGGAACCTGGTGGGTAGCACGGCGCTTCGAACTAAACTGAGTGACTTACGACATCAAAAACAGGGGTTCAAGCTTTCGGTTATTGGAAGACGATTGCTCCGTAATGTCATGCTTCGACCGTATAAAACTTATCAGGTGATTGGTGACGTCAAATGGTTATTCATCCGAAATTTAAGATTATGGCAATTTGAATGTCGAAACCTTTGCCAGAGGTCAAATTCAGATTTAATTTATCGATGTTATTTGAGGTTTGTAGTTAATGTTCGAGTTTTAACAGTGCATTGTATTAAACATAGTTTCACGTTCCCGGTGCAGAGAACTATGTTTGAAACTACTCGAAGTAATACCGTGTAAACCAGTTCTTGAATACAACATAATTTGTATTATACTCTTATGATGTATGTAGCATGACTGATAATGTTTGCGAAAGCGTGAAAGGTGACTTGTGCACTTCCGCGAAGGAAGGTGGTAAGTTGTGGCGTTCGTGTGGTAAACTTTAACATTGGCCGCTATCGTGGCCATAAACTTTTAGTACATTCATATACTCGTATCTAAGAATGTATAGACTTGTTTTAATGTTTTTTTAATCGTTGAACGTCGTCGAACGAAGCCTATCATGTCGTGTAGGTTTTTACGTGAGATATCTTGTTTTAATAACGTTGTTTATTTACTCTGATTTAATTAATTATTATAGCCTAATTTCAGTATTTATTGAATTATTTTTATAAGGATATAAACAAATTCTTTGAACTTTAATGTTCTTTCTAAGAGATTGTATTTTTTATATATTTCAGTTTTAAATAATTATTTTCGTATGATTTTAATTTACTCTTCTTATTATTTTGTACTATTTATTTCCTGACTATTTAGTGACTGCTGGCTTGACTCGCTAGATTTTTAATTCATCTTAATATTTTACCCAATCCCATCGCACTTTTCCCATTATTTTAACTCTTCGAAATATACTATGTCGTCTATAGTTTTTATGATGGTTGTTACACTTAACGTTGAAAAGCAAAGGTAAATGATACAAGGGGCGCAACATCAATATGAAAGCGAATAAGTATGTATATCTGCATTTATATATTGCTATTTAAATAATTATGTTTACCATTAGTAATTGCCATTGCGTGACTGGCGGGTAAATAAATTTTAGAGTTTTTGTGTATTGATATTTATGTTACTTTTATCGTCCCGGGCAAATAATCAGCATTTGAATATTTTTATAATGCAGTGTAATGGTTTACTTGTGTCGCTCAATTTCTTACAGGTCATGGCAACTTAAGAGTAAACTGTATTATCTAAATTAGTCGATTCACCATTGTGTCAATGCTCAACACCTGACTCTAATTGTAAACAGTCTGCTCATCATATCCTCTGGCAATGTAGTCTTTGGTATAATGAACGAAATATAATACTGAATTACTTACAGGTAACATCTGGGACTGTATACTATGGGTATCTCGTGTCAACTAGAGTGAATTGCCGTGCGTTTAGGCGATTTAAATTATAGAAATCAAATATAGCTCACTTTGGACCCATAATATTTTGTGACCGTGGTGTTTCCCCGTTTAAACGGGTGTATGCCTATTTAATTCATTTTGTCTCCCACTTTGCTGAGGGAAGTAATTTTATTATATTTCCTACTCCAATTTTCTGCCGATTAATTTCGTAGCTGTTTACAAGACAGTTTTGGGATTTCCCGAGTGTCACAATTCGGTATGTTCGTGGGTCACTGTTGTTGAACCTGGTGTACAGGAGTTACTGTGGAGGGCGTGTGGAGGGATCAGTCCTAAAAAAATCTGTGTATTGTATAATTTATCTAGTTTTAAGTAAAAACATAATTGCGTTTCTTCACTTTTACTATAAAACAAAGAATTTCATTATGTACTTTATTTCTGCTCTTAATCTTCAGTCTAGTTCAATAACTTTCTATCTATTCACATGTGTTAGCATTAAGTACTTTTGCATAAGTTAAAGGATTGGAAATAGATTGAAACTAGATAGACTGCGTTGGCTAACTTATTTCCGCCCATGTATTCTGAAATAAAAATAATCTATCAAGTTTTTTATGCATTAGTTTAAAACTTAAGGAACTATTTCTGAAATGCAATTGCAACCAAAATTATATGAAAAGTGTAGTTGGTAGCATGTATAACGGATATCATGGCGTAAAGGGTTTGAATAAGGTTAATATCGTGACAAACGGTCGGAAACTAATCGACGCTACTAGTAAGAACCCCTTATGCTTTTACCATTGTCGTTTTGGAATCAGGCCACTAGCACGAGCAAGCGTTTGAAGATGTCATCTGTTTTGCGATCGACGTTTAATGGTAGTCGAATCTAAATGCTAGAGGGTGGCCAAGCTACTGTTCTATTATATCTATTTTTGACTGTACCAATTGAGCGCAAATTTGACACTATATACAACCCGCTTCAAAGATTGTTTTTATGTTTTTTTTTGTTTCAAACTGGGTTTGACTGCACGGATGACGTAGTGGTTTAAGCGGTCGCCACAGTGTTGTGGGTTTGATCCCCACAAGGGACGACACTTTGTGTAATCTACAAACTGTTGTTCTGAGTCTGGGTGTTATTTGTGTCCGTTTAATGTATGTTTGTATCGTTCCTAGAGTTGTCTTTTTTAAAACAAAAAACAAAAAATAAACACACCATAAGTCTAACCTAAACTGATCCTTCTTACTCATGTATAATAAATAAATAAGATATAAATTCGCAGAGTAACCTTTTACTATACGTTATTCTGAACTAATCACTAGATTAGGTTATTAGATGTGGATCTAATAATCAAACATGTTGTGGTACAAAAAATAGGAGTAGAAATATTTTACAAATACTCTATAATTATATATAATGATAGAAAAAAAGATATGAAGTTACGTATATTATTAATACAATTTCTATCTTTAATTATGCGAGTTTTTGCCCATGACATAAAAATCATTAATAAGAAAATTGCTAGGGACTCGTACATCCATATTACTTTTTCATCCTTTTTTTGAATATAAAAAGCTTCCTATTATTTATCATGTATACTATAATAGTATTATCAGAAATATGTATTTTCTTAAAATAGGTATACAAAACTAATTAAAACTTGATGGTAATGTAAAAGTCTCGTTCATATATTTGCAGATTTACAAAGCACTTAAAAACCTTCATGAGTGCTTACTAACGCACAGACATCCGTGGAGTTGCTAAGCGACGCGTCAAGTGAAATCGATTATTCCTGCTTAAAGAAAATCTAGTTAGAGAATTAACTGGTAAGTTATAACTGCTATATACTTTTGTAATATTAAGTTCTAAACATGTTTGTTATCTCATTAGAACATAAATTTCTCCTAAATAGTTGTTATTTGTTGAATATTTAAAGCACAAGCTGAAACTTACTTAGTTTCTTAAATTATATAGGTTTAGTCTTTGACTGTATGTAAGTACTGTACTTGATTGTGTGTTTATAATTTACTAATAAAAAAATAAACTACAAAAGTGACACTTGTGTGATATCTGGGTTCGACTACCACAACACGATTTTTCATTTGTTATCCAATCATCAACATTACCCACGCTGATCATTATTTAAAAAATAGTCTCACTTTTTTGTGAAATGCAGAATGTAAAATTTTGCTGTACGAATTAGGTGTTTATTTTTATGGTATATAGGTCCAGGTCACCTGATGGTAAGGGCCGGTTGCCGCTTACCTACTTCTTCAGCCTGTTGCCGTCCACTGCTGAATGAAGGCCTCCCCAAAGAGCGCGGACCATCCCGGTCTATTGCAGTCCGCATCGCAGTAAATGGAAAATCCTTTGTGCCGCAGGGCGCCCCTCACTACGCTTGCCCAATCGCGGTCTCCACTCTAGCACATGTCGGCTCCCGCGACCATCAGTCCGCCGGGAGATATGACCGGCCCACTTCCACTTCAGCGTACTGATTTTCTGTTCGATGTCGGTTACTCCAGTTTTCTGGCGAGTCGTTGCCATACTAACTAAACTTCAAAAAATATCTGAGTATTAATATTGCAAACCTATCTAGGCAGTCAAAAAGCAAATAAATCTATACAAAAAGAACTAAAACATATTTATATGATAGTGAATATGCCAGAAATACCCTCCACTGTCTAGTATCGACCGTACCGATCTAGTATTTGGGTATTTTAATCGGCCACTGCATCTAAACTGAAAGAGCACGAATGTGGTTTTTCTATTGACTATTACAGGCCCTTCTGAAAATTTGTAATATTGTTAAATAGTAAAATTACGTAAATATATATGGTGCTGACTGTACTTAATATAGGACTTCTTAGTTAGATTTAAATATTTAATAAAAAAAAATAATAAAAATTAAATAATAGATATCTGTGTAAAATTACTGAGTTCTATTGTGGCTTAGTTAAAAATATATTGCAAAATTTAAATTTATTAAATGTTTAGGTATTATTTCATAATCATCAACTCGCCTGGCATTAATGGACCATTCTTGTTACTCAATGAATCGTTGCTTTAACAGTTTGTCTTCTTTTTATTTATATTATATGAATTCTACACAACTACCCGAGCGTCCATTGTTTGGGTAATTTCAAGCGTATTTTACGCTCATTTTCCTCTTGTTCTGCAGAAACTGCGTGAACTATGTGCCAGTAAGGGTTTCGGGGTGATTGGCCGGGCCTTAGCACCGCCTGGCGCGGATCGATTTCATACTCGACAGCCCATCTTATTGCTTTTTGTCATCAATCGCCCGTCGGCTTTGTTCTTTGGTCATGAATATTCATACTATTCCTTAATAACAGTCTTTTGTAAAATAGCTTATTAGAACTCGTTAATATTTAGTGCACATTTAAGTTAATTATTATGAAAACTGTTTTAAACATACGTCATATCAAAAAAGTCCACAATAGGATCTTATAAAACCAGTATGTATGTTATGTACCTTGAAGTATATTTTTAGTTCGTAATAATAATTGATACAAGTATTCTTATCATTACTATCTCCTATCGTTAGACCAAATAATGATACTGTGCCCTTGGCACATTTTTAAATCTATGTTGACTGATTTCGTTTTAGTTCGTAGTAGATTTAGAATTAAAAAAAAAAAAAACAGTAAAAATTCAGTCGCAGAGCTTTGAGTTTCTCGTTGATATGGCATAGTGGGTAATGATTATAGAACAGCCATTCTATATCCTAATGGTTTAGTATTTCAAAGGCACATACGCTATTGGAACAATGCTTAAGTTTTGAGAATAGGTAGAGCAGAGTATCTAGTAAGAGCTCTATTGCCAGAAACAATGGGAGGCTAGTCAAAGTAGTACACGAAATGGAAATTTGAACATCGCATGTTTCAATACTATGAATAGAAGTATCATATCCAATAACAAATAATAGAATAAGCAATGAGCCTTTTTACGTAACACGTTTGTGGCTGCCATTGACGTCGTTCTTCTCAGCTCAGTGCCGGCGGCACGCATTTAATGTAGAGGCAAAAAGTGTTATTGATGATTGATGATGATTTTATCAGCTTGTTAAATAAAGATTTCTAGAACGTTTCCTAAAATGGGTTGTCTGCTAAAGGAGAATAAATCAACTCAATATTGTTTACTTTAATAAACGGATAGTCGACATGTTTTGTTTGTCAAGAGCAGAAGTCAGTCCGAATAAGATAGTCATGACTCTAGTCGCTTGCTTCAACAACCCTAATAAATTATTCTAAAATGTATACCGTTGCGCAAAATTACTACTAAATTAAAATCCGTTGGGAATAGACCCTGACACCTATGATGTGCACCATCACGAACATAAGTGGCGTGTATGCCATCCATCGTGGACGATCACTATAATTCTTAGTCATATTAAGTAGAGATACAGGATCCGGCTCATATACCACCAGCAAGGCTTAAACGCAAGTCAATATTATCATTGGAAATAACTGTATCCGGCTCGAAGGACCAAAATGTTGGGGCTGTTATTATATTTTTCCCAACATTTAATGCTGAAGTTTGTTTATAGTTGAAGTTAGGTAAAAAATACCAATGTTGCAGTTATGAGCGTTTATTGAACACTAAAATTCACTGTATAAATTAAAACCTTATAAACCACAATTTCGCTGACTTAGCTAAGTACGAGTTCGTACAATAACATTAGTTATTCTTTCAACAGCGTGGAAATATTTTTACAAATTGTTGCAAGGTATTTTTGCATGGCATAAGCTTATTTCATAGTTAAGTTTACATTAGACACATTGAACAAAAATGAACCATATGAAAAAATAAATAGCTACATTCTTTTGCGAATATAAAATGAATGTGCGTGTTTCGTCTTTTGGTTTCAAAAAAGATTTAAGTACATTAAATTTATTACTGGCGATGGTTATTGGGATCATGCTCGTTGGAAATAGCGACGGCAACGACTATTCTGCTTTTTTTTTAAACAGTCTTGTCAAATGTTAAATTGTTCTTCCAAATAACATAGGTAGACTGCTAAGTGTTTTTTCAAAATATCTTTTATCGTTGGTGTTCAGACTTGAACTCAAGGTCAACCTTAGCCGATTCCATATTATATTCGGTACCAATCACAGATAAATGACGCAAAACGACTACACAGTATACAACATGCATTAAACAGTTAATACGGAACAGTAGTGCGATGGCTAAGAGGTGAAACGTGGACATTTCCTAATACACGCATGTTACTTAGTTGTAGGGGTAAACGAAAATACTAGTAATAAACGACCTAGATTACCAGTATTCCTTAAAAACAATACCAGCAAAGTTTTCATTTCATGCTCCGTTTTTTCAAAATTAAATAATACTATATCTCTTAGTCTTAGTACACACCTCACGAATTGAGAAATTTCTTTTTACATACTTCATTAAGTAAGAATAGGGATATTCCTCATTTCAATTTATGTGGAATGTGAGCGTAGTATTTTTAATTAGTTTTAATGTATATATATATACTCGTAGTGTATATAGTCACGATATCGATCTGCTGATGTGATTTAGACTATTCAGAAAAAAAAGTAGTTTTGCATCACCTAGTAGTATTTATGACTACTCGTAGAAACTGATTTAATTTACTCAGTGTTTTCAAATAAGTATTCGAGGCATGAATGAATGTTCCTTTGTTACAGGAACAATGGGGCGAAAAGTAATAGTAGCGGTAACTACGCTAAACCAGTGGGCGTTAGACTTCGAAGGAAATTTAAACAGGATTTTACAGTCAATACAGGAAGCTAAGGAGATGGGAGCTCTCTATCGAACTGGACCTGAATTGGAAATATGGTACACACATTAACTAGAACTTTTTTTTAATAAAAGCCAACAGCCCGTTAGGAATATATCCTGTGTCGCGGGGGACTTTACATGAAACGGACACAAATAACACCCAGACTCAGAACAACAATTTGTGGATCAAACAAAGTGTCGTCCCTTGTGGAGATCGAACCCACTACACTCAGCGTAGTAGTAAACGGCGTGGCGACCGCTTAAACCACTACGCCATCACTCTTTTGTAGGTGCATAGGTTAAAATGGATAACTGCAACGGACATGCCTGACTTTATATGCGCGATGCATAAAATGTGTTGCTTTAATTTATTAGGGTTTATAATTCGACTAAGATTCCAATTTATTCAGTTTTATTTTTAAATTTAGAAATACTACACTATAGTCATTTATAATCTTGCCTAGATTTGAGGATTTTCCTCTCGTCAAGTGGCTCGAATGTGAAACGAAATCCATTGCCGCCCCTTTCTTATTACTTGAACTCTGCAGTGGCTTGAGAGGCGAGTCCCGCAGTACGGCAACTGACTCGGCAATCGTGGCGTTGTAGCAGGGCTTCTGTGATATGCCTACAGGTCGCATGTTTGGTCGTATCGGTCACTCGATCCACCGGTCACAATAAATAGGAGGCGAGAGAGTGGATTTGTATCTGCGCACGTACTTATCCACTATAATATTTTCCCTCGCTGATGACAACAGAACTGATGCCAGGGAACATATATAACGACAAAGCAGCCCCATTTAGGGATAGCCCGTGAACTCTCCTGTTATAATATCGACATCGCCGCAATTAGCGAAACACCTGGCTGGCAGCGGGGAACTTTGCGAGGCTCTAGGTGGGTACATATAGTTCTGGTCAGGGAAGCCCGCGTCGGAACACGCTTCAGTGGTGTTGGGTTCACGATTAAGAGATCCATCCATCCATCCATATTCCATCGCCTGGAAAAACTTAGGATGCATGGGAGCCTTTGAGGAAGGGTTTGAAGGCTTCGTAAGGCTCAAGAATAACAATTCCTGGCAGATACCAACCAAACTGCAAAATTTTTCGAAAGCTTAAAAACCATCTACGGCCCCCATTGAAAGAAAACAGCACCCGTATACTCGCGTGATAACACTACCAAATTGACAGATCCCTCGGATGTTTGCTGCTGGCAAGATAATGGCACATATTATTAATGGTCGCCTAGTTAAGCTTTCTGAAAGCCAATGTGCCCTTAGACTAAATAGAGGCACAGAGAAAAATAGCTTGAATAGCATTGTGACCTCTAAATGTGTTTTGTGGACCTCGAAAAGGTTTTCGACCTCGACCCAAGGTCTGCCCCTTTGGATTGTTCTGGAGAGGTATGGGTGTCCATCAAAGTTTGTCAACCTAGTACGCCAGTTCTATGTTTGCCCACGTTTGGCACGAAAACTGCTTTACAGAACAATTCCCAGTAAGAAGTGGCCTCAAACAGGGCTGTGTCATGTCATGCTGTGTCACCTACACTTTTCTCTGCGGTAATGAATGACGCCATTAAGAAATCTGGGAAGAAAGAAAATCTGAAATGGACTCACCCTCAATGTTCGTATGGACAGAAGCGTATTCGAACTATCGCGCTTCAGAGCAAAATGCAGTCACTACTGTCCCCGTTACCCAAATTCGATATGCCGACGATGTCTGCCTTATGGCTGATAGCCTTGCTGATCTCCAGGAATGTCTCGACAATTGAGACGAATCGGGCTGCAAATTTGGCTTGGTAATCAGCGCATCTAAGACCCAGATTCTAAAACAGCCTGCAAGAGGACAATCTGCGGACAATGCGTCTGTTTGCTTAAACGGTAAAGCTTTAGAGGAGGTAGAAACTTTCCGCTACCTTGGCAGTCTCGTTGGTAGCGACAATCGTCTCGAGTCTGAGACATCCGCAAGGATTGCTAAGGCTGCAGCAGCATCTGGTGGACTCAACCACCGTGTTTAGAAATCGCACGATCTCAAGTTGCATACCAAACTATTTGTGTACAGGGCTATTACATTACCACTGCTTTTGTACGCCTCGGAGACCTGGTGCCTTTACAAAGGTGGTATCAAACGCCGCGACGCCTCCCATCTAAAATGTCTCCGAGCTATACTCCATGTACGCTGGCAAGATCGGGTTTCCAACACGGAGATTTTTCGTCGGACAGGTTTAGCGAAGCATGAAGAGCCTTCTAATGAAGGGTCAGCTGCGCTGGTGCGGGCACCTTGTGTGTATGGGGTCTTCCAGATTGCCAAAAGCAGTTTTTTACTCGGAGATCAGCTCAGGTAAACGCCGATCTGGAGAACAATATCTGCGATACAGGGATGTGCTGAAGCTTCATTTAACAGCCATCATCTTGCCCCCAAAGTTGTGGGAGGAACTGGCTAGAAACGGAACGGAGTTTTGGAAAGCTGTCCATCAGGGCATTCAAAATTGAGAACGAAGCCGTCTTGAAGACCTTAACGCCAAACGCCAGTTTCGGAAACTCGTCCTAAGCCCTCCTATAACTACACTTACGCTAGGTGAGCTTCGCTGTGCCTCATGTGACCGTGTATTCAAAACCAAATTCGGTTTTGCGAGTTACGTACGTGTCGCCGAAGGATACGTCTGGGAGGACATCATCATTACTTGAACTCAAATTAAATGTATAACTTAGTGTTTGAAGAAACTAAATTACTTTAAATATTTCAGTGGTTACAGTTGCGAGGACCATTTCTATGAACCAGACACTTGCCTTCACAGTTGGCAAGTTCTCGTCGAGCTCCTTAAATCACCCACATGCAAAGATATGCTGATCGATGTCGGCATGCCCGTTCAACATAGAAATGTACTCTATAATTGTCGGGTATCCTTTCTTAATAAAAAGATATTGCTGATTAGACCAAAGATGATGTTATGTGAAGATGGAAATTATAGGGAGGCTAGGTGGTTTTCTCCATGGACCAAAGTATGTAAATTTTATTATATTTGAAATGTTTAGTTCGTGTTTCGGGTTGATTACCACTGGATTCATATAAAAACGACGAAATTACCATTATTAAAAGATTTATACGAGCATGCCTTATAGCATTTTATTACTAAATCTTAATTCTTCAAAAATACTCGTATATTTATTTTGTCTGATTGTAAGCGAATAGACTTAGGCAGCCTTGCTTGGGAGTCTCTGCCAAATGTCGTAAATTTGTGACGTAAAGCATTTTAACAGATTGCTTCCTTTGTAGTTGTTTCGTTTTTCTATGTCTACCTGCCTTAGGTTTTGTTTGCGTCGTTTCCAATAATCCAGTTAGTTCACCTATCCAAATGTATGATTTCAACATAGAATGTTTGTTGATCTAAAGATATTTCTCCACCAGACTGAATTGTATGTATGTTTATGTATTTGTTTCCATTATACAATTTTATTATTGTATTTGTAGGAGCGACAGACTGAAGAATATTATTTACCACGAATGATAACAGCAATAACAAACCAGACCACAGTTCCTATTGGTGATGCGGTCATAGCAACGAAAGATACGTGTATAGGTTACGAAATTTGCGAAGAATTATGGAATCCACAGAGGTATTTTCTAATGATATAATTCTACTAAGCCAGTTTTTTCTGTCAAAAATATGAACTCTTTGTAGTTAGTAGTTTAATGTAACAAGTTTATGCTTACTTTGTAAATTTTATTAGGTATAATATCATCTATTTGGCCTCTTAAATGCAGCGAAACATATCTTAGGGCTATCTATAGTCCATTCGCGGTAAGAAAGCGGTGACGCATCGATGAAGTCCCGTCCCCTGACCAATCAGGTTCCAAAAAATTATCGTTTCGTACAAAAGATTGGAACCTGATTAGTTTAGAGCCCTTGATCAATGCGTGACTATTTTCTTAATACGAATGGACTATAGTGTACGGGGAAACTATACAATGATTGGCACTTTAAGGGTTCTTTGATCAGTCATTTGCACTAACTTTTAAGTATATTTTTTTTCATATATAAGTAATCATGAGTTAACATGTTTAATAAAAATTAGTTAGTATAAACGTTAACATTATAAAAAAGGTTAGTTTTACTTAACTTACTATCTGTAAATATAAAAATGTTAAGTTGGTTTGTGTACGTTTTAGAAACTTAAAAAGTTCTGCATGGATTGAATATTTTTAACACATTAAGGCTTATATTTCTGTTTATAATTAGGAGTGCCAGTAACTAATGGGATGTCAACAATAGTACAGCTTACCCTACCTCGCAAATACTATCCATTAAACGCTCAATGAAAGGGGACATATCACTAATTCCTTCACACTTATTTAAAATTTATTTTGTCCCTATTTCAGTCGTCACATTCCTCTAAGTTTAGACGGAGTGGAGATAATAGCAAATGGTTCCGGTAGTTATATGGAACTACGAAAAGCTTACGTCACAGTTGACCTGGTTAAGAGTGCAACGTTCAAGAGTGGTGGCGCATATCTGTTTAGTAATTTGCGAGGTTGCGACGGCCAGAGAATTTACTTCAACGGTTGTTCTTGTGTTGCTGTGAATGGAGAAATTGTTAGTAGAGGGCTGCAGTTTGCGTTACACGATGTGGTTAGTAGTTATGGTTATTTTGATCACGTCTATACAAATAAGTAAAATTTAAGTGTCTGTTTGTAATGTCAAAATTATAGGTTTTTTTTTTCATGCTCACACGGTAATTTGCACGATACCTATGCCTAAAAACCAGTTTAATTTTTTTTGTCTGTCTGTCTGTCTGTTTGTTCCGGGTGATCTTCTAAACGGCTGGACCGATTTCGATAACATTTTACTACCAGGTAGCTGTCTAGTCCAGGGCATTGAACCCACTAAGGCAGCATTTTTCAAATTCGAAACGATTCGAACGAAGTCGCGGGTACCAGCTAGTTAGAAATAAGTGTAAAATGTTTTTATAGTTTGTTAAAACGTAATAATGTATGTGCATAACGACAACATGTATTGAAAAGTTTTTTCTTCACGACCCGGAAGAACCACAAAGAGTCTCTGTATTGAATTAAAATTACACGCAAAATTTAGTAGTAGAAGCTGGTTTTCTCCTTTAATAACTTGATGTGTAAAAGAGATTGTTTCTCTGCTACTGCTGTTGTTGCCTTCATGGTCAATGTTATTTGAATAAGTTTTTTTTCTAGGAAGTAGTGACAGCGACCATTGATCTCGAAGATATTCGTTCGTACCGGACGCAACGACGCTCCCGAACGCACTTAGCGGCTTCAAATAAGCCTTTCCCCAGAATTACAGTCGACTTTGCGTTGTCAGACGATGATGACGTATACCTTTTAACCAGCCCGCCAATGAAGTGGGAATACTTGACGCCAGAAGAGGAAATAGAACTAGGTTTGCACTAAATTAATTTTGAATAAAAAAGTTATGTGCATATATTTGCATGTTACCTACATAACATACATGCGTATATTTGCAACGTAGATATAATTTGAACGTTCATTCTAGAATAGACCGACATCACACAGAAAATATGTTTCTGAGGCATACGATTCCTAATTTTCATAAAACTTATTTATTTACTTATTATTTTTTCAACATTTGTATATACTTCTGTTTTTGAGTATGGTTTTATTTGAACTTACACTGGATGAGCCTATATATAAACTAACTTAGTTACCAAAGAAGACAATTATTGCAATAGTGTAAAATCGATCCGGAACAATTATTGAAAAAAATTGTTAAAAATATTAATAGGGGACCGCCCCGCCGGAACGACGGTGGACGCCCCCGGTGGGACGACGGGCCGAGGGGATTCCCACAAATAAGTGTGCAGACTGTGTTTGAACCTAATTTAAATAGATAGGATTCGTCTTTATTTTTATCTTTTATTTAATAAAACACGAGGGTTCAGTTATTGAATCAGGTAGCACTAGGAACCCCTATAATTAAATTGACTTGTCCAAGTTAGGCTATTCATTGATTTCTCCTCAAATAATAATAAAATTTATTTCAGGTCCTGCCTGTTGGTTATGGGACTACCTCCGGCGTTCGGGACAAGGAGGATTCTTCCTTCCTCTTAGTGGGGGCGTAGATTCAACTAGCACTGCATGTATTGTGTTCTCAATGTGCACACAGATCTGTGATGCTATACAGAAAGGAGGTGTGTACAAATTTGTTATTAATAATAATATTGTGTTTTTTTTTTAATTCTCTTGCAAATTAATTTGTTGTCAGATAACATAGTGCTCATATCTTTACTGTTATTATAAAGAAGAAAGTGACAAGATAGATATGAAAAAAGCTTGAAATATATATTGTTATTTAAACGCGTTGAAACTTCGTAAAGCGACTTATATTTTACCCTTTATGTAATTATATTTGCAGAAAGTCAAGTGTTGTATGATGTGCGCAAGATTCTCTGTCAGTCAGACTATACCCCTTCCGATCCAATGGAACTTTGCAACAGACTGCTAGTGACCTGTTACATGGCAACAGAAAATTCAAGTACGGAGACTAAGCAGAGAGCTTCACAGGTAACATTCATTCCTTTGTTACTTGTGCCTGAATTATTGTCCTTCTTTTAGTTGTGAGGAAGAAAAAACAATAATAACTTCACAAATCACACGTTAATTGTCATGGAATGGGAATAGAACCCACGATCTCTGACTAAACAGTCAGGGCCACTAACCACTCGTAATCACTCTTTATAATTGTCACTTTCTATTTAATACGTTTTTCCAGTTAGCAAGTGAAATAGGCAGTTATCACTTTCCGATAGTGATCGATTCAGCCGTGAGTGCAGTCTTAGGAATATTCACAGCGGCTACAGGATTGGTGCCGAAGTTTCGCAGCAAAGGAGGTTGCCCTCGACAAAACTTGGCTCTACAGAATATTCAGGTACTGTAATATTGTCAAGTGTTTTGGTTTCAGATTTCAAAGGATGACTGTATGGATGGCGTAGTGGTTTAAGCGGTTTCTACACCGCTTCTTATGGCGCTGAGTGTTGTGTGTTTGATCCCCACATGGGACATCACGTTGTGTGATCCACAAATTGTTGTTTTGAGTCTGGATGTTCTTTGTATTCGTTTCATGTATATATATATATATATATTAATATATATCCTGTGTCCAAAACAACTCCCGTATTAGTAATCTAATGCGGGAGTTGTCTTTTATTTATAAAAAAGGTTAAAGAATTGGCTAGCCTGATATACTCATATATTATGTTGTTTTCATATGTTTTGGCAACACTTAGACGTGATGTTATACCTTGGTATCAGTAGTATCTATAATTTACGTCACACGAGTTTTTTTTTGCCTTCTTTATATGACGTCACATAGGTATTTATCAATTTTACATCTAAAAATGATTAATTCAAAACAGCAGTACCGAATTAGTTATATTACTGTTATTAATTTCAAAAATTGATTTTTTTTGAGAACTGACGTCACCGAAACTTAGGACCCCTCCCGCTCCCTTGCCCCTAACCCACTCGGTTACCACTAAGCCACGAACCTGTGACTTCCCTCAATGTGAATTAATTTCTACAACATAATAAACCCAAACTGTTCTGTTTCTAGGCCCGTCTCCGAATGGTCCTTTCCTATTTGTTTGCCCAATTGATGCTGTGGGTGCGGGGACGGCCCGGTGGCCTCCTAGTTCTCGGCTCTTCAAATGTCGATGAAGCGTTGCGCGGGTACATGACCAAGTATGACTGCTCCAGTGCCGATATCAATCCCATTGGTGGTATTTCTAAGAATGATCTCAAAATGTTCCTACAGTACGCTAAAAACCGGTAAGTTTTGATTTACTTATGCAAAAAGTTAACCACAGTTTTGTGTTCAATGGTTCTACTAGAACCTCACAACCTGTATGAATTTTGTTTTTCTCAAATGATGGTTTTATACCAAAATTTGCAAGAAGAACTACTACAGAATTTGTTAAATTTGTTTTATGCAAGAAAAAGATTTTAAGTAGTCTAAGCAATTTAATGGAGGCTCAGTAGGAGGAGCAGTAAGTGTTCCACAAAACCAAACAAATAAATGTTTTCTCATACAGTAAATAAATAGATAGTACAGAGGGTTTATTTTCCACACACTATCGCGTGCTCCTTTTAGCACCAATATTAATATTTGTCCCCGAGTTTGAGTAAATGTGACTTTTTCTACATGTTGATGGTACGAACCTAATTACATTTACTAATAAAAATGAACTATGTTATGATTTTTAACTTAATAAATACCTAAACTCATTTATTGACATATCGTTATTTTTGTTCTACAGTTTCTTCTTACCGTCTCTTTCCGAGATTCTTCAAGCACCTCCTACAGCAGAACTGGAACCGTTGACAGACGGTCAGATCACGCAGACAGACGAGCAGGACATGGGCATGACATACGCCGAGCTGTCTGAGTTTGGTCGCTTGCGGAAGACCCATCATTGCGGACCATACACCATGCTGCACAAGCTTTCACATGCTTGGAGCGATAAGTGCACACCACAAGAGGTAAGTTTACAGTAAGAAGCTTATGCTTTGCAAAAGTTAATTTATACATATCAAATATATTTTTATAGATATTGGGCATTTTGCATTGAATATTCTAGTTTGCTATTTCCCAACTCTTTATAGCCATGAAATTTATATCTAGTGGTTCGCGATTCTGACTTCTAAGTCAATCGTCGTGGCTCCATTCTTACCCAGGCCAAATATTGTGTGAAGAGCACATTCAATTGTTCAGTGTCTGGATGCAACTTATTTAGGTATAATAGGTATGCAGTTATTAATATATAAGTATGTTTATGTATATATACGAGTATACTACTAGTGCTAAGGAGCACGAAATTTGAAATTCTCGGATTTTCTGTACTATAATATGCATTAATTACCTAATACATAACAAACCTTCCTCTTGAATTACTCTCTCTACTGATGAAAATCTGTTGCGTAGTTTTAAAGATCTAAGCGTACCAGAACTAGAAACGTTAAACTATGTAATGATATATTTACATATATGTTCCTGATTGACGCCAATTAAAAACAGCCAAACTAAAATTATAATTGAAATATGGGCGTTACACCTTTGTTTTACCTCTGACCTGCAGGAAGATTTACCTTTAACTCCCATTTACCATCACAGAAATATATAAATTTATAGGTGGCAGAGAAAGTGAAACATTTCTTCCGTTGCTACGCGATCAACCGCCATAAAATGACAGTACTGACGCCATCGTACCACGCGGAGACCTACAGCCCCGACGACAATCGCTACGACCACAGACCATTCTTGTACAGGGTACACTGGCCTTGGCAGTTTAAAGCTATTGACGATGCCGTGAGTATATATTTTTCAATCAATTCGATAATTTGTTTTTTATCAGTTTTTATCCACGGAACCCTATTACTAAGCCTGCCAGCATCAGTGTGGAATGCGCTCCGGTAACTTCACTCACTCGGTGAAAAGTAACGAAGGAACGCTTAACTTAACGAAGCTTTGTGTGAGGCCGCGGTATCACTCCGGTCGAGCCGGCCATCAAACGTCATGATGTTTATATGTGTGTTCTCTATGGAGTACAGGATGGCTTGACCGATTCATTCTTCAGCATTAAACCCAACTCATAAATTCAATAGAGCCAAATGTGAAGTTTGGTATGCATTCGAAACTAGAGCGAGTCTCTAGTTTCAATTTTGTACTGTTCTCTGAAAGTAAAATTTAATTTAGTATAATTTTTTGAACAGGTAGCGAAAATGACAAAAGACAAGCGTGACTCGACGTCAGATCGTCCAGCGGAGCCGAACAAATTGACCACATCCGCTTCAACTTCTAACATCAACTCACACTTTATGCGACTCAATCGGAAAGGTGTACTTATATAAACAAAATTATATTGTAGAGCTGTCCTATAGTAACTTATGTATGTCATTCGTAGTTGTGATACAAATTTTTATGTAGTATTTATGAAGGCCTTAGAGTTCAATGTCGCTTGGCAATTGAATGCTCACATTAACGTAAGTAGTTATTAGTATCTATATATTGGCCGCTTAGTGATATTTTTGGTGAACAAGAAATAGTTATGCATTGTTGTGCTTTTTGAGTGTCGTTTCTTACGTAGGTTCAAGTACTTATTGTCACATAACAGCACACGACTAGCACCAATCACGAAGATTAAGTAAATTGAGGTAACACTCGACGTGAAATGTGTCTCATATCAAGCAATGATACGGCTAAATTTAAATGTACGATATAGATCTCGTCAAAAGATAGGTCATGAAATGGCGTTCATAGTGGTTTTAAAGACGTTGTCTTTTTTAAGATGACGCTGAGCACCGTGTATAAATATATAATTATTTATTTTTTCTAGTGATTTTCTTAAACCCTCCTCATATTAAACATTATTTGTGTACAGTGCTACTTCAGTATGTTTTTTATGCGAAAATATTAATGGAAATTTTGTAAAATAGTTTTAAGGAGCCTTTTCATAGTGTTTATGTGTACAAATATTAATAAAAATATAGAAATAAAATATTAGGATCAGGAATTAAGACGCCATAGACTCTCTAAGGCGTCTTAATTCTCATGGTAAATAAATAGTTTTTACTTTAACACTGAGCGGTGATTGTAATGCGGTGTTACTTATCTATACATCTATACAAATACATAAATAAAATTGAAGTGTCTGTTTCTAATGTCAAAATAATCATGCTCACACGCTCACACTCAACATATTTGCATGATACATATGTCTAAAAACCAGTTCAATTTTTTTTTGTCTCTTTCTGTCGGGTTGTTCCGGGTAATCCTCTAAACGGCTAAACCAATTTCGATAATATTTTACTACCAGGTAGCCGCCTGTATAAGGAGTAACTTAGGCTATTTTTAACCGACTTCAAAAAGGAGGAGGTTGTCAATTCAATTTATTTTTTTTTGTACAGGCATAACTCCGTCGTTAATGGACGGATTTGCACATTTTTTTTAAAGGGGTTTATTTCGAGATGGTCCCATTTAAATTTCATATAGCTCTGATGATTAGTAGTGGAGACAGACAACGGAGCTCTTAAAAATGACAAGAAATCAACCGCGATTGCTGCTAGGTTTTTAGTGTTCTTTGTTAGAAGTCGGTTCAACTTTTTTTTACAAGGATTTATCCTTTTAGAAAAACCCTGTAAAATTTAGTCCGAGCCGCTGCCGATTCGAGTGCCCGCGTGCAATAGCGATTCGTGTCATGCGGTTTCATTCTACAGATTATTATGCCACCATATGCTGCGAGTTACATAAGTCGCAGGAGTATAGCCCCCCTTTCTCGGAGTCAAGGGCGGGAGACTGTCAAACTGTTTATCGGATCGGATACAAAGTTCGTTGCGTCGTTCTGATTAACTGGGATTTATTATTATTGGCAGTTCTTGGCGAAGATAAAGAGAGACAAACACAAACTAATATATTGAAGCAAAAACAATTCTGGGTATATCATTTGTGGAAAACACTCAAGACACTCAAGACGCGTGTGCTTCCTCCTTTGCCCACGCGCCCAGCCCAGGCTGCACCCCATTTGCCGCTTGCAATACCGACACATCCGGATTAAACCTTATTTCAATTAATTTGGCTATCATATACCAAGACGTGGCGCGGCGGTTGTATCAATTTAATAATTCTAAACACATGGAAACATGGATAAAAATAACCTGATCAGAAATAAAATCCTTTACCAATCCGTACCGTGTCGCGACGTCAGTCAGCGCCGGCCTTATTTGAGTGGCTGGGCTTTCTGCGAGAGATACGAGACGCGGTATGCTTTGGTATGCTGCTTCATACCATAGCATCCTTCGGTTGCCGAAGGACACTCTGCCGTGCCCTCCCTTGCCGCGGCGTTAGTTAGCGCCGGCCGTAATACCTACCTACGCACGCCGCGCCATCTCGGTCAGTAGCCGGGCAACTAAGTGTAACCTAGAAAGGAAATCCCAGATATTCTGACAGGCCCCAAGTGATTTACGGCTTACAGATGCCCAGGCCCGGCGCTTATGAAGAACGGACATCATTCAGCGCTTAAGCCGCCTGCAGTATCTGGCTCAATCCCGGGCCTGGTGAGCCGGGAGAGGGTTCTATGTCCCTCCCGTTCCCACTTCGCCCCGCAGAAGGAGTTAGTCGCTCCGTACCATGGTCGCAATCAGTCAATCAGCCTCTGCTCCATACACGCTGGACATTCTGGCAGCTCGTAAAGCGCCATGAGCACGCTCGGGCTATCGTTGTGGCAGCACCCGGGCGTTGGCTCTTTGCGGATCAGACACAGGGCACCTCTAAAGCGTCCTTTGCGTCTGTCAATATCAATGGGTCCCGTGTTTCCTATCGAGCCAATCCTCCATAACGCAAGATGCGTCGCACTAACAGCGTACCAGAATTAAGCTGCCCCATTAAACTTTCGCCCGTTATGGGATATTTGGGAACCCCGCGATTGAATCACTCAAGATGCGGGTCTTGAGTGATTGAAATTGTACATACTTACGTTTAATAAAGTAATTCGAAGCCTATAGAAATTTTCATTTATTTTCGTACACTGATCAATAGATGTTACTATGATGAGATAAAAATACATTAGACATGCAAATTATGAAAAAGTTCGTTTTGATTTCTGTTTTTGCCGCCCCCTTGAAAATTCCGCCTGTGTGCGGTGCACGCTCTGCACACCCTTACCCGGAGACTCTGAGGCAGCGCATTTCAAACTCCACGCGTACGAAGTCGCGGGTACCAGCTAGTGTTTATATATAAATAGAAGCCAGTAGTGCTCTAGTATTAAAAATGGCAACCGTGTAAGCCATTTCAAATACTACATCAAAAAATATTTTTACCTAATTTTATGTAGAAAATAATAATTCAGTCTTAATATATTTTTTATAACTATTTCAGTAATAAGAGTACTTCATGTGTGGTGTAAGAACTTGAAGCGCTGAAAATTGATATAAAACCGAAAGTTTTTAAATCTATTTCTATTTAAGCTTTTAAGAATTTTAGATAATAATGTTCGTAAAAATAATGATGAATGACCAAGGCACTACGCCTTGGTCTTAAGTAATACATTGAAAAAAAAAAACATTTTGATTAGTAGAGCTATACAGGCAGTGGTGTAGATGAAAGAAAGGTGTGGTCATATATAAGGTAAAACACTGTAATAAAATTATTTTATCACTTAAAGAGTAAAATATGTATTCCTAAGTTTCTTTTCTTTTATCAATATAGTGGATTATCGATATTCTAAGCCTATTTTTGTGGATAAGAATACAACACTTTCATTTTATTTTTACGTAAAAACACAATTTTTTTTAATGCGTCAACGTATACCATTTTTACAATATAAAATAAGTTTTATACATTGAACACGATGGCAACACAAATCGTTATGCGTCTTTCGTTTTATGTTGTAAAGTGCAGTTTCAAGCGATTTAAAAATGTAGCATTTTAATTATTATTTTTATTATTTTATTATTTTATTTTATGTCGTGTATGTTAGGAGGTACAATTAATTTGTGGTATCTAGATATGGCAAAATATATAAAAATAAAATCGTTTGCCGAAAGTTTCAATAGGTAACCTTTTTGGTAAAAAGAAATTCATTATAGCGGGGTTCCTCGGTGTATATAATTTCACTTGACTAAAATCTTCTTTACCGTTATGTATAAAAAGTAACTATTTATGTTTACTACATTTACAGTGAACGAAATAAGAGTTTTATGTATACAGGGTGTAATTGATGAATATTCCGGCAGAAAATTCCAATGATTTTCGACTCAGAATGATGGTCTGAATACACTATTTAAGTATTCGTTACACCGTTCCTTACACCCTGTATAATCTAATCATATAGTGACTTAAAATATTTATTGACATTTTGCACAATATTCGCACAAATGCTTGGTAAAACTCTATTTGAATTACCTTAAAACACATATTGATCTGTTTAAATAAAAATGTTTACTTTAATAAAACTGACTTTTATTTGTTATAACATATGGGTTTAACTGTGTAATTTATAATTATACAAAGTACTACTGTTTATGTCAGGCTGCTTGGTTGTAACGCCTCGTACTGTCGTTCACTAGGTAATAAACGAGGCGATGACTAATCCCCATTGGTTTAAGACAATATGCTGCTTATAGTAAAAGTTCGGGATGTGTAATGCCTTTATTAATAGTGAACTTGGTCTGACTGCAAGTGAAAATGATTCTAACTCAACCTGACTATAGTCTACTCGCGTTAAGGAAATCGTAACGCAATAGTGACACATCGATCAAGTCCCGCACCCTGACCGATTAGGTTGACACCTAATCTCTTTCGTACGAAACGATAATTCCTTTCGATCTGATCTGTCAAGGGGCGGAGCTTTTTCGAAGTGACATTATTTTCTTAACCCCAATGGACTATAGTAGATAGCCGGAATTGTGGGACCTTTGAGGTATGCGTTTGATGATTGAAGAAAAGTGATGTCACCAATGATATTTATTTTTCTATAGCTGATATAAACAATTCGTGTGATTTAGGAGATAACTGGCCTTGTTTTGAGTTGCTGTAAACTTACCAAATTGCTGAAAAAAAAAAAGAAAAGATATAGTAATGTTCACGAAGTATATACCTACTGTACACTTGTTCACTAGTATACTATAGTTAAACCGCAGTAAGCTTGGCCCTCCTGATGGTTTGCGGGACGCGGGGCGGGTGATGCGCTCGGCTATACATGACACGATGTACTAACTCGATATCTTCAGATTTATTTGTTTGAGATTTAATCTACACACGATGTAATAAAAATCGAATTTATTTCCATGTATTATAATGTCAGTGTATTGTAAGTTTTTATGATTAATTGTAAAATTTAATACTGTAAAATAATTTTAATAAAATCACCTTATCTTCATCATGTAAATTTTATTCAGATACAATTTAAAAATTTAGTAAAATAATAAATATTCTTTATTAGAACTTTAACAGTAGAACCTCTGTAAGCCAAACTTCAAGTTTTTTAATCTTTTTGTGACGCAGAGTCGGCAGATTATCCATGTTACAAAATAATACCGTGTGTAGCAGTCTTAAGAAAAATAACACGTACAGCCATGCTTTCACGTCAGTCACTGCCGGCGGACAGCGACGCACTAGCTAATTGGTTGAATGCACCCCCGCCCCGCGTACCCCAAACCATCAGGAGGGCCAAGCTTACGGCGGTTTAACTATAGTAATCGTGTAGAATATCTTTTAATGAAGTTTATATGTTATACGATGACAAGTCAACAAGTGATAGTTATGACCACGGTTGCGGCCATAATGATTGAACCTTATTATCCGTCTGTCGGTCTGTCTGTTAATCTCGGGAACGCGTTTAGGTATCGAGTCTAAATTAAAACCGTCTACAATTTGGGCGAGCGCGACTCGCACTTGTCCGGATTTATAATACAACGTCACAACACGAAGACATATTCGGGCGACAACGTTTGTTTACACAATTGGAATAAGGTGACGGTACCGAGGTAAACATTAATTATGGTCAATACATAATAAAAATCATTAATTATTATACGAATTTCGTATTGTATAATGATTTACGATTAATTTGCTTTGAAAAAAACAGCAACCAACTCAAACAGCACTTTTTTATGACAGTGCGTTTCTTAGGTATATGTAATTATGTCTTAGATACCAGAAGTTAAATTATAAGTACTTACTTCCAAAACGATTCATTTGTTCGATGCCAGTTTTTACAACTTGACCCAATTTGTTGAAAAATACGGGGATATCATCAGCTGGATCTGTGAAAGGAATTTATCTTTCATTTTATTCATACATCCATTGTAGTTATTTCTTTCAAATACAGAGCACGAATTTGTAGCGATATCTACTTAATATTAAATAAAGTTTATTGTCTTTAAAGAGCTACGAAGAAACCAATTTTTGATAAATGCATCTTTGGTAGTATCAATGGGCCGGAGGCGAAGACTGTTCCTTTCGTTCATTTGTTTAATTTGATTATTTGTTAAAAAAGACAACTCCCGCACTAGGAATAGGAGCCTGTGTCGCGGGGGTCTTTACAAACATACATAAATGGACACAAATAACACCTAGACTCAGAACAATGATTTGTAGATTGCTTACAGTGTCCTATGTGTGGATCCAACTTACAACACTCGGCGCAGTAGGAAGCGGTGACCGCTTAAACCACTACGCCACCCGTGCCGTCATTTCTGCACAATGCATTTCTTTTATTTACAGTTTTCTGTTTTAGGATTGGTTCACTCAATCACGGATATTGTAACTAATTCTATTATATCACTGGAATAATGTAAACTCACACTGGAATGCACAAAAAACTTACCGGCTTGCCCACCCGCGTTTTTGGCTGAGTTATCGGTGCCCGTGGCTGCATTTCGTGCTGTATAAAAATAGTCTAATTAAGTATTTATTGTAAAATGTACCTATTTAATTCAACATAATATACGTTAAGAAATTCTGTAATATTTCCTGCACTTAACTTACTGTTATATTTAATCGTCTCAGCAGAGTAGTGTGTCGAATACAAATGCTACTAAGGCTTATAAATGGCTTTGATAATATAAAAGAAATGATCCAGTCAAAATCAAATGCACTGGACAGGACTCTCTCACTCAATTACTAATCTTAAATAATATGCTTACCACCTTCTATGGCTTGCCCTGCCGCGTTTTTGGATGCGGTCGCGGCGCCCGTCATTGCATTTCCTGCTGTATAAAAATATTATTATTATTTATTGTACAAATTCACTTACGTATGTACTTGATCGACTGTTATACTTATTTTAACCAGCGTAATGATTGGTTTACAATTTACATCATTTCAACACCCCTGTCAACGAAACCAGCACTATTGTGTCACTGGAATAATGAAAACTGATACAAAAATGTATTCTAAAGGCCAGCAAGCATTCCAGTTAAAAGACTGGATTGTTGGTCTAGTTTTAATTTTAGATCACCCGTTCAACCTTATTAAATTCAGTACAAACAGCATTAATTGAAAAGTTTTCAAATTTCTTTGTAGTTTCGTTTTTTAAATTCATTGTTGTTTGTATTGAGTTTCTAGGGAGAGGCCTATGTCCAGCAGTGGACTAGTATAGGCTGTTGATGATGATGATGATGATTGTATTGAGTTGGATACAAAAGCTTCTGAATGGCTGGAAGAATGTAAAAAAACCATCCAGTCCAGCAATTGACAGGGTTCTTTCTCTCAATTAGTGGTTTGGAATACAGATGTAAGGTCGGTTTAAAACCGAAATAAAGCATTTATTTCGATTTAAAACCGTTGGTGTTGATGACTACGTTTTTCTTAATTATAACTACATTTTCTTGATTTTCCGAGGTAGGGATATGACGGAGTACCTATAAACTGTAAAGATTATTATATGTGTGATGTGATTTTATTTCAGGTCCCCCAGATTGACGCCACGACTAGTAAAGCCACCAGAGGTCCCCACTCTCTGGTAGCTTGCGGCCTGTCGACGACTGCTATCGCCGCCGACGTCCTCTACGATCGGGATCGGCCCTCTCCTGATCCCTTTCATCGGTCTCTTTCGGGAGCATAACAGCTTCACAGAAAGAGACCACTGCGCCCCAGCCCTCCTCACCCGCCAGCATGGAAGCAATTTTTGCTGGCGGGGGCAGGTTCCGATTTGGTCGACCAGGACTTCGCGTTCAGACACCCACGCGGGACAGTCTTCCAGCGTGTGCTGGGCGGAGTCCCAGTCGGCTGCGCAGTGCTGGCATTGTGCCGTCTCCTCGCGTCCGATCTGATTCAGGTACTCACCGAAGCAGCCATGCCCAGTGAGCGCTTGCGTCAGTCGGTAACGCGGCCTCCCTCCTTACCTACCGAGGTTCGAGGCTAGGCAGAATGTTGCCGACAGCGCGTTGGCACGCATTCCGCGGTTGTTCCAGCCGCGTGCGCCACTGCACCAGTGCCTGTCGGTGAACGTTCCGCCGCTTTTCGAGCTCGTCCTAGTCTTCCCCGCTCTCACCCCGGCGGATCGCGCGAGTCTGGTCAAAGACCCTCGCGTCCATATCCGCCAGGATATCAAAAGGCGGGAAACGTGCCAGGACTGTTGCCGCCTCCTACAAAATGGTGCGGTATCCCCGTACGATCTGAATGACCGATACCCGCTGCGCTTGATTGAGCTTAGTTCGGCAGCTGGAGGAGGCCATATCGGGTCATGGATCGTATCACCGTACAGTACAGGCGGCGTACTTCCTCCCGCGGACTCCCTAGATTAGGCAACAGCCTCTGTAGGGAGCCCGCCACCCCGCGAACTTGGTTGATCATCCACTCGAATTGCCGTCCCGGCCCATATACGTTATGGACTGGTCGCGGATATAAACCCCGATAATGTCCTGCAAGTAGGGTTGCAACTGGTCATATACCAGTGCCTCCGTAATCACCCACCACGGGAGGGAGTTAAAGGCGTTGACTATGACAAGACTGACAGCCAACGCCAATCCCCCCGACAGACAACCTCTTCCGACAAGAGTCTGTCGGAAGCCAAACTGGTTGTCTGATAAGTTGGGGCCCACTCGCGACAGGTGCTGGTTGATATGGACGGCAATAACTTTTTCAAAGAGTTTTGCCACCTCATCCAGCAGGCATATTGGTCGGAACGCCGAGGGAGAATCTGCAGCCCAATAGCGTATTCCCTTCAGCCTGGCTTCCTTCCAGCCTGAAGGGAATACGCTATTACGAAGGCAGCTGGTAAACAGCCTCCTCATCCTATTCCCTAGGACCGCCAAAGCGCACACCCATGCTTGGCCCGGGATCCCATCAGGGCCCGGTGCGGTGTTGCGGGAGGCGAGTCGCCTCACAGCTCGGTCTAGCTCTTCCTACGTCACGGCAAAGAGCGAAGCGCTTCATACTCTCGCTGTAGACTCCTTTCTGCGTCCTTCAGCGTCGACGTGTCGGTTCTCCTAAAGAGTTCCGGCCGAGGCCGGTTTTCCTCCGTCAGACCCGTCGTCCCTAGCGTCGGTACCCTCCTGGGGTCATATGTTTTTATAAGTTGCATCCATTATAGTTTGCTCTTTTGCGTGAGCTAACAATGTATTGCTCTAGCGCATCCTCAGCTTGGGTTAGGGGTAATTTTTTATAGAGGTTTTGTTGCTCGTGACTTTCTCAACCCTCCTCCCCGTTTGAGAAGGTCCCCGATTTCTCGGCGTCTACAGATTGGGCCGATCGGTCGCCGGAGTTCGGCAGTGACTACCGCAGGTTGCTCCATGCGGAACTTCCGACGGCGATCCAGTCACCCCTTTGAGACGTTGTCCTTTGACGTAGCCCTCACACATACACACACTCTGCGCAACAGAGGGACACGTGGAGGGATATTCCTGGACTTGCGGCTTACGGCATACTGCCCATGTGGTTTTTTATAGAGGTTTTCTTCTCTTGGCCAGTCTCCTCCTTAGAGTAGGGCCCCCGCTCCCGATAAGTCGCCGTTTGTGGGTCGGGCCTTCCGGTTGCCGATGTTTGGCATTGACCGCCGTCAGTCGCTTCGCTCATTGCGAAAACTGGGTTTTTGGGTTTAAGATCTTTATTTCCTCATAAGAATTACAATAATTCACTTACGAGAAACAATATTCACAAGATAAACTTAAAAGCGTGTACAGAAACAAAATTAATTATTAATAGCTTAAAGGTAAACAACAAAAGTACGCAACAATAAAGGTAATAACTAAAAGCTAAAAGTTCTAACGAATGCTCGAATGTTGTCGACAGTACACGGACGTTGCAACTACACCGCTACTGGATGTGGCACGCACGGCTACGCACGACTTATAAAATTTATTAAGTTTTCGTTTATATCTTTAGAAATTAACCAAATACATCACGTAGTCTTTATTGTTATATAGTGTTTATAACTATGTATGTATAGGTTTTTTTATTATTATTATTACTTAATTTATGTTTTGTCAAAGATATATTATGATTTAAGCCTTTTTTTTAAAATAGTCATGCTAGTAGATTCTTTTAATAAAAGTGGCAGCGCGTTGTACATTTTAACCCCTTCGTATTCTATGCTTTTTTTACCGTAGTTAGTTCTGGGTGGACGTGTTACTAGGTAGTTAGAGTTATGTAGCTTGATTTTTTGAGATTCTTGTTTTTTTGTAAATGACAAGGTGGTGTGAATGTCTTTCTTTAATATTTTTCGTATTAGTATGCATGTATAGTATGTGTAAGTTTGTTTTATATTCATTATCCACACAAAAAACATATGAAGACACAAACGTCATATATTTTTTGTGTGGAAGTCCGGTATTTATAGTTAAATAAAAATATTATCAGTCTGTTTAGTGGCCTTTGGATAGGTTCAAGATTCGTTCTAGCCGCCGCCCCCCAGACCTCTATTAAATAATAAATGTGGGGTTTTATCAATGAATTATATATTAAGAATCGTACTTTATGGGGGAGACATTTTTTTACATTGTGGAGAGCCCCCGAGAGTGATATTAATTAAGATCTGACACTTTCTATGTGAGACTTCCAGCTCAAGGAGCTATCTAATGTTAGGCCTAAATATCTTTCTTTAGTTTTTCTATGAATTTGTTGATCGTCGATTTTAAGCTCAATATTGTCAGGAATAATTTTATTTTTTGCAGCAAATAACACATAATTAGTTTTAGTGATATTAATTGTAAGGAGGTTTGATTTGTACCAGTTATTTAACAAATTTAAGTCAGTCTTAACGTGCGGTAAAACATCATCAACTGACCGTCCAAAGGAAAAAAGACTTGTGTCATCGGCGTAAAGCGAAACATCCCCTGTAAAGCCAATTTGGGACATATTATTTATGTAGATGAGGAACAATAACGGTCCCAAAATCGAACCCTGCGGCACACCGAAATTCACAGAGCTGGAAGAACTTTGATGTTCACCTATCTTCACTATTTGCCGCCTATTGGACATGTATGATTTAAAAATGTCGAGTGCTTTGTTTTTAACTCCAATGGCTGATAATTTTTGGATTAATATATCTGGACTAATAGTATCAAAAGCTTTTTTAAGGTCAATAAAAATGCCTAGGGCAACTTGTTTTTTATCAATGTTCGTTTTAATTTTTGTTATAAGGTCTACTGTAGCCGAAAGGGTGTTGTTTGATTGTGGTCTTAATCCGTATTGCTTATGGTAGAAGAAGTTTTTCGAGTTGAGAAACGTTTCTAAGCGGTTATGAAGAATTTTCTCGTAAATTTTTGAGATGGCGGGGAGGACAGATATAGGACGGTAATTACATGGATCTACTTTGCTTCTAGATTTATAAATTAGCACTACTTTTGATATTTTCAGTTTGTCGGGAAAGATGCCTATATATAATCACATATATAGGCATCTTTGCGACGCTCCATGCGACTAATTAGCGACAAAATTTGGGCGAAAACAGACCTTCGCTAGGTGCCCTAGTTCTTGACATTCAAATGTGGCACTGTTGGCTAGACAGACCCCAGCAGGGTCCCCTATAAACGCTTATAACTTTTGAACCAGTGACCGATAATTCTGATATTTAGTGACAAACCGACAAATTAGCGACTAAATTTTTATTGTAAAATCCATGATGGTGGCCGTCCAGGGTCAGTGACACCTATTCACATTGCAGGTCCTTAAGATCATCAGAAAATCTGAAGTTGCAAATGCCCAAGCATCACGCAATTTACTGACAAGTTGTTCTCAGTGAAAGCAGTTCGATTGTGGAATAACTTACCTGAGGCACATAAGCAAAATATTTTAAAATCAAGTTACAAATCACTACTTGAAATTATATAAATTTGAGTATAAATTTATACGTGTTAGTAGTATGTATTCTGTAAATGTATGGACCTAGTAACTTTGTTTATTTTATCAATTATCATGAATATAATGAACAAGTCAACGCAGGCCGCTTTAAATTAAATTTTGCGCTTTGATGCGGGCAATTTTTCGTTGCACTGAGTGTGGTAACTGTATAATTCATGATCTTTCTACCCTTATCCCAATTTTATTTGGGGTCCTCGCAGTATGTAATCTTCTTCCATTATATTCTATCATTCGTTATCTTCATCCATCTTTTCTTTGGCCTTCCTCTTTCAACTGCCCATACCTAACAGTTTCTTGGCCACTTTTTCCTCCAATAGATATAATTAAGGCTTAATTAGTGCAAGAATTCATTTTTTTTATTGAATACCACTTCATAAGATTAAAAGTAAAGTGGCGTATTTAAGTTGCACTTTTTATTTTCTCGACACACTTTGTATACTTAACAATGTGATATTGCTTTGGTTTAGACGAAACGTGTTACATTTCCATACTTACAACTTTTACGGTTCGGTAATGGTTTTAGCAAATTAGTTATGCTACTTATGTTATATGACGGTTAAAGATAAGCGTACTTACTTAAGAATGAAAGAACGAACACAAAATTAAATAAAAAGGAACGGTCAGCAGTAGCCGAAACCGATGGGCTTGTATATAAGGTTAAATGAAGGATAAATGAATTGATAAGGCTGATATTTATTTTATATATAAAAGTATATTATTTTATACATATAAATAATAATAATGCTATTATTTTGCTTACCATCAGGTTGAGGTGGGTTTGATTCATCTGGCTTAGCTTGCTAAAATACGAAAAAGTAAAGGTTATATAACAGATACGAATTCGGGAGGTTAATAATAATATTATGAGGCAAAGTACACAGCGTTGTTTGGACCTAGACTAAACTCTAGAAGTGGCACCTTCAATCAGCATCACCCACAGGCTTTAATAGGCACTGCTATACATAGAAAGGAGGTTTTGGTCTGCTATACCACACTGGCTAGACGGGTTGATATAGGGTATGTTTCAAGTTTTCCAGTGCTGTTATTCTGCAGAGTTTGCTCCCTTACTCGGCTTTTACGACACCCACAGGATGAATAATAAAATAGGGTGATGACACACCGTATTCTGAATCTGTTACCATAAGGTGTAGAAGTCTAGAAGATACAAACACTCAGATTAATTATGTTTGTATTGGCGTAGTGACAAAGGGGAATGCCCACCAACCATAGACACTTCGGCTCTGTGTGCACACATATAAAAGCATATGGAAATGATAATATACACTTCACACATCACATCATATTTTATAGCCCACTGCTGGATATAGGCCTCTCCTTAGAAAGGAGGTTTTGGCCTACTATACCACGCTGGCCAGACGGGTTGGTATAGGGTTTGTGTCAAGTTGTGTGGGCGGCGGCTCTGACCGCCCAGAATAGGGCACGCCTCTGGCGCCCTCAGAGGGTATTGGCGACCGCCAGCAAGAGCCATACGCGGTTACCGCACCGTGTCGACGGAGGTGGCGTGCGCGTTGGCCGGAACTCCCCCGTGGGATTTGGAGGCGGAAGTGCTCGCCGAAGTTTATCGGCGAGTGGCTGACTCCCGGGCGGAGAGCGGATTTCGCCCTCCGCCCGAGGATGTGTGCGAGTGGCGCGAAGACGCTCGCCGAGCCACGATGGCTCGTTGGTAGTTCCGGCTGGAGACTCCACGCGCTGGCTTCGCCGCCGTGGAGGCTCTCCAGCCGGTCATCGCCGAGTGGGCAGGGCGGCAGCACGGGACCCTTACCTTCCGGCTGACGCAGGTGCTTTCCGGGCACGGTTGCTTCGGAAAGTACCTTTTTTTTTTTCCGTGCGGAAATCCCCTCGGATACCACCTGACGGTGGCATGTCGGACTCGAACCGACTAAAACCGCACGCCTTCGCCGGGTACTAATAGCCGGGGAACCAGGTATACCCTAGAAAGGAAGTCCCTGGTGCCCCGACATACCTCGGGTCATCTACAGACGAGTAGACGACCCCCCCCTGTGTGGGAACCCCTTGTTCCCTGTGCTCCCTGGCCTGCTTCTGCTAGGGTGACAGATGGCCTCACCTGTCACCCCCAGGCATGCGTTTATGGAGGACGGAGGTCGTTCTGCGACCTCCGGCGCCTGAGTCGCCTGCGCTGCCTGGCCCGTGCCCGGGCCTGGCGGGCCGGGAGAGTTCTAAACCTCTCCCGGTCCCGCTCCGCCGTCTCCTTCGCGATCATAACTTGCTCGCAGAAGGAGACGGCAGAGTTCCACGCACTCTCGCTCCGCACGATAGCCGCAATCAGGCTATCGAGCGAGAGAACTCCCACTCCGATGGCCGCCACGAGGTCTCGCCTCTGCTCAACCCACGACGGGCACTCTGCCAGCGTGTGGAGAGCCGTGTCCACGGTCTGGCCATCGCAGTGGTGGCACTCAGGCGTTGGCTCCTTGCGGATCAGACACAGGTGATCTCCGAAACATCCCTTCCCAGTGATCACCTGCGTCAATCCGTATGAGAGGGTCCCGTGACGCCTCTCGAGCCAATCCTCCATAACGGGTCTTACCGCCGCAATGACGGCGTGCCCATTCGGAAAGTACCTGCACTCGGTCGCTAGGAGGGAACTGAGTCCCGCCTGCCACCACTGCGACTGCAGTGAGGACTCGGCCCAGCACACGCTGGCGGTCTGCCCCGCATGGGCGACGCAGCGCCGGGCCCTCACTGCAGTCATCGGAGTGGATCTCTCGCTACCGGCCGTAGTACGCTCCATGGCCGGTAGCGACAGTTGTTTTACCGCGGTCGCAACCTTCTGCGAGGAAGTAATCTCGCAGAAGGAGGCGGCGGAGAAGGCCCGGGAGGACGACCTCCACTCGGACCCGATCCGCCGCCGGCGAACCGGGCGGCGGAGGCGCGCCTATCACCGCCTCATGCCGCCCTGAGTGTGGCCGCGGGTGGACGGGTGGGTTTCCTCTCCACCCGCATTAGTTTGGCCAGCCGCGAGGGGGCGGCGTCCGCGTGTGCCGGACGTCGCCTAAAGAGAGGTTAAAATTTTGAGACGGAGCCCGCACCAGGAGCGGGCAGGGGCTAGGAGGGGTCCGGATGTCTTAATAACAGCTGTTCCCGGATCCCTCCTATTACAGGCGCAGAGTGGCACACCGTGTGGTTTTAGTCGGTCCGAGTCCGACACACCACCCCGCCGCAAACCCCGGTGGGGTGACGGTCCGAGGGGATTTCCACACGTTAAAAAAAAAAAAAAAAAGGGTTTGTGTCAAGTTTTCGTTCTTTTTGCAGTGCTGGTATCCTGCGTTGTTTTGCGCCCTTAGTCGGCTCTTACGACACCCACGGGATGAATTGGGGTAATGATATTCCGTATTCTTAATCCGTCACTACACGGACTAATATACAACGAGCAGTAATAGTAATCGAATCTTTACCGCTGATCTACATGGATGGTCAAAGTTTTAATTGTGTACACATTTTATTGAATTGTAACGTATCAATCATATTTAATTGTAATTTTCATATTTTATATCTTTGTAAAAACATTTTGGAAAACGCTAGAACACTTAAATGCTTGTCAAAAGTTCAAAAAAAAACTGCGATAGATATTCATGATTACAATTTCTTTAGTTATTCTAAATTTGTTGCAAGTAGGTAGTGTAAGTAGTAGATATAGCGTAATATATATATATACCACAAAACGCACACGAGATAGCGTAATATATATACCACAAAAGCTTACAAATATCAAATATTTTTAATTGAAAAGAACATCATCTTAGCGCTTTTATTTTTTTCGAAAAAAAAAAGAAAACAACCTTACGCTGATAGTACCTACTGTTTAAAGGTGGCCATCTTTAGGTAGTGGATTCTATCTAATAAAAGTATATTAAATTACTTACAGCGGTTAAGAAAAGCGCACAAATTGCGAGGATGGCTACAACGCTCTTCATTATTGTAGTATTAGATACTTCAGGAAAGACACAACTCTTAAAACGTACCGAATAGCACTGATTACCGTTCTCTGAAACCGTATTATTTATACTACATTTTCCTAGCGACGTGCTGTTCACAAATATTTCAATAAACGGTGTCACATAAGTTTTAACAATTGTTGAAGGAACTTATATTGAATAACCATTACAATTTGTGTTCTTACAATTTACTTTCTTTGTTTCTGTTAAATGACGATGTTCACATCTAAGTACACATCGAATACCGTCAACTCGAACGTAAATAGGAAAGGAATAGACTAGTGAAGAAATGAAGATGGTTAAAGTTTAGACTCCACTTGTCCATCACCATAGGAGGGTCTGCTGTATTACCTGAGTACTTATGCCTTAAGTAAACTTTTTTTCTCCTATACCTAACTCCATTTAAATCCTCTATGATATTATATGACCTGTTATTTGATAATCCTGATTTGACTTGTCTCTTAAATTTCTTGACATAAGCAATTGAGCTAGTGACAGTAAATTATTTTTTGTGTATATTGAAATAAACCCATATATGGACCAGAGGTATTTTCTTTAGACATTTTAACATATTGGAATGGTGGACGACCATCAGACACTAAAGACAAAGGTATTCCATGACGAGCAAAAAATAGATTTCAACTGTATAATTTCATTTTTTGTTGTGCTATTTTTATTTAATAATGCTATTTCTATATAGTAACTTAGTGATGTTACAACAATTATTAATAAATAAACTCATTGTTATATTAACTTATGGCTTTCTTCTAATTGGCCTGTTACTAAAGCAATGAACGAGTTTATATCCGGTACTTAACTTTAAAAAACTATCACCGACTTCACTGCACCAAAATCATGATGAGTGGTGGTGTCCGTGTGGTGACGGATTAAGAATACGACACATTCATCCTGTGGGTAGCGTAAGAGCCGACTAAGGGAGCAAACTACGCAGGACAACAGAGTGCTGTTTGGGTGAAGTTTTCCTTCATTATGCAGTGATAAAGAAGGAACACTTAACACCAGGAACACCAGAGAGACTTTCCTGGATGCCAAACGCGTCGCCTCTTAAAAGTTCGCTCCCCGGGCTGTGACTTATGTATCATCGGCGTAACTAATTCTGGGGGAAAGTCAGCTCGAAGGGTCCAGTCGTACCTTATGTTCCACTGGAGGGGTCCAAGAACAGACCCCAGTGGAACACCGCACGACATAGGCCGACACCTCAGATTTTGGTTGGTGATGTCCAATGACACCGCGAACAGCACGACGCCACAGCTCACCGCCTCTACGGTTACAGCCCTCAGACGGCGCACAGCCCGACTGTGCATAGTTATAGGTATATAGTTTAGGTTTGTAATAACTATTGACCGCGTTAATTCCCGAATAACGAAATTTGCCAAGTAGGTACTCTTATCTGAGACCAGCCGCGTCACAAGTTTGTAAATAAAAGAGCAAGGTAAAATAATTTGTTTTTTTTGTCGGTATAAGCAATAGATGTTACTGATTTTTGATGAGATATTTATAAATATAACAAGAACATTCTATTTAACAAATCTAAACATTTGTTTAAACTAAGCAATAACTATATAGCGAAAGAATTTACGCCTCAAGTATATTTCTTTGTCTGTTTGTCCGAGTTTACCTCCAGGATGGCTTAGCCGATTTCACTAGGACCTTTACTAACAGATTCAGGCTTTTTACTACTAATGTATTTCAACTAAAGTTCCTGCACTGTGGTCGAAATAAGAAAAAAATTAAATCTGGATATTGAATTGAATCTCCAGGAGTTGAAGTCAAAACAGAATAAAAAACACTTTACCTTGCAAAGATTTTATGTAAGTCGTGAATGATGTTCCTTTGATTTCCGTTGTTTCTATATTGTAACTGTTGATGTAATAATTTAGCCAATATTATTTAAAATGAAATAGTATATAAATTTTGCATGTCCTTAAAAAGCCTGAAAATGTTGGTGGCCAATATTCTTTACAAACATCTTTTAAAAAAATTAGACTATTTATTATCAGAGCTCGTGACACTAATAAGCGTGTGCTAATTTTCTATTGATATGCAAAATAATTATTCACACATTTGTTAATTGTATTGTATACATTGTATTGTCAAGAAGCCTGACGTCACTCGAAGTTATTAGATTAAATGTCGACTAAGTATTTTCCATTACAGTCGTAAGATTTTTTGTTAAAGCAATTAGGTTGGCAATTCCACGGAACAACAATGTTTCATGCTTGACACTTTTTTTATTGACACCAAAAAGAGGAGTAAGCCTTAATTCTATCAATATAGAAAGACAGCAGTTAGGTTAATATTATGAGTTTTGTGATCCTAATTTTTATAAAGTTATCTATAAATACGTATACATTCTGTGTACTAAGTATCGGGAATTTGTCAATAAAACAAAAAATACAAATTATTCATCTAAATTTATTTTATCGCCTTCAAAGTAGGCCCCATCGCTTGCAATACAACATCTCCACCGCTTCACCCAGTCTTCCATACATTTTTCATAGGCTATTTGCGGTATGGCCTTTAGCTCATTCAGCGAATTTTCTTTTATGGCTTCTATCGACTCAAAACGTTTTCCTCGAAGTGGTAATTTTAACTTGGGAAATAAAAAAAAGTCAGACGGAGCCATATCAGGTGAATACGGTGCTTGGTCGAGAACTTTTGTTGAATTTTTCGCTAAAAACTCTTTCACTATAATGGCTGCGTGTGATGGTGCATTATCATGGTGCAGCATCCATGAGTTGTGTTGCCACAAATCTGGACGTTTTCGGCGGAAACTCTCACGCAAACGCTTCATGATGCCTAAATAATATTCTTTATTCACTGTTTCTCCCTCTGGAAGGAATTCGGAGTGAACCACACCACGGTAGTCAAAAAAAACTGTCAGCATCACCTTGATTTTGGAGCGTCTTTGCCGCGGTTTTTTTGGTTTCGGCTCGTTTTCGAGACGCCATTGTGAAGACTGTTGGCTTGTTTGCATGTCGTACTCATAATCGTCGCCAGTTATTATACGTTTCATAAAGGTTGGATCCGTAGAAGCTCGGGAAACCATGTCTTCAGCGACATGCTTTCGCTGCGCTTTTTGAACAAAATTAAGCTCTTTTGGAACTAGTCGAGCGGCGACGCGTTTCATGCCTAAATTGTCAATGAGAATGTTGTGGACGGACTTAAAAGATATGTTCACCTCACTAGCCAACTCTCTCAGACTCATACGTCGATTTTTGAGCACTAGCTTCTTGATTCTGTCGATGTTTTCTTTGGTCGTAGCGGTTGAAGGTCTACCAGAACGAGGCAAGTCTACTACTACTTCTCGGCCTTTTTTAAAAGCCTTATACCATTCATAAGCCCTTGTTTTCGATATACACTATTCGCCGTAGGTATTTCGCAACATTTTTAGTGATTCACCACAAGAAATATCATTCGAAACACAAAATTTAAGGCACACTCTTTGTTCAACAATATTTTCCATTGTAAAAATCGCCGAGGACTCAAAACTATCACCAACAAAAAGTGTAGTTTAAAACAAATTAAATGACAGATCCCGCTCAAATTTTGCGCGATTAATCAGTACAGTGCTACCAACATGCAGTAAAAAAATTAGAACGACCTCTTTTACGCGGGTCTTTTTATTGACATATTTACGATACTTTTTACACAGAGTTGTACGTATATAGATGTTTAAATTTAAAAATATCATTTACGAATAATGAGAATTATAAATTTATAGATAACTGGCGACCCGCCGCGGCTTCGCACGGGGCCACATATATACTGATGCGGTGTCAGTGTCAAGTTATTAATAATTTTACTATTGTGATTATACTACAGAATATCTTCATATATCTATAGCTGTTTTAATGAGATAATACATATATGTTTTCTTTAGAGGTTACTCTAGCAACTGCAGAGCTCGCCGACTGTCCTGATCCTGGTAGGGTGGTTTTGTCGAGCTCGAACCTACTAAAAATCGCACGCCGTCTCGCGTACCAGTATCCCTGGTACCCCGATAGACATCGAACCATCTAAGGCTTGTAGATGACCTCCTCCTGTATGGAAACCATGATGACAAAATATGGCTCTTCAAAATGACTTAAAAGTTATTTCTGACTGGTGCTCATTCAACAAAAGAAGCCTAAACGAGAGAAAGGATAAAGTTAAAGATCTAGGTGTGCTCCTTGATGAGCAACTGACTTTCCATCCTCACTACCTGCATAAAATAAATGGAGCCCGTAGACTTTTGAGATTTATTATAAGGTCAACAAAAGATTTTAGAAACAGCGTATTGACTCTTTTCTCTAGCCTTGTCCGAAGCGGCCTTGAATCTGATCCGCTTTCTATAAGGTTCATACAGATGCTATAGAAAGTGTGTAGAGGCGCTGTCTGTGATACGTCACCCCTTTTTTTTTTTTTTTTCCGTGCTGAAATCCCGTCGGATACCACCTGTCGGTGGCATGTCGGACATGAACCGACTAAAACCGCACTCCGTCTCGGGTACTAATAGCCGGGGAACCAGGTATACCCTAGAAAGGAAGTCCCTGGTGCCCCGTCATACCTCGGGTCATCTACAGACGAGTAGAAGACCCCCCCCCGTGTGGGAACCCCATGTTCCCTGTGCTCCCTGGAAGCGAGCGCGCTTCGTAACGCGCTCGCCGCCACCCCGGCCTGCTTCTGCTAGGGTGACAGATGGCTTGGGATGGGGTGATGGATGGCAGGGCTCACTTCCCTTCGCGGCACCGTGCGACTAACGTGTGACTTCATGTGCTAACAATTTAAATATTGTTTTCTGTTTTTTCTGCGACTGGTTTCCGGCTTGCGGGCGGCTAAAGGTTGTGTATAGTGTTTTAAAGAAAGTCAGTAAGTTTTTATTGTTTTTAAACAGTAATATAGTGCTGAATTATTTTATTACAACTATTGGTGAGTAAATTTATTTCTTTCTAAAAGTGGGTAGGAGGTATCCTTTG